ACCATTCCACAAACCCCCCCCAAAACCCCCCTTACGTGTTTTCGCTTTTTCCCTTTGTAATTTCTGCCAACCAATTCCCCCTTCCCCCCCCCCCCCCCCCCCCCCCAAAACCAAAACAGTACGTCCCAAATCACGAGGGAAGAAAACAGAAAAAAAAGAAGGGTCTCGAAAAGCAATTTGCCCACGAGATTTGATTCGGATCTCTTGAAAGCCACCTCGCACCTCTCTCTCTGCTTTTGCATACTTCCACCGTTCGGCACCTCTCAAAATCTTACAACCACAAAGCTCATTGTGTGTCACTCGACGCGTCTTTAAACAGGCACGCGGGTTTTTCTTATTTTAGTTTGGAGGATTGTCAGGGATATTTACCCGGTAGCGGCGAAACTTGTATTATATGGACAACAGACCTGCCTCGGAGTACGCGCAGTCAGGTTCGCACTTTCCATATCCACCGTCTGCCGCGACGCATTCTGAACTCTCAGCTGCAGACCAAGCTTCTGCTGCTGCCACTGCTCAATACACTCCTCAACCTGAGGTTCGCCCCAACCCTCAGTACACTCCTCAGCCTGAGGTGCGCCCCGCCGCCAACATTTCGTCCTCCAACACGCCGCAGTCAGACTACGGTCTGAACGCTCCTCCCGCCGCGCGCTCTCCAGCTTATCCGGAGTACCTCGCCCGCCCGCACCAGTACCACCACGCCCCCAACACTCAAGCCGGCGGCGCGGCAGGTATGGCTCAAGCAACAAGTCCGTCCATCACCACCCTCCATGATGGGCAGCACCATGACCATCGCAATCATCACACGAACGTGAAGTCTGACGCGGACGTTCCTATAGATCCCTCAATCGCGGCCTCCAGCCCCACCTATCCTCCTCCCTACTCGCCCTACCAGCCTCAGGGCCATGACATGGCTCAATACCAAGGTCACCCCCCTCCGCCGCCACCTCAGATGTACACGCGTCCGGAATGGTCGCATGGGTATGGACAACACCAACATGGTCTGCCTGGACCCTATACCACTCCTGCCACAACGGTTGGTCCCGCCTCCCCTGCTGCGACCGCAGGGCCGCGCCCTGGCCAGGTATGTTTTTGATGATTTCGGCATCTGTTTCCATAAATAAGGCTGCGCTTCTGCGTTTAGTTTTGTCTGGGACGCCCCCGGATATGGGAGCCGCTATCAGGCTGCCTCCAGGGACGGGGAATGCGGCGCACTCCTTTTGTCATCATGTTCAATCTTCGTTTTTGTTTTTTTTCTCGGACATTTGTTTTGGTTCCTCGGCTCACATGCGTCACACCAGGTCTACTCGTTCGTCCCAATTCCCGGTGCGCAACAGCACAAGAGACCGCGTCGCCGGTACGAGGAAATTGAGCGTATGTACAAGTGCGGGTGGAATGGCTGTGAGAAGGCCTACGGTACTCTCAACCATCTGAACGCCCACGTGACGATGCAGTCTCATGGAAACAAGCGCACTCCCGAAGGTATGTTTTGATTTTGAATCCGCGTCAATTTGACGTGTAATATTTTTTTATATCCATCATTATCTCATTATATCTCCGATGGCATGTGTGTCTACGCTACGGGAGGGGTTGATAGATGCCTGGGCTGGGACTAGTGCGGGTGCCACCCACTAGTCTAGTTACACGGCCTTAGTGCGGGCGGATCGCAGTAGTGTGAGAAGCCGGCGCTGAGGTTAAGCTGTCTACGGTCTCCCGTCCATGACTTATGCTTTGTTTCACCCTTCACTCTTTCCCCCTTCTGTCACATTCCGGATTTCATTTTTTCTTTCCGTCAAACTTCCCGTTTCATTCGCCTTGGGAAGACCTAGGCTAACCCGCCATGTTTAGAATTCAAGGAAATCCGCAAGGAGTGGAAGGCTCGGAAGAAGGAGGAAGAAGCTCAGCGCAAGGCCGCTGAGGAGCGTGAGCGCGCCGCTGCCGCTCAGGCTGCCCAAGCCAACCAGGTCGACGCCCCCAACCCTGCGGATCCCCAGGGTGGTCAACCTCCCACCTACCCCGGTGGTGTCCGGCCTCAGCTGCCTCCGATTGGATACCAACCTGCCGACGGCCAGGTGCCCGGTCAGTACGGTGCCCCTGGCGGTGGCATGGTCTATCAAAGCAACGGCCAAATGGCCTACCCTCCCAACTACCCTCACTCTCCTTACGGGCAGAGCGGCCAAGTGTATCAGCAACGTAAGTAGTCAAGCCCTTTGTTGTGTTTGCATTGTTGGTTAGGACCGGGCCATGAAAATACCAAAAAGAAAGAGACGATTATACGCCACCCAGACGAAAGGAGAAACATGCCCCCAATCATCCCGGGAATTTCATGGAGAACACGGTCCTCGGATCTATTGCAGAAGGGCTTGTAGCTGATCGACGATGGCCTTGCAGAAAACCAATCGGCCAGCTACCCGCAATAGATATCCCTGCTTCCTTGTCTGAGGTTGCATACTCTAATAACAAAATCTCCTAATCCCATATCGCCACCCCGGATCTAATTCTCTAAAGTCTTGCGCACATGATACCATTTTCTGGCCTTGATTGCTCCAGTCAAAAAGAGTGGCCTTGCGACTTACACTTCTGTTCCCAGTTATGTTTTTTTGAATTAGATCGCATGAGCCAAAGAATATCCCCGAGTAATAGGAGGGGAAGTTGTTTTGTTTTCCTTGCGTGGATAACTGGCTATCGGATTGTGAATTGGGACGTCTGGCGGGGCTTTCTGCATTTAGCTGAGCTTTTTTTTATGTTTATCTCTTATGTGTCTTTTTTTCTATCCCCTCTTCCCGTTTGCCTTCACTGAATGGTCATTTTTCCTTTCTCTTTCCACTTGAGTGTGAATTATGTCGACCTTGTCACCACTAAATTTTCCGATGTTGTATGTGAACTGTCTGCAATTCCTTTTCTTCTTTTGCCATGCCTTGTGTATGTTGTGGCTAAATTTATGTTACCCTGGGTTTTGGTCCCTGAATTTGCGCAATATCCTATTGTGATCTCTTGCACCGGTGCTCTGTTTCAGTGCCGATTTGGTGGCTCAAGTCTTTTATTTCTCATGCCTTTTGCTCTCTTCTGTCTCTTCTCCCATCTGTGTCTCCGAGGTTTAAAAATGCCTACATCTAGGTATTACATGTCGATGTTGAGGATACTATGGCACAGATGGCCCTTTTTCAATTGTGATTAATACACCATTTGTATGTTGATGGATCGAAACTGGTAGATAGATGGGCCTGGTGATCTGTCACTGACGAATCGAAAGTACGGAAAGGATGACTCCCTTTACAGTGGACGGCGACTTTAGAATAGAAAGGGCAGAACGCCTTAGGAAGTGCCCAGTAGGGTTTAAGTACTCGGTAGTAGGACGAGCCTACTATATACATGTACATATCAGTGCTGTATGCGTTGATTGGATGCGTGACGGTCTGACTGGAGTATCATGCGGCATGCATCGCGAAAAGCGTCAGGGGAAAATAACAGGCCACAATTAGAACTTTAAGAACCGTCAAGCAAAGGGCACTTAAGGGCATTAGCGCAGCGAGGGGACGCTAGTCGGTCATACAGAATACAGGATGTAAGGTGGTTGACCAAGACGGAGCTAAAATCGCAGCTAGTACAGTAAGTACCTAGATCTGTAGGGATGGAACCTTACTTTTAGCATAACTCTCGAGCCACGAGGGAACGGGCATGGCTTGGAAATTTTAAGTTATCTATGGTTTGGCGGGTTCCTTAGGTCCCGAGGGTTGACGGTCAGCAAGATGCTGGTTGAACTAGCGGCTGCTACCTTAAGCCATGGCGAGCTAAAAACAGGCCTGGTATGGACTAACTCCCTCCGGTCACTCATGGATGCCCCAGGCTGTCTGCTGACTCAGCCAGCTTGCTGCTCGTCGCCCGGATTTACGTTTCGCAGCTCCCCGATATGCGCTAACCGTATCCTGTCTAGCTCCGACTCGAAGCTGCGCCGATACCAGAATGGGTTGGTTATCTTTTTCTCTGCTATCCTCCAGGGTTTTTTTATTATTATTATTCCTCGCTCAATTTGTCGCGTTGTCGCTGGTGTTCTTTCCGGTGCTGCGTCATTGCAGTCATCTCGAGTTTCTTTCTCTTCATCTGTTTCCTCAGCCTTTGAATCGCCTGCCTCATCCGCGCGTCACTCTCCCGAATTCGCCGTGGCTACAGTCGGTTCGATACTCGAGAATACCACCGGATAAAGTCTCAAATGCTTCGTTGTCACCATGTCAATGCTCTGCGGACGAGCGTTGGCAACGCTACTGCGATAAGGGCTGCGCTGAGCCCGCACTGCATAAGAACGTTTCACTCAAGACCCGGGGCCACTTCGTTGCGTCCGTCCATTGCGCAGCAGGCGCGAGTCCTACCACGAACGGGTCTTTGGACGCCGCTGGGTGACGTGAAAGCCCATTCAACTGAAAACCTAGACCAGTGGGAGAGTGCTGCGCAACCTGATTCCACCGAACCGGCTCGCAAACGCAGAAGCACCCCTGAAAGACATGATGACGATCTATATGCGCTTGCGGCGTCAAAGCTATATAAAGCGGAAGAGTATTCTACTCGCAATGGAAAGGTCTCGCGGAAAGCGATTGAAAAAGAACTAGAATGGTTGACGGATCGGAAAGAGTTGGCCACTCGGGTCCAGAGCATTCTGCGTAAGGGTAAGGTGGCCTTTGCGGTGGAGATGGTGCGCATGGCATCAAGCCGGCGAATGGACTGCGCAGCGTCATGGAATGCTATATTGGCACACTGCTTCAAGAGGGGGTCTTCCCGGTCTGCCTTTCGATTCTACAATGATGTACGTGCTTTCAAACCCCCAATCCTTCTTTCCCTGGACGACTGAAGCTGTCACTAACCTGTCTATCTCTCTTGCCTATAGATGAAAAAGCGCGGAATAAAACCCAATGAAGTTACGTATGTTACCATGCTAGGTGGACTGAGCAACATGGAACGGACAAAGGAACTCGATCCCGTGAAGGCCGCTCTGGATGTATTCCAATCTATATCTAGTGCCGACCCGGGCGTTGGGCATTCCATCATTCACAGCAATGCAATGCTCTCGGTCTGTGCGCGTCATGCGGCGATGGACACTTTATGGTCGGTTGCTAGCGAGTTACCTGAAAAAGGACCGGCCTCTCCTGAACCAACGACGTACACAATTATTCTACGGGCTATCCTGAACGCGATGATCCGGGACGTGGAAAAGATGTCACTCAAGGATGTCGATTCGATTTCGGCAAGAAGAGCACAAGCGGTTACGGAAGCTAAACGAGTCTGGACTGATGTCATTTACAGATGGAAGAAGGGGGATCTGCAAATCGACAGCCTCCTGGTGAATTCGTTGAACAGAGTGCTTGTGGAAGGCCCCGATGAATATTCCAGCTACGAGGTTTTTATGGTGTTAAACCAGGCCACTGGCCTCCCCATCCTCGCCAAAGAGCCCATAAAAGTCGCCTACAAAAAGTCTCGGGCCTTGCAAAAGCATGCGAACCAGAAATCCCAGGACCTGGAAGACGTTCCTTTTGTTGCGGACGAGAGTGAAAGTCTGTACAGGCCACCGCAGGAGACTTTAGAAGAGGATGAAGTCGAAGTCGAGGAGGAGAACCTCGATGATGTCTTCAAACCATTCTCATTCGAATCAGCAGGCGTGTTGCCACTCCCTGTGGGAAACCGGGAGCTTTATAGAGCCTTGCAAGCGTCCGGCGCCATGGCCCAAGGATCGGGCACCGCTAAGGCGTATTGGAAGCACATTACGAGGGACATAGGGTTGAAGCCAGATCCCATTCCAATCCATACATACCTTCAGATTTTGCAAGCGGCTCGTTCCAGTCGCGACGCCGTCGAGGCGATGCGCGACGAGATAATACCCTCCGGCCTGGTGGAGTCGGACATGTTTGTCGCCGCTATGAAAAGCTGCCGCCGGGACATCAACAACATGAATGTGCTGATACATGCTAATGAGCTTCTGAGTCTCATGGACCAAGTATTACCGCTTCCCAATACCTCGGCCCTCGATGTCTACTTGAACTTGGTTAATAATATACTGGCAAAACCGACGCTCCTCATGTCGCTGAAAGGGGTTTCAGTCCCACAACGATCAGGCTCGCTACAATCTCTCGGGCATGAACTGCGAATCAAGCTACAAACCGTGACCCTGGAAAACCTGCGCCCTCACGTGGCTAAATTGGAGGAGGCTCTTGAACATGGTCAAACCCGCCCTGCGACAACCAAATCCAGACAAGATGGTCAAGGGATCCCGGGCGATTACATTGTCACGATGTTAGCGCGGTTGAGACAATGGATGTATCCCCTTCTAGATGGCAAGACGAAATCGATTCCCAAACCGGCTTTGAAGGAATACAAACTGCTGTCGCAGAGGCTGCGGAAATATAGCGACAGCAAAATTCTGGAGGACTTCAAGGACAAGATTGTACTTGCACCTACTGAGCAGCCTGCACCTACTGAACAGCCTGCGCCTACCGAGCAGTCAGCCTCTACTGAGCAGCCTGCAGCTACTGAGCAGCCTGCAGCTACTGAACAGCCTGCATCTACTGAACAGCCTGTATCTACCGAGCAGTCTGCACCTACCGAGCAGAAATCTTAGGGGATTCAAATTCATGACCAAGCAGACGGCTTGGACAGTTGACGTAATTGACCAGAGGCTCAGTTGAACTGTTCTGGCCCATGTGTGTAAAGATAATTTGGACCGCTCTTTCTGGCGTTATTTGTGAGCAGGTTTGCTGATATACTTGTCTATATACTGGGGCATGGAGGCGTTAATACTGTAAAATAGAATAGATGTACATAGATGTATGTATAACATAAATCAACTCATGACAAGTGGAAGGACTCGTAGTAGTGATCATCTGTTAGTTCCTGCCTGAGGCATGCTACATCCCGTCACGTTGTGGTCTCCTTCCGCCTGCCTCTTTCAGCCCGTGCGGCGTACGTAATGCCACTCTAGCCTCTCTCTGCCTCTCTGCCTCTCTGTCTCGCTCTCTCCCTCTCCTTCTTCCTGTCGGGTTCTCTGACTTGTGGTCTCTGGCTTTTATTAACTGATCTTTGTGCCTGGCATACCTGGCTGCTCTACCAGCTCCTACCGCACTTGCTTTGGCAGCTCTGCTACCGTCGGCGTATTACGGAACCTCCGCGCGCGAGTACCTAAATTGAGCTCCGCCTACCATGGCCAGCGCATCTACACACTATCCCCATAGGGACTCTCACGACGACGAATCAATCCTTGATGATGATGTGATTGATGCTGATGACGGTGAGTACTACCATTGAGAACATTTCCACCGGAAAAACGATCCGCGACAGGTCCCACTGACGCTGGGGGGGAAATTTTCCGACTTCTTTGTTAGCCATCGAAGCCGATGACCCATTACACGATACCTCGGACACGGCCCCGCTACGAGGCAACATCCAGGCCGAATCCTCGAGCTCCGCCGGTCGCAACCTGTCCGGTAATTACCTGACGTCGTCGATTCCCGGCGAGGACCGTCGCGCGACTCACAATACTATCGACGAGAGTGTCTGGGACACCCTCTCCCGCGACCTGCTGGCAGTCTGGGAGAAGCTGCGCCAGGTGCTGTGGCCGAAGTACCTGATGGGTGGCATGCTGCAGCGCGGAGGCGGCGGGATCGGCGCCGCCGAACGTGGAGAGGCCACCGGGTTCGGGGGCGGCTTGAGGAACATCGCGGGACGCTGGCCGGACGCCGATATGGTCCTTCAAGGGGGCATGAGCGAGGGATTGCGCGATTGGGATCTCTGGTAAGTGGGATATCTAAGATCAATGGCTGGGTATTTGGGGGTTGTTGGTATGCTAACTGGATCCAGGGGCCCGCTCATCTTCTGCTTGCTGCTGAGTATGTTTTTGGCTGTCCGCGCCAGTGACGACCAGTCGGATTTGGTCTTCTCGGGAGTCTTCTCGATCGTGTGGATTGGTGAAGCGGTCGTGACTTTGCAGATTAAGCTGCTCGGCGGAAATATGTATGTGTACCACCCTTTCCTTTCGAAGGTATGGTCTCATGGTGCTGACTCGTTTCTAGCTCTTTCTTCCAGTCCGTGTGCATCATCGGTTACACCCTGTTCCCTCTCGTGATCGCTGCCCTTCTGAGTGCCTTGGGTCTCCCGACAATTGCCCGGATACCGGTTTATCTCGTTCTCATCGCGTGGTCGTTGGCGGCCGGAGTGAGCATCCTGGGCGGCTCGGGCGTGCTGCGGAACCGGGTCGGTATTGCGGTATACCCACTGTTTGTGTTCTATATTGCCATTGGGTGCCTCTGCTTCATCAGTTAGGAGGGGGAATGGCGTGAGCTGGGCTTTGGTGAAAGGGTATGAGCCTTGGAGGGAACCGTGAGCGGCGGTTAGGACGCAGAACCGGGAGCCGGACGGAGGCTCTCGCTGCATGATGTGAATTATCCAATGTTTCTTTGTTGTTGGAACAAGAACTGTTTTCTATTCCTTTTCTTATTTATTGAAGCCCGTGTATCTACTTAGAATTCCTATCTTCTATCTTCTACATATTCTACAGAGCATAGCAAATTGCCGAGCCGCAAAGCTGCGGGGCCGAGCGGTGACGGAGCCGAGCAAGTGGCCGTCCGACGACAACAAAGCAGCTTGTCGTCACCTCGTTTTGCTGGTTCGCCTCGCTGCCAACTGCTATCCTTGCCTGATCTCCTGCCGTTGCTGGCTGCTGTCAGGGCTTTGCTCTTGACTCTTTCTTCGCCCTCGTAACGCCCTCGCTTGCTTCATCCCTTCCTCACCGCGAGGAAATCGACCGACCGACCCGCCCATCCCTCACAGTGTCGCCTGGTCAACACCACACAGTTTCTGCGTGCTTCTTGAGGGGAAAGCCAACTTCCCGGAGATCCGATCCGTCTGGAGATCTCCTCCTCAGCGAGACTCCTCTAGACCACGGACAAGACCTGGTGGGTAAGATTAAGCTACCGTTTGCATTGCATATCATATCCCCACCTGCGGGCAGAAGTTGCTTCATCCACTCCCACTGTGTGTGGTCCTCATTTTATTTTTTCTTCTTCTCCTTTTTCCTACTTACTTATATTGCGCTTCTGTCCGATGCCTCGATTATCTTCCCGCTTAGCTCTTCGCTCAATGCTCTAACATCTTACTCTACCTTTCTTAGTCCCCCGTCCCGGCCGTGTTTTGACTCGATTACGTTACGACTCCGGCTGCGATCTCAATTTTGGTATTTGGGGCGCTTCTCGATATTGATACTTTTCTGTCCGACTCTCGTCGCCATATTTAGATTTTGGCACTGGGTCGCACCTTATTCTCAACGCTCGGTGATAGACATGGCGTCTGAATTACGTAAAGATCCTGGTCTGGAAGGTACGTATCACCGTGGGACTGTCGGTCCTCGGAGCCACCATACTGACATGGACGGTGTGGCTGTAGGTGATGTTCATAAAGGATCCACAGATCCTCAAGGTACGTGTTGCAAGGTGATGTTTCGGCTCTCCTTTTCCGATGGAAAATTTCTTTCGAGTATGCTTCGGCGTGATCTGACATGTTTCAACCGGCAGTGACAACCGCCGAAGACTCCCAAGCTTCCGATAACGAGGGCGGCGAGCGTCCCGTGCGCAACAAACTAAAGGAAACATCTATCACGTCCGTTCCTGCCCCCGAATCCTCCTCGACCGAACAACCACAACCGCAAGAAGGAACGCTCAGCCGTGATAGCAGCCGAGGTCGCAAGCGATCATTCGACGACGGCGAGGCAGAGAAAAGTGACGGTGAGAACGGCGACGACGACGAAATGGACGACGCTGGACACAGACGGAAGAGGTCGCGTGATTCGAGCTATGAAGAAGCAAACGCCGCTTTGTCGAAATCTGAAGATGGTCAACAGCTGGGAGGGTTGAAGGATGCGGAGGCCCTCTCGCGCAAGATCTTGAGTCCTAAGAAGAAGAGGAGCAGGGATCAGTTGGATAAGGATGAGACGAAGGCTGAAGACAGCGCTAAGGAAACCGAGAGTAAGACTGCTGCTGCTGCGGAGAACGGTGCACCGACGGAGACGTCTGCGGCTGAAGGTGAGCCGGAGAAAAAGAGACATCGGGATGCTTCGCAGGAACGAGAGAAGGTAAGCCGATCACTCTTGCCGGGGTGGGAGCCACCATATTGTGATATTAACCTTGCTCTTGCCAGGCCCCCGTCACGAGCGCATTCGCCAACGCCTCCACCGTCTCTCCCTTTGGGTCGCTGGGTGCTTCACAAGCAAAGAAGGAAGAAGAATCGAAGCCCGCCGCCACCACGTCCTCGTCTGCCTTTGCCTCATCAACCCTAGCCGCCTTCTCTGGCTCGGAGCAATCGCCTTTCGGCTCGCTAGGAAGCTCGACGCCGTCTGTCTTCAAGTCGTCGGAAACTGCGGCCACGAAACCCGCCGCCACTGGATTCGCCGCCGCCGCCGGCTCTTCGGGCTTCTCTGCCCTGGGGTCTGGGTTTTCGGGATTCAGCGGAGGCTTTGGGGCAACGCAGCCCAAAGCAGGTCTCACCAGTTTCGCCTCGCCGTCGGCCACGAGTGCTCTCAGTGGTTCCAGCAAGGACAAGCCATTCGGGGCTCCCGCCGACGAGGAAGAAGAGGAGGACAACAAAGAGGAGAGTGTCGATAGTGGTCCGGGTGAATTCGAGCAAGATAAGACCGACGAGCGGTTTTTCGAAAGGCCGAGTATGTCCTTCCGATCCTTCTATGACCTATCGAACGTAAATGCTAATATCCCTACCAGTCGAGACCGGCGAAGAAGAGGAGAAGACGTACTTCTCCTGCAAAGCCAAACTCTTCCAGTTCTCTGACAAGGAGTGGCGCGAGCGCGGAATCGGCACCTTCAAGGTCAACGTCAAGGTCACGGACGGCAAGGAGGACAAGAAATCCACTCGACTGATTATGCGCGCCGACGGTGTAGGACGGGTGATGCTGAACACCCCCATCTTCAAAGGCATGACGGTTGGCGACGCCGCAGGCAACGAGCCGAGCTCGAAACAGATCAATCTGGCCAGTCTGGAGAGCGGTCGTTCGGTCCCCATACTGCTGCGGGTAAGTCCTTCATTCCTTGCGTTGTTCATTGCCCTGAGTGAACATGGTTCTCCTGTCCGGATCAAAGAACCCACCCACAGTCAGTAACTAACCAACCATGTTCTTCACCTTTTAGACCGGACACGAAGATCACGCCAAGGAGCTTTATCAGGTCGTTTGCGACCTCCTCAATGAACAATGAACAGCGATCATATCCTACCTTTTTCTTCTTCTCTCTCTTTATTTATACATTGCCATTGCATCCAGAACCGCAAATGATTCGAGTCTACACCGGAGCCAGATACTTCCCTTTCTATATTCTAGTAGAACAAGTCACCAGGCGTTTTCCCCTTTATTTCATCGGACCGGGGCAAAAGATCGCCTCTCCTTTTCCTCACCCCCGTGGATGGGGGATTATTGACTAATACTCCACGCACGCACAATTAAAACGCACACACTCTATCCGGTCACTCGATTCCGGCCCGGGCCTATGCATCTATTTCTATCATCTTTGGAAAGGAAGAGGGAGGGAAGATAGAGAAGGAGAATGAAGAGGGGATTGGATACGTAAAACGTCTGCATTTCAGGGGCTCGATTTGGGTAGGCATTTTGCATTTGGATACGAGGAGTCTGGACGAGCTGGTTGGATCGGATCGGAGTCTTGAGAACTGGAGCTGGAACTCAACTCGACGGGACTTATACTTGGTAGTTAGTTGGTTGGTTGAGTTGGTTTGGATTGATCTTTGGGGGGGGGGTTGGACTTTTTCTCTTTCGCCTTCTTCTTCTCTCTTTCTTTTTCCAATACCTTGTTCTATCATTTCGCAATTACCCTCCTTTCTTGTTTATTGTTTAATTTCTCTCTCTCTCTCTCTCTCGTGGTGATTTGAATATACCGCATTTCGTTATTTCTTTTTTATATCCCCCCCTTCTCTCTCTTCCTGTCATTCTTATTTTTCTATGTCAAAGATGATTTTTCCTCATTAAGCTCCTCGTCCTTCTATATCTTTCTTCTTTCCTTCTTTTCTTTTCTTTCCCTCCCCAAGCTAGGGGACCTATCTAAACTAGATGCCTGAGGCAAAAAACAAAAAAAAAAAAAAACAAAGCAAGGCACCTTCCGTAACCAACTAGACCAAATCAAGTAATATTAGATAACTAAACCGGCAGGAACGAATCACGTGAACGCGCGTCGTTTCCGTCTTCGCCTCCTTGCCTTGTTTTTTTCTATCACCTCCTTCTGGGAACAAAACGAACTTTCCTGTAAATAAATAATCCATCACCTCGGCAGAGTACGTCTCAGTATATCGATAGAAGGAAAGAAGGAAGGAAGGACACACAATGGGGCGTCGTGATGTCGACACGTTCCCAATCGCAATGTTCTTCAGATCGCGCTGGCCCTCCTGTGGTGTCGACGAAGCGGAAACGAACATCTCTTGAGACGAGGGATCCTGGGAATCCGTTGGCCGAGAATATCGAGGAGCGGGGTTCGAATACAGAGACGCAGGGAGGTGGTGAAGAGGAGAAGGGGAAACGACCTCGCAAGGAGGAAGGGGGTCAAGATCTGTTGGGATCCAGTGCGCAAACTACGAGTCATGAGGATCATTTCTCGAGGACATCCTCGGAGCAACCGACGACGAACCCATCTACTTCTACGAGCCTGACGAATAATGGAAAAGGGAGCGGCAAAGGCAAAGGCAGAGGTAAAGGCCAGCCTATGAGCTCGGACAAGAAGGCACCTCCGAAACGAAGGACGCCGTCCGGGCCCTGGCCGGATCCGTTCAAGAAGCTATCGCGGACCCATCGCGCGTTAAACCTGGTGTATACGTTCTGCTGTACGCGGAAGCATTTCGCGACCACTTTTGAGAATATAAAAAATGCCGTGCAGGGGCAGATGGGTGGCGATGCGCTGACGGTGGAAGATGTTGCGCGTGTGAAGACCCTTGTGCCGCGCGCTGTACGGTTCGAGTATGTGGATGAAGCGAAATTGGAGGTGATGACTGTCGGAGAGAGGGAGATGCTTCAGTCGTATGGAAGTGACGGGTCGGGTGATGACTCTGACATGACAAAGATGTTGCTATTTGAGCTCGTGGATGGGGACCTGAAGAGGGAAATACAACATCCCAAGACCGGAGAGGCAACAAAACCTGTCCGGAAGATGAAGGACGAGGATTTGAAGATGCCGGTTTACAGTCAGAAGCAAATGCTGGGGTTGATTGAGAAACGAAATAAGAAATTCACCGATGCGATCGACGCGTTCCTGGTACAATGCGAGGACGATGGAACTGACCCAGCCGACAAATTGGAGCGGGAGAAGGACTTCTGGATTCCGGTGCCCCCTGACGACGAGGTTGAACATCGTGCGTTGAAATCTAAAGCACCAAAGGAGATACCCAAAGAACGCAAGGCTATGTCAGAAATCATTGGCGAGATCCGTGAGATGGACTGGTATACAGCGCAGATCGTACCGGAGGGACATCGAGTGTTTGAGGCCCAGCCTGCTATGTACGGTGACTTGACGTTTCCACTGTCCCAGAATCTAGTCAATGCTTTGTATAACACCAAGGGCATTACACAGCTTTATTCTCATCAGGTGGAGGCGATCAATCACCTTTATGAAGGTCACCACGTCATTGTCTCAACGTCAACCAGTTCGGGAAAGTCGTTGATTTACCAGGTGCCGATGCTCCATGAGCTTGAAAAAGACCATGCGAGTCGAGGTTTGTACATATTTCCAACCAAGGCACTCGCGCAAGACCAGAGGCGGAGTATGAAGGAGCTCTTGCAGTTCATGGACGGCCTACAGGACGCGATAGTCGACACATTCGACGGCGATACTCCCATGGAAAACCGGAACCTCATTCGTGACGAGGCACGCATCATCTTCACCAACCCTGATATGCTGCACATTACTATTCTTCCTCAGGAAAGCTCTTGGCGCTCGTTCCTGAAGAACCTGAAATTTGTCGTGGTGGATGAACTGCACGTTTACAACGGCCTCTTTGGTTCCCATGTCGCCCTCATCATGCGACGACTGCGTCGAGTTTGTGCTGCCGTAGGAAACCGACATGTTCGATTTATTTCCTGCTCGGCTACTGTGGCGAACCCAGAAGGCCATATGAAAGCTGTCTTCGGGATCGACGATGTCAAGTTGATAGATTTTGATGGGTCCCCTTCAGGTCGTAAGGAGTTTATCTGTTGGAACACGCCGTTCAAAGACCCCGACGACCCAACTTCCGGACGTGGCGACGCTGTTGCTGAAACGGCACGGCTGTTTTGTCAACTGATTCTCAGGGGCACGAGAGTAATCGCTTTCTGCCGGGTTCGACGACTGTGCGAGATCCTTCTGCAAGCCGTGCGGGCCGAATTCCACAACCTCGAAAGACAGGAAGTTAGTAAGCTGGTGATGGGCTATCGAGGCGGATACAGTCCGCAAGACCGTCGGCGCATTGAGAAAGAGATGTTTGAAGGCCAGCTAATGGGTATTGTGGCCACTAACGCTCTAGAACTGGGTGTTGATATTGGCTCCCTGGACGCTGTAATCACCCTGGGTTTCCCGTATTCCATTTCCAACCTGCGCCAACAAAGCGGACGTGCTGGACGCCGTAACAAGGATTCTCTCTCCGTTCTGGTAGGTGATAAATTCCCCACGGACCAGCACTATATGAAAAACCCGGAGGAGCTCTTCACTCGACCCAATTGCGAGCTGCAAGTGGACCTGACCAACGAGCTTATTCTCGAGGGACATGTGCAATGTGCCGCGTTCGAGATGCCCATCCGCCCGGAAGAAGACCGCATCTACTTCGGTGAACAACTCCCCGAGGTTGCGGCAACACGCCTCATGCGCGACGGGCTGGGCTTCTATCACTGTCATGAAAGGTTTCGCCCCCAGCCCTCGCGCTGCGTCTCAATCCGCGACACCGAAGACCAGCACTTCGTCGTCATTGACGTCACCAACGCTCGGAACATGGTTTTGGAGGAAGTCGAGGCCTCGCGGGCGTTCTTCTCCATCTATGAAGGCGGGATCTTCCTCCACCAGGGACAGACGTACCTGGTAAAAGAACTCAATCCGGACCGGCGATTCGCGCGTGTCGTCCGCGTGCACGTCGACTGGGGCACTATGCAGCGTGATTATACGGACGTCGATCCCATTGAGACGGAGACGATGCGCTTCGTCCCTACTACGTCATCTTCGCCGTCGCGCGCCTTCTATGGCTCTGTCCGCATCCACGCCGTCGTCTACGGGTTCTTCAAGGTCGATAAGCGTGGCCGTTTGCTTGATGCCGTGATGGTGGACAACCCGCCCATCGATATCTTTACCAAGGGCATGTGGCTGGACGTGCCAAAGACCGCGCTCGACATCCTCAAATCCCGATATTTGAACATCGCCGCCGCCATCCACGCCGCCGAGCACGCAGTCCTTTCCTTACTCCCGAGCTTCGTCATATCCTCTCCCGGCGATGTCCGCACCGAATGCAAGGTCGCCAAGAAAGAATTGGGCAAGAACTTGAAATTGGCCGTCGATGCCCGGAACCAGACCGCGGCAGAGAAGGAGAACATCCGAAAACTGCTGCAGCCGCCTGCGCGGCAACGACCAGCCCGGTTGACTTTTTATGATGCCAAGGGGGGATCATGCGGCTCGGGGATCGCAAGCAAAGCGTTTGAGTTTATAGACGTGCTTCTCCGTCGGGCCGTATCGCGCGTCGAGGCCTGCCAGTGCGTGACCCCGCAGGGATGTCTTGAATGTGTTTGCGATGAGCGGTGTAAGGAGATGAATTCAGTGATGAGCAAGGCCGGTGCCGGGGTTGTGCTGCGGTGCCTGCTGGGATGGGAGGTGGACGTGGATTCATTGCCGTGGGGAGAGAATGTGGATGGAGATGACGGACTAGGTGAATTAGCAGGAGGATTAGAGACGGTGATTCCGGCTCGAGAAGTGCCTTTTCGAGATATCGAGAGTAGATGATAACGATAGGGGTGCGTGTAGACAGGTTTGTGTGACCAAACCTAAGATGCAATGAATGAATACCACGTCATACAGAACAACCTGCGGACACGACATGCTACCCCAAATAAAGAAAAGAAAAGAAAAGAAAAAGAGAGAGGAGGGAGCTAGGAATCGAGGATGGCGGTGCTAACAACATGTCAATAGTAGCATTGGGTATATGTACCAAGTAGATATGACAGCGATGTAATGATATGTATAGGAGTGCCACATGGCCCTGCAGACCAAATAATAGGCGGTATTTCCCTGGGTCTCACGCAAAAGAAACCAAGAAATCAGTATTGATCCAAAATTCAGTGCATCAAAGGGTATTGTTCCAAAAGATCCAATTGCGCCCATACCAGAGGCACAAGTCTACGCCATGCACAACGCCGCTAATACCCCAAAAGATGAGAAAAATCTAAACCATAATTTGCGATGCAGATCATTCCAAAAACAAAAGCCGGTCGAGTGGGGGGAAAAGGAATGGGATTGAGAGGCCAGAAGTCTAAGCTCCAAAAGATCCAGCAGAAGCGCCAGACCCGGCCCGTCCCGATGAAGGCGGGATATCCTTTCCTGTTGTGAATTTGTTCTTTCTTTCTTTTTTTCTGGTCAAGCGACAATCGAATAAAATAATTTAAGCTCCTGGGGACGAGCGCCAACCAACGGTTTGACGTCGCGACGGTCTCGGGGGGGGGTTACCCTAACGGGAGTTGTCCAGCACCATTGGATCCACCGCGATCGATCGAGCTTCGACTTCGCCACTTTTGGGCTGTCACGGAATGGTTCTGGAAAAGGCAAGCCCCGAGCCCGAGGGATTTGAAACATGTGGAGTTTTCGTCGTCTGCAGGATTCCCATCAACGTCCCTCCGGCCCAGTGGACACCGGGCTGTTTTCACTCTCGGTGTCGTCCAGGCTGATATTCCAGAACAACGTCTTCAGGTCTCGCACGCTCTCACGGAAGTTATCTCGCGGGTTGTTGGTTCGTTCTTCCGTCATGGCGCGGACCTCGCGCAGGATGTTAGGATAACCCTCGTCGTGCGGAAGCCACCAGTGATTCAGCTCGGGCAGCTCCCACACGGCGGCCAGGGCCTGCCGGAATTTTGGCGGAGTCACGTATCTAGAAAAGAAAAAGGTCAGTCTGAAAGAAAGAATTGCGCCATAAGGCGAACGTACCCATTTTGCTCCATAAGAGCGAACTTCCTCCGACTCCACATGACGTGTTTATCATCCTTGGGGGAAAACAGACTCGCCATTCCCAAACTGTTTTTGAAAGCAAATATGTACCCGCTCTCCTTGTCCGGCCACCGTTCGATCGCCTCGATCAACCGACACTGCTCCATTGCGAGACTGCCCAGCTCCTCCCAGGACGACTTCTTTACCGACAAAAATGACTGGTACTTGAACATGGCCTTGGTGGAGTAATAGTCGATCCACGCGATATTGATGTCCCACAACGGACCCTGATGCAACCCCCCCGGAACGTATGGATCCACGATATCCTCATCGGTGAGAGGCCTCTTGTTCGGGTAGTCCCAGACCGCAAACTCGGAATGATTGAATTGATCCAATATCTGTTTGATGCGATCCAGATTCTGCTCCAGTTGATCATTTTGAGCGACAAATTGATCGAACGGGATCATCCCCCGGGACAGTTTCGCATATAATGAGGCCATTTCTAGTCCGAACCGACGATTTATTGATGCGGCCAACGCCAACTGTTTGCCCGCATCGTCGGGATACATGGCGGCTTGTTCGGCATCGTATTCTTCCTTCGCAATGTACCAATCACGGCCTAGAACCGTCTCATTGCCGGCCAGAATCCCAGCCACGACGTCGAATCGAGCATACCACAGGAATATATGGTTATGCAGTGGGTTTTTGCATGCCGACTCGGGCGTTAGCAGTTCCTGCATCAAAGCGTGAGCAGCTTGGTGGTGGTCGATTAAATTCACCCAGTCCCCTATGAATTCCTGAGAAAGGTCAGCCACCTGTCTGATCCGATACACAAGATGTGCGATAACCTTGTCAGTAGGGGAAAAACAGAACGTACCTCGAAAGTGGTGAGCACCAGCACGGTGATCAAAGTTGCCTCGCAATGCGGCTCACCAGAGCCCAGGGATTTTCGCAACAATGTCAAGGCTTTATTATAATACTTGAGGAAGGTGTAGAGCTTGCCACTGCTGGTGTGGATGCAATGGTGATACGCAGCGAAACCCACAACGGCATACAGCAGAGGCTCATATCGTAACGCGTATTCCACGATGCTCTGGTGGACAAAGCGATTACTGGGCGGGCGCAAGAAATAATGTCGGTAGGACATATGCTCTTGATGGAAGGAGAGGTAAAACCGCAGGTCCTCGGGGAGATGAGCCGTACTAGGCAGCACTAAAGGCTCGTGGGCGGCAAAGCCGATGCTCGCCGAGCGCACGCTGGTCGAGTCGAACCTGAACGATGCCTCCGTCGACGGCGAGCTGCTAACGTCCTTGCTATGGACTGAGCCTTCCGTGGCGGTGGCGACGCGCTGTTTTGCCGGGCGCCTCCCCAGAGATTGGGTGCTCTGCTTCTTGGGTAACCCCTGCTTCGGCCGGGCAGAACCTGGCGGCGGCCCCGTCGCCGGCGACAGCCGCACGCTCGATCCCACGCTCCCTTCCTCTTCCTCCTCGTCTTCCTCCTCCTCGTCCAATATGGGTTCTAGCGCGCGTGCCTCTTCATGTTCGACAAAACCGGACGAGTCGCTACCACGCGAATGGGGCCGCGGAGCTTTAGGTTTCACACCGGAGCGGGATCCGGCTTTGGAGGCGGAGCCGGCGGAGGCGGATGGGTAGACGCAGTCGCGATTGCCCTTTCGACATCTGTCACAGACGGGTCGGGCCTCGTCACACTTGATGCGACGAGATCGGCAGGTGAAGCAGCCGCTTCTGGTGCGTTTGTGTTTTTTCTGATCCGGGAGTGGTTGCAGGAGGGATTGCGGCTTCGGAGCCGGCGGGTACGAAGTGGCGATGGGCAAACCCGGCTGGGGAGGTTGCGCGGGTGGGTTGTGCCACAACGCGACGCTCTCCGGATACTGTCCGGCCCCCAGCACGGAGTAGGCCGAAAGTGGTGGTTCCTGCATGGTTTGCATCGGGCCCGACAGGTAACCGGTCAGGGAGGCTTGGGGCGGGGTGTACGGATGCGCCATGGTGGTGGGAATGACACGGATTGCATTCAAAGTGCCAGGCGGATTGCCGGCGAAAAGACCGGCATATACTGGTGCAGCGATGGTGGCGGAGGTGACGATCGTTAGATGGCAGCGCCTGACAGGAGGAATCGCAGGGTAGGAGACCCGATCATTGGCATGCTCCCGAGTGGTAGGGCGGGGAGAAAGAGAGAATGAGGAATTGCGGTGGAAACAAAGACGGAGATTGAGAGGGAGGGAGAGGTTAAAGAAACGAGAGAATAAAAGGGTAACGAGCGTGGGGGGGAGAGAAAGAGAAAGATAGAGGGAGAAGGAAGGCAGACGGAAGAGGAGAAGGAGTAGTAGAAGAAGAAGAAGGCAAAGAAGAAAAGGGAAGGAGAGAAAGAGAAGTACAGAATGAGCCCAATAGGGAATAAACCACCTCGAACTACTACTCCCAAGACTCTGAAAGGCAAATTCCTCAAACAAGCAGAATAATACTAGTAATAATTAGAATTATAATAATCCGAATAATTTAATCGTATTATTCTATCCCATTATTTAATATGGCTCGGCATTGCATAGTCCCGAACATTCTCTCTGGATGGACATCGTCATGCTCCAAAGCGTGGAAATGACCTCACCACCTCCATCTTTCCTACTACAAACAACGGTACAACCGGACGGCGGTTTATCATCCTAGAGACACACGCTCTCCCCTGGACCAAGTCCCCAACACGACGTCCGGGGCATAGGAAGTCAAGTAGCCTCCGACATGGGCAGATGGAGCCCACTAGTTGACACTAGCGTTGGTATGTGCGGATTTCACGTTGATAGCATCTGGCACTAGCCATCCCAGAAACCCGTCCGAACGGAAAAGAAGAATCAGGGAGCCAGCCAAGGCGATGCTCTCCACTACTTGTTTCAAGCATATCTGCCTGCAGAAGTTGTTTCTTGGGGCCTGGAAGAATCGGAACGCGACACAAAGGCTATCTGGTGGTCGGGACAGATCCATACAGAATCATACTCTGGACGGAGTAATCATCCCTGGTGGACCCCGAGCAGAGAAGGTCCCCGGGCTGGTCCAAGCCCTGGGATGGCCTATCACGAGAGGTCTCTCTCTCTCCGTAGTCAATCCATAGCAGGGAGTAGGAAGAAGGCCGCAGAGGATGGATATGCACAGTGGCATACAGAATTCCAGCAAGATCCCTGTGCCAATCTCATCCAGAGATCAGGCAGGATGCTTAAGCCATAACTACCGGAAGCACGGCGATAAAAATAAAGAAAAATAAAGACAAGAAAAAAAAAATTTAAGAATAAAATAAAACAAAAACAAAAACACCGGTGAAAGAACGGACAGAAAGAAAGAAAGAGATCCAATTCTGTACCTAATGAAAACGACCCTCGTGGCACCCTCCACTTGATCCAAAGTTTATATCTCGAGTTGCCCCTTTCCCTGGAAGGTCCATGCCTTTTTCCTTGGCCGCCTGGCACTGGCAGTGCCGTGAGGGCATTCTTGGAAATTATGGAACAGCAACATTATTCATAAATTCATTTCCCTGTCGGCAAATCTGAAACGGACAGTCCAGGACCAGCTGGGTAAAATTTGCCGAAACGTTCGTCCGGAGTGGAGCCGGAAAAGGACTTGCGGTGGAGTGATAATAATCGCATGCTATAGGTGCCAGCGTTATTGACAGCGGGCCACTAGAGGAGCTCATTTCAGTCATGGCCATCAGTAATCGTTGCTTGATGGTGCATGGTTGATGGTTTGATGGTTTGATCTCCGTTCTCCGTTCCCTTGTGCGCCCTCCCCTTTCCCTTCGCGCGCCCTATACTTAGGCACTATAGTCTACACTATACTATGCCGAATGGACTGACTCGTGGCGATCTTCTTGATATGGTCTTGGTCGTTTTGCACATCATCCTATTTTAGGATGTTCACCAGAGAAGAAAAAAAAAATATTCCTTGGGACGGGGATAGATTTTTTCCCTTGGCCGAAAGTATATCGGCACAATCGGATGTTCCTGATCGACGAAGATGTTGACAGCCGCGTGTTTTTTCCATGAAAAAATTGAAAATTCTGTGTTCACTATGCAGGTTAGTGAAAGGTCTTCGATGTGTAAAGCTGCAGTGCCCACAATCGCAGAGAAAACTTCGTATTTTGTCCCCTTCTTCTTCGGGTCCTTTCGCCGGATCCCACGGGGATGAACTGCCAAGAGGGTCTCTCTGGTATGTGCGCCATTGTGGGTGGTACTGGAAGAGTCTAGTACTCTCTATAAGATTTTTTTTTCTTTTTCCGGTCTCTCCATTTTGCTCTTGTCTTGTCCTCTTCGGGAGGAGAATCTTGGTCCCCAGGGATGGAAAACCCCCCCTGGACTCTCCCAATCGGGTATTCTCCGCGGCCAAGTGCTGTTTGCTTCATGATTCATTCATCGGATCCCCCCCCCCTCCTTGTCCTCTTCCTCCCTCGGAAGTGTCTACGGAAGTACCGGTGTACCTAGGGAAGTGGGACAATCCTGGCATGTGGGCAAAGAACCAGACAAGACCAAACCAGCGGCATCCATTACAGCAATAGTCAATGCTGGACTAAACCGGTGTTGGCTAGCAAATATGCACTGCGTACTCCGTAGTGCATTCACTTTGGACAATGGAGCTCAGTCCCTATGCCCAGTCCAGTAAAAGGTGAGCAATGGGGGGTCGAAATCAGATTAATAGCCGCGGCCAATACTAATCAGTGCCATTTCAGCCGGCATAATCCAATGAAGGGCAGTGTGAGCATCCTCGGTGGGTAGAGGTGCCGACGGATTGGCCCGTCATATCAACGGATTGGCCATGGTGGGAAATGAGCTCTCATGAGTCTTGACTAGACTGGCTTGGATTGTCCGGTTTGTCGGCCTATCGGTCTGTCATGAGAATGATCCCTACCGCGTTCCATTCTCTTTTTATTTTTCCTTTTTGCCATTTGCTTTCCTATAGGACCAGGAGCGGGAGCCTGCATGGAAAGGAGGGTGGGAAGCAAAGCATGGTTGGTCGAGAGCCGTTCCATTTTTTTTCTCTCCCTTGTCCTTTCGCCCTCCAGGCCTCCAGGCCTCTCCACAGCGTTGTGGGTATGGGTGACTCCGGATCCATTCTCTCTAGTCTGGCTGGAATCCTCCCATATCATACGAGAGAGAGGAATAGACTGACAGTCGAAGTTCTTCTCACCCCACCCATTGTATTATGAGCGTCTCGTCGCCATGTAAGCAATTTTCCGTGGGTGCTCAACGGTGGCAAGTCTCCTTTTTTGGTGTTGGTTCCTGCCCGTCTGAGCCTATCTTAATCCTAATCCTATCGGGGACCTCGGATATGAAGAGCTTGGGAGCGAATCTGATTGTCCTGTTCGTCCAGACCAGCCCCATCTGAACTGGTCTTGTGTCTGTACCAAGCTCAAGAAGGAAAAAAGGCCCCAGTCACGGATGCATAGTTGCATTCTACGTCCCGAGTGGTCTCCCTTGTCTCCATTCCACGGTTGAATGATTCATGAATCATGACACAGAAGCCAGGAGGGAACAGCCACACGGTTTTTATCATCGGAGTTAAGCCAGGCCATCAACAGCAAAAGAAATGGTTCTAGGTGGGAGGTCTGGCAGGCAACGACCATTCAACCTGCCGTTTCACCGACGCCAAATGAAGATCAGATCAACAGAGGCTTGTACACGTTTCACCAAACGGGCCGGGGAAACCAGGAAATGAAAGGCTGGTTGGCGGTGTTGCTCGAAGGATGATGCCGCATGAGTAGTCGCAGTAGTGTCTCTGTCTTGTCTACCTTACGGGATACCCTATATTCTCTGTTAAATCATTGGCCACGGGGAAATTGTCGCCGGAAGGCAAACCTTTTCTGGGGTTCCTGATCTGTAGTGCGAGCCTGCATTGTTGTACTTCCGGCAGGAGGCAGAGAAAGAACCCTTTCCACTTCTCACCTTCGTAAACATTGCCATCCATTCCGGGTGGCCAACGGACCATGACTCTAGGTTGCTTCATCTCCGTGGCGTTGTCCACCGGCAGAGCGTGAGGCAAGCATCCCCGAGTCTTTTGCTAATTAATAAACGCTAATTAACCCCGTCCCTGAATTAATTAAGAGACCTTTCTGGTTAGTTGCCACCTTCCCAATTGAGAACAACGATGGGAAAAGTTGTCTATTAAGAATCGACTGGATCTGATGATGCAGGGTGATGCAGAATTTCCCCATCCCTTCTATTTCCCTCAAGTCTGACTCTGAAGTCTGAACCCTGTCTTTAGTTAGATGAAAGCCAATGGTTGGTTTATCAGATCCAGACAGGCTCCATAGTCGGCGTTTGTGCCTCCGTGATCCGTCCAAGATGCTAGTGTTGTGGATACAGGTCAGTCCTATGCTATCCAGTGTCCAGTGTCCAGAATCCGGTAACCAGCTATCAGTCCGGCGCTGAGGCTATTATTTTTGGGACGCTGCCATTTAAACGTTGATCATTAGTACGTCGTGGATCATATGGGCCATCGTACTCGTAATACGTAAGCCATTGATTAGCCTTTAACTTCCCAACAGTATCATCTTGGCTTAGCTGATGGTCATGAGTCAATAGATGGGGGCCCATTCTTTCAATCTGCCCACATAGCAGAGACAATAATGGGACACTATCACCGATGCCAGCCGGCAGTAGTGTTCTCACAGCGCCATAGAATGAAGCCGGTGTATGCAGATACTTCCGCAGAAGGGTACTATTGATTAAGATATCGTGGAGCGAGTAGAATTGGAAAAGAGAAATCAATTTACGAATTGGCGCCGTGTGAGCTTATCCCCTCACTCCCCCCTTTTCTCTATATCGAAAACTGTTTTGTTTTCTGCATCGTATCATGACTTCCTGCTCTCTGATTAGTTCCCACCGTCACACAGAAACATCCTTCAATTTGAAATGAACCTACCTCTCCGTTTCAATTTTCACAATCCCCTAAGGTAAATTGCCTGTGTATTTTTGAGATCGTGAAATCGTCACCTAAGTTTTCATGCAAATGTTTTGGTTTTTGTTGGCATAGCCCCTTGTGATATATAGTAGACTTAATAATTTTACCCTCTGATCTCCTTGATCGTTAGCTGCACGCCCTCAATCACCACCCCCCATTCGATACGATGAACCTTCTCTTCGAATTTTTCTAGGTCTTCGTCCTCCCCCTTAACGAAGGGGATTTCCCGGACCAGAATCGGCTTGCCCATGTCGACCTCTGAAATCACGTTGTGGATCATCACACCGGTCTTGTCGATCTTGCCTTCCAGCCAAGCAGCGTGAGCCCGCTCGATGGCATGCTATGAATGAGAAAGTGGTTAGTGAGTGTTCTTGGTAGACCAAAACGTCCAATCAGAAGTCATCGTCTGATCGAGACAAGAAAAGTCCCATTCTTTCCTTCCTCACGCCCGAGAATCCATGGGAGAGCTATTGATTATTCGGGTATATATTCCCGCCCACCCGGTCAAAAACACGGAGGGAAACGTGGAAGGCAACTTACAGCCCCATTGAAAGCCCCCGGCAAGGCAGGATGAAGGTTAATGATCCGGAGTTTTGCCTCCTCCAGCGGCACCAAGAACTTCGGCGAAAGCACGTGCATGAACCCAAGACAGCAGACCAGCTCTGGGCCGTCGGTGAGCACTAATCGTGCCAATTCCGCATCGTAGGCTTCCCGCGCCCGCTGGACGCCCTCGGGAGTTGAGGGATATTGTTTCTTGTATTTGACGAGATTGTGGTATTCCGTGGGTATGTTAGCCTTGCGGGCGCGCTCGAGGCCGTAGGCGTCCTTGCGGTTCGAGATGACGCGGACAATGGTTGCCGGGAGTTCACCCGTGCTGGTCTTGTCAATGACGGCTTGTAGATTAGAGCCGTTGCCGGATATGAGGACGGTGATGCGGACGGGAGTTGCCATTGTAGCTGATTCTCTTGCTCTTCAGAGATCGAGGGGTATAGGATCCGTAGAGGGGTATGACGTCGCAAGGGAAACGGCGGAGAGGCGCGCAGAGAGGATCGTTTGGAACCAATCGACCGATAAAAATTGGTCGCAGATCTTGCGCGAGGTTTCTAGTTCCTAGAGAGTTGAGGACTCAAAGCCAAGGGAAGGTCAAATGAATCGCAAAAATCACCGGAGCAAGCACGGCGGGACGATACCGGAGGGGTCGACAGCGGGTGGGATGAGTCAGCATGGAGGGGCGGAGATGGCGGGGCGTGTCTACGATCTATACTCTACATGCTAAAATTGGAGAATGTAGAAGACTCGTTAGATTATACGGCCACGCGCAGGAGCAGAGAGACAAATTTAAATATCCAATAAGGTATTTCACATAGAAAAATGAAGTACAAGAACCCCGTGTAGGTAGGATCATGGTAAAGACATTCATGGCCACCGGAACATAGCGAGCTGGGTACACCGCACAATTTGAATGCCATTGATGCCCGAAGCCCAACAACCAAAACAGGGGCGTCCTGTGGAAGAGACAAAAGAAAGATCGAAGATGCACGGGATATCCATTATGAGAAGGGAAGAATGTGGAAGGGAACAAGTTCGTTAGACTGCTAAATAGACGCTTCATGCTAATAATCCTCAGATGGTTCGGGGCTATTAAAAAGAGATAGTTCGGAATCCTGGAAGGGCAGAAAAACCCAGGGAGAAAGGTGGACTTGCTCATGCTGCAGCAGGGCTCGGTGCAGTCGTCGCGGCATCCGAGTTGGATGAATCGACAACGCCCTGGCCTCGACACAGGGGGCAAGAGTTGCGACCGGTTGTTAACCACTAGTTGGAAAGTAATTAGCTGGTACGGCCTTTGTAGAGTTCACCACCGGGGCTAATCGGACGAACCTGATCTATGCAATCTCGGTGGAAGACATGCTTGCATTTGTTCAGTTGGCGAAGTTCCTCAGCTGCCTCGTAGTCGCTGAGACAGATCAGACAGCGGTCCCCGTCGGGGATATGAATGGTGCCAGCATCATCCAGACCCTCCGCAGTGAGCGATCCGCCGTATTCCACGAGACGGAACAGACCGCCAGCGGAGCTGAGTTCTTCCTGGGTGGCAACGGGTGGTTTCACAGGACCCAGGAGAGAAGAAAGCAAAATCATATCCTCGTAAGTCGGGTTCTGCCGAGTAAAGTTAGTAAGAGCAGTACAAGAGCAAGGAGGAGTGGTGTCAATCTCACGTCGGTGAACAGACTTGGGGTTGCAAAGGCAGGGTGGTTCTCGGAGAGATTGGTGCCAACGACGTAGATTAACCAACTTCTGCCGGCAGGTGGTGGCGCATGGTCGGGTTCGACAACGCCATTGCGCCGAACCGCACCGGAACCCAGATCACGATGCCGAGCATACTCTGAATCACTTCGACGTCGCTGGTGCGAAGCGGTAAAAAGTGGATGCTCGTCAACTTCAACCGCAGGCTGCATAGTCCGGTTCTCGTCGGGTTGCGGCAGAGCACTTGGGGGCATCATCGACGCAGCGGATGGCCTGCGGCTAGGGGTTGAAGCCCCTGATGAAACCGCCGAGAGTCCTGGCTCGGCGGGTGTGGACGGAGGAGGATGAGGTCCAGGAGGGCTTTCCGAGGGCACAGAAGGGACAGAGGACAGAGGCACCCGGCCTCCAGTCTCAGAAAGTCGTCGCGACGGGCTTTGATGGCCCTGCAATTGTGGGGTGTCACCATTAGTGTTCAGGGTACTAGGACTCCCCATTGAATTGCGATTGGTTACGGGAAATCTTGGTCGTCCTTCGGCGCGTGGTGAAAGAGTAGTGCTATTTTCCGGGCCACGGCCGAGGCTTCCTGGAGACAAGAAAGGCAAACGGAGTAAGGCATCTAAGCCGGGACCCCCGTTGGCCTGTTGGTCACTTCTAGGACCGTTGCCCGATGGTACCGATCGAACTCCCACGACGACCAGGGTGACAGTCCGTCCCTCGGGTCCGTCCATGGGATTCTCTAAATCCATCCCATCCGCACCTGTGCCAAGGTTATCGGACTCACCCGCAGAGCGGTTCGACATGCCAAGTGAACCAGCGTTCTCCGAGTTGGCAAATCTAAATACTCGCAAGAAATTGACAGGTGTCGGTGGGCCATTTCCCGTTTCCGCAGCAGAGGGTCCTGGTGTATCATCTGGCGCTGTCTGTGTTGACGTCGCGTGCTGCAGACTTTGGATGAAGTTTTCCAGGGAGCCGTCCAAACCGTCATTTCCAAGCGCTTGGATATTAGGCATTACTGGACCGGTAGTGCCGGAAAGCTGGGCGGCGATGGCAGCAGCGGCTAGCTGAAGGACGCGTGATAGGGGTGTCTGCTCCTCCCGTCGCATAGCCCTAGATGATCTGGCTCGCAATAGACCTGGGAGTTGCCGTAAGCCTGTTGATCCCTGTGTAGACTGCGACGACATCGGGGACGTTGGACGAGTGCTTCCTACAGCAGGCTCAACGGAGTCCAGTTCGTGGGGCTCGTCGAAGTCCATACGAGAGTCCATGGGTCCTGGATGCGGAAGGAACGTGTGTGGTGGCTCGTTGGATATTGAGCCCATAGGATGTTGTTGCCCATTGCCCGTGATAGGATCGGCCATATTCGAGGACGATTGACCGAACATGTGCGTGATAGGGCTTGACAAGGAGTGTCGCATACGATGCAATCGAGCACTTCGACGCCAAGATCCTCTCGTATTTTCCGGCGTATGGTCGGCGGTGGGATCGAAGAAGGTAGAAGAATGAGTGGTGTCCGGAATCAGGCCCGGGTCGCTGCGCGGAATGAAATAAGGTCCCCGAATCGAACGTCGTCGGGTGATACCTCTTGAGCCAAACGAGCTAAAGGGGCTGAAGCGACTGCTACTGTGAGAAACTTCGGAGCGTGGAAGGGTTCGCGAAACGACTCCATGGCGATGAGCGTGGCCCTCGGCAGGCGTTTCTTCTTCGCTGCTGAGAAGCCCACGGATAACCGAATTTGGCAAGATCCTTGACCCTAACCGCGACATAGTGGACTGTCTTCTGGCAGCCATGCGAGCGAAGATTGCCGACCGGTATTCTCGCTGACTCGATTCATATTGTGACCCATTCTCCTCCTGGATGCTTGCCATGTGTCTCGAGGCTCCATGGTGTTCTTCGGAATTCATCGGGTGCCAGGACTCCGCAGACCGGCTTTGCTGACCGGAAGGGGAGGTCTGGATACCATTGTCGTATAATTCGGGTCCGGACTGGGGCTCATAGTCCCCAGTCTGCTCAATGCCGTGCCCGTTGTTCATGTCCGCATTACTATTAACCCGACCACGGGCTGCCTGACGAGATAAGATGTGTTCTAGGTGATTATCGTGACGGTGGTTTCTTTGCGTCGAAGAAGACTGTCCCATAGTAACAAGAGTGCAAGATCGGGACGTGGGGATGGGTATTTAGAAACCGCCTATTGCCATCGACAACTAGATGACTAAAGACAAAATGTCGCATTAGTAAGACGAGCGATGACAGGATTTACTTGCGAAAGGCAGCTAACGGAAGGAAGAAACATGCAGAATCAAGGAGAAACGACAGGAATGAGAAAAGTAAGATAATGTAAAGGGCATGAATAGAGATGAGGGAGGACCCAGAAGCGAAAGCGACACGAGAGGCAGACTTCGTTAATGAACTTCCGCGGCAGCGCTTCTTGAAGCCGGTTACCAGTTGCTTTCCCCCAGACGCCTAGTAGAGAAGCGAATGAAATATTACTGGGGAAGTACTTACCATTGGACGGTTCAGGTAAAGCTCAGCGCCCTGTATGATGGGGTTGAATATCCCAAGAGACCTGGATGCCCGCGTCGGAGAGCGAACAGTCCCGGGTGATCGACTTTCCCAAGAGATCAATTATCAAAGTAGGATGGACGCAGTTGAGTCGCTTGATATCGCGGGAAAAAATTCGCTAGATAGGAGGCAAAGAATTTCGGAATACGCAGGAATCGAGTTGCTCAATATCGAGAAGGGACTGAATTGTGGGAGTCGGAGCGGCAGGTGCCAACGATGTCAGTGACCGTGACGAGGAGTCGGAAGTTTAAAAGAAAGGGTTCGACCGGCTTCAGGAGAGAACCCCACGACAACCAGGTCGGGAGGCCAGTCAATAGTAGGGAGCGGGCGGATATTGACGACTTGATCCACGGGGATGAGGACGGAAGTTGGAGGAAGTTGGAGGGATGAAGGGGTTGTAGGAGAGAAAGGAAAGCGGTGCGATGATGACGACGGGAGGTGGACGATAACGGGGTCTTTTGGCCATATTATTTGGGCGGTTTGGACGGTTTGGCAGGTTTGCTCTTTGCTGACCTTTAGGCGCCGTTCGGGACTAGCTTTGACCCGTTTAGGCAAGTCTGCACCCTGCCGCCCCGTGACTTTCGAGTACGAAGTCATAATAGTATATTATTCTTTCCAATTATTTCCAGGCATTGGATACTCCAGAGTCGGTCCCGGGACTGGCACTAGGACCTGCAAGAATCCCGTTAATCCCGTCAATCCCGTCACTGGTTTCTGAGTAGAACTCGCGTCTGTTTTCCGTCGGAACCGGCCGGGTGGGGCCTGAGGCTATGTAGGTGAGAGCCTTAACTCCTCTCGGATCTGATCTATCGGTCTTGGCGGGTGATCTTCCCTTTGCTTTTCATTTTTCCATTCTTTGCTTTCATTTTTCCCTCCCTCTCTACACGTCACATTGGCTTCCCCACTATAGCTCTCGATTGATTTTGACGTCAATCGACTATTTAAAGAAAACAAGATTCTATAAACAAGAAGGACAGAAAATCAATCCCATTCGTCACCTAGTCGCATTCACCCTACCAAACCCTGGCGTATGCAACTACCCCAACGGCCAGTCTCCATGGTCGTTAGCCTACCACCCCTCGAGGGATAAGGAGACCACCAGCGTCTTGACGCTAGAGGACTTCATGGCGTTCGCTCCTTCGGTGTCGGCCTTTTCTCTTCCACTGCAGACATGGCGACAACCCGTTAGTCTGCGCACGGCTCAGTATGAACCGAAGAAACGTAAAAAAGGGCTGAATGATTTGGGCGATGCCGATATCGACACCGAGGGCGAAACAACGGATGCTGCATCGGAGACAGCGCCCTCTGGCCTCTCCCTGACATTGTCGCCGGATGAAGCGCATCAGTACCGCATTGCCGGACTCCCTTTTGACCGGGAAATACCTGGCGGGAATTTTCCTCACGGCCCGGCCAAAGATGAGAAATTGCCTCGACAGACCAAGGGAGAGATTCTGAAAGAGCTGTCGTCCTTATCGTCTCCTATCTATCCCCCGCAGTCTGCTGCTCATCAGGGTAATCTCCGACTCCAGCATTTTGGCGTCCTCTCCTCTGTCCTGCACCGCTGCCTTCTCCAAAGGGACTATATCCGTGCTGGCAGGGCATGGGGACTGCTTCTTCGCGAGGAGTATAACGGGACTCCTCTTGATGTGCGAGTCGATGAAAGATGGGGCATCGGGGCCGAGATATTGCTCCGGCGCGGCCGTCAGATATCCGACAATGCATGTCAGGGAGACAATGAAGCCGCTCAAGCGACAGAGCCGTCTAAACTTCTTTTCACCCGGAAAGGATTCGAAGATGCTAAACAGTATTACGAAACACTAATTGTTCAACATCCCTTTCGAAAGGTAGCGCCGGATGATATAAGCTCCTTGCACTTTTATGCGGCCATGTTCGGACTGTGGATTTATGTCACTCAAGAGGAAAATCAGATGGCTTTCCAAAAGATCCTGGAGAATCAAGAGAACTCGTCAGAGATCTCGGAACAGGAAGATGCAACGTCTGATCTGGATGGCCAGGGCGGCTCCCGCAATAAAACCCGGGCCCTCCTTGCAGAAGTCAAGAAGAACGAACTCGGGGAGGCTCAGAGGATTGCGGCTAGAATGGACGAAAAACTGACGTCTCCTCCATACTCTGACTCCTCTGACCTACTTGAACTCAGGGGCATGGTTTCGCTGTGGATCGGCGATTTGTTCGTGTCTTCCTTGCCTTATCCGGAGGAGAACGATGAGTACGATGTTGACAGAACGACGCTGGTAGACGACCAAAATGACTCGATCCAGATCAGGCGAGAACAGAAACTAGCGGCGGACAAGAGGGGAAATGAGATGAAAAAGTCGCAAGTGTTCTTTGAGAAAGCTAGAAGGCGTGGCAAGGGGATGGCTTCTACACTCGAGGATTTTCATATCAATGATGATGACGATGACGATGATTTTTTCGGTTCATGATCGATGAGAGCATTCTTCATGTACATATATACTTAATGTTGTTGCATACTATTACGAAAGAGCATCAATGGAGATGACTATTCTACCATTTTGCATGACCATCTAAGATATATACTCAAGAATTACCATCGGCTGGCGGGTTGTCGCACGTGACCTCGTGGCAGCCTCGCGTGTCTTGAAAGTTCCCGCGCGTGTCGATAAGTTGGGTAACTCCGACCAAGATTATCATTTATCGCCTCTGCAACCACCATGAATGGCCCCGCCCCTTAGACCATCCCAGGAGGCCAAGCGTCTTCACTTATAGAGTATCGCGCGCCAGAAATCTTCTCCAGGTGTTCTTTCTTGTATGATTTGATTTTCTGTTCATTTCCTCTCCCCGCCCTCACCGCTTTATTTAATCCACAATGGGAGTCGGCGACTATGTACACTCCAAGGAAGCGACCCAGCCTCGGAATCCCGTGAATGATGCTGCTCCCAATCACCAATTACGGCAGAATCTGGCCGACCAAGCCAGAGTAGATGTCCCAGCAACAAATTTGGGCCCGTCGTTACCGCCACAAGCCAATAGGCAGCCGGAGTATCAAGGAACATCATTTGCCCCGGTCGAAACTGCGGTGCAAAGGGACATGTTCGACACCGATGTTGAAGGCATCGATGACTCTACCGTCGCTGCGACTAGTGTTATGGGTGGCGATGATGTCCCATACCAATTCCCAGTCGCCATGCAACACCAGCACTACAGTACAGATGGGAACGTGAATACAAAATCTCTGCATCAATTCCGCCAGACTCGTCGCCCTTACGACCCCAAATGGTATGAAAGTCTGGGGGACAGAGCCATGAAATCGGCGGGCTTTGACTCAGACGAAATCGACAATGAAAGCCAGTTAACCTCGGTGGTGGGTGACGATGAAGATTCCGATGAGACGAAGTCCAACCACTCCCAAAAACGCCGTGGCGTCGAAGCACCACTGAGCAAGCGTCTGCAGAGTTTCTGGAGTGCAAGCCGAAAGCCTTATCCAAAGAGCACCAGCCCGGTGCAGGAAGAGCCTATGAAGAGTACCTTTTACGGCCATTCCACCTCTGAGACCAGAGCTCCGAACCAAGCGTTACCTATCACCGCACCTAGAAAGATCACACTCCCCCATAACACGAGCACGACCCCAAGGACGAGGTTTAGCCCGCCGAAGCCATCCCTTCTCGACAAGCTGGAATTGACCCCCACTCGGCGCGCGTCTGGTCCCCGACCGCAGCCGACCAGGAAGACAGGCGTGTCAATAGTCAGCCCAGAGCCGCCCGGAGACGACGAAGGTCTGTTTGACCTGGATTATGGAAGGCCCGGTAGTGTGCAGTCGTTTAATCGGTTTGATATGACGAATCTCGATGCTCTCGATGACGAAGATCCGATCAATGATCCCTTTGCGAGACGCAATTCGGTTGTCCGAAGAATAAGCCCGGAACCAGTCCAGCCAAAGAAAAGACACCTCGATCTTGACTACCCACCAGAGGTCCTACGCCAGAAGTCTTTTTCCGAACTTCAAGCCGAACCCTTTGAGCGCATCCCATCAACTACTCCGCCACCCACCGCCCCGCAAACGCAGGCCCCGTCTGAAGACAAAATCTCATACTTGATGGAGATCCCCGACGCAGAACGTCGTGATTACTTTTCTAATCTGAACATGGAAGAATGGGAAGACTGCGGTGATCAATTAATCGAGGAATTCAGCAAGATGCTTAACCAGATGAAGGATCTACGTCGCACGCGGCGCAAAACGGCCGCCACCTACGAGGCTGAGATCAGAAGAAGGCATGAAAATGTCGAAGAACAGTCTACCGATCTTTCTAAGAAGTTAGACGAAATGAGAACAGGCGGGGTTGAGGTGCTGCGTGGTCGTACTCCGTGAACAGTTATGTCTTGCAACACTTCTTTTCAGCTTGCTCTTGCTGCAATGCCTCTCGATCCTGGTGATCTGCGAGGCGTCGCTGCTTTTTTTGACTTACCTACGGAGTACTTCATGTCTATATCTATTATCTCAAGTGTTGTCTGTCTTTCATGGGATTAAAATCATGCCTAGTTTAGAACGTTTATGTGTGATGACTACGAGTTTGCGTGCAGTATCTTATGAGTTATCTACGAAGACTGTTTGTCTTTATAATGCAATCGATTTACTCTACGCGTCGTCGCCCATCTCCCTGATTACATTCTGTGATGACTTGTGTATTAACTCCAAACCGATGCTAACTAATCCCATGACCTGGGTATGTTCGACGCAGAAGGTGAAATAAAACGCCAGAGTTATGAGAGATCTATGAGAGCCGTGATTCGCAACGCTGTTACAAACCGACACAAACAAACAAAAAGTATGGAGGGCAAAAATATATCCAGTAGAGAGGGAGAAGAAGAGGTCGCTGCTTATTTGTAGTTGGAGTCCTGCTTCAACAACAATGCAGAGATTCTCTTGTAATCTTCCAGTAAGGCGGCAACGTCTTTGATCGTCAGATCGTCGACGTTTTGGGTCTGGAGAAATCGCTGAATGGGAGGGTCGATTTTCGCGGTGGAGGGTCCAGCACTTCCCGAGGAAACCTCGCGTGAGCCGGGCGTGGGTCGAGCCTTCTCCGAAGGCGTTGTGATTCCTCCGGATCCGTCGGGGACCGGACGCCCGAAGTTTCGGATCATGCCTGGAATATGATTGAGGGGGTTGAGAGTATTTCCGAAGTTACGCATGGATTCTAAAGGCGTAGGGGGCTGAGAGCCAGCCGAGCCCTGTGAGAAGCCCCCAGATGAGGGCTCATCTTTGATAGAGCCGGTGCCAGGAGTGGTCTTCCTGCCGCTGCCCTGTGTCCGGACACTATCCACGCTTCGGTCACGAGGAGTTCGTTGACCCGTGACTAGTCCTAGGAATGCATCCTCGGCCTTTGAACCGATGCGCCTTAGAGGAGGTCGGTCATTAGAAGCGGTCGACTGCGCCGGACTGTCCTCTTTGCCCGAGTTCTGATCGCCAGAAATCGGTGCCGTGACTAGACGCCGAGCTTCAGCTAAGGTTTTGGGCAGGACAGGATTGTCCCCATCTTTGCCGGCCGGCTGGCTAGACTGCAATTCCTTCAGACGACCAAAGAGGAAATTGAAGCTACTGTCAAGTGATGCACCGATGTTCTTCAAGCCTTGGTCCGCAGTATTGCGCACAGCATCGTTTGCGGCTCCAAGCACTTTTGAAGGAGGTTGGAATATGTTGTTCAGACGTTGCTGGGTTGAAGCAGGGTTATGGCGTCGGGGCAAAGTGTTGGAGGAACCCTCCTTGCCGGTGGGTTTCGAGAAATCTCCAGACGCCTCAGCTGGGACAGAGGAGACGGGCGTCTCATGGCTGATGGGTAGAGGATCAATCGCTTCAAGGGCAGCTTTCGCCTGCCCCTCCGGTAGATCTGAGCGAAGTTCGGAAAGATCCACATTCTCTAGGAAGCTAATTGCCGCCTCGAGATTCGTCAAGCAATATGCCGTTTCGCCATCGATTTTGCCCGACGACCTGAATCTTTGGATGAAATAGAGATTGCTTATGATGTTAATGCCCTCTGGCGGACAGGTGATAAGCGAGTAGATCAAAGTAGGTAAGATCTCATCGGCAGAAGAGGAGGAAGGCAACAATTTCGTCAACGCATCTACAATGGCCTTGTGGGCAGCTGCAAGATGCTGGAGCTTTCCCAGAGGATATTTCTCCTCATTCATCTTCGCGAGATAATCGCGGGCAAGAGAAAGGCCCTCATCCACTTCCTTTTGCCTTTCCGGGCTGATACTGGTAATATCAACATCCACCCCCAAGTCTTTGAGATTGATTCCAACTAGGAGCAATGCCGCCGTCTTCGACCGTAGTTTCTCATCACGGACATCGTCGAGAGTGCTTTTGTGTCTCCATAGTTTGTCATAAATAGTTTCACAAGCTCGCCGTTCCACGGCTTCTTCGAGAGCAAGGCGCTTGGAAGCGAGAAGCTTTCGCGCTTGTCTTTTCTCCGTGACTTCTGAGGCGGTCAACATCTGTCGGCCGGGAGTGACATTTTCGAGGTCCTTATTCTTGGTTTTCGACGGGGTACCGAGTGCCGCTTGGCTGGGGTCGCGATTTATTCGAGAAGCAAGCGCAGATATATGTGTGGCGATATGGGATTCTGCCTTGACGTAGAAATCCTGATAGAGGCTCGATATCCTGTCTATGGTGGGAGGGGAGGAATGGACTTTGGCGCTCAGTGAGTTTACGAACCTAGTGAGGAGTGTATTAGCTACGATAAACTTTGCGAGGACCAAAGAAGTTAAGATGTGACGGGGGCCAGTACCGGTCAGTTAAGCTGGCTAGCTCGATTGGCAACTCTTCCGGTTGTCCCTGAAGACTCCGTGACAGCACCGATCCCTCCTCTTCGTGTTGGCCATCTTCACCCTTTGCTGCCTCCGGTGATGTCGCTTTCTCAAAAACGTCCGGACCAGAATCTTGGTCTTCTTCATTCATCGACAGAGGAAGCGCATCGGCAGCGACCGACTCCGTTATCGCGACTGACTGTACTGTTTTAGCTCTCGAGCGAGCTAGAGGGCTCACGTCTGCGTTATCCATCCTGGGAAACGAGCGGGCAGAGTGCAAGCGAGGCTTGTCGGAGCCATTTTCAGGGGTGCCAGAAGACATGATCGGTTTGACGGGGCAACTTTGCGCCTGATCGGATAGTTATCCGGTTTGCGGCACCGATGTTGGGATTCAGGTGATCGGCCGATGCAGATCCCGGAACGAATGAGGCAATAGGGGCTATCGGAATGTATTCTGAAGCCCCCGAGGTGCACAGGGAAGGGGATGTCAGGGAACAGAGAGTTTCAGCTGATGTTATTTGTCAAGGTCGAACATGCCGATCCAAAACCCCCGGAGCGAAGTTGTACCTGGGCGTAGCATCGACCGGTTCCCGTGATGACTGATGACTGATCGCCCGTCACGCGTCCCGAAGATCACGTGTCCAGCCCTCCGCATTGTGTCACCGCCCGATAAGTCACTCGTCCCCAACTGATAACCCGCCCTGGGCCAGACTCTCTCCCTCCCTCCCTTCTCTCCTCCGACCTCTCACTTGTCATCCCCAACATCCCTGATCGTCTTTATATCATTATGGAACGCTCTCACAAGCGGAACAAAAAGCGTCTTCTACCAGGAATAGGCCCCTTAAGTCTTCTTTTATGTGTTACTCTCCTTTCAAGCCTCGCCACCGCCTCGCGGCCTGTATACTTCGGGTCCCGAGACTCGTCCCCCTTCCTTGGTCCCCAGATTCCGCTAGTAGGGAAGCAGCCTCCTCCGTCTGAAACACATGAGTTTGTACGTCTGGCTTGACCTTGTTGTCCTCCATTGATCCCGATCTTCTAACATCCATGAAATCTAGACTCTTCGTCACCTCTTCCACCGCGGCACGTATGAACAGCCCGATCTTCACATGCGGCTAGACGTCAAGCCGGATACTCACCTTTGGTCCGTTTCGGAAGATGGGCTCGAGAAAGAGCCCGTTGATATCAAGTCCCCGTTACTTGCTACGTCCCAGCCGATTACAATCCAGCGCCTTGCCGATCGTCGACCAAGGATAATCGAGGAACATTTGATGGCCGCGCGATCTAGCGGATCGGCAAGCGTCTTATCCCCGTCGGCATGGGTCATGGATACACTAGCCGGCCCCGATGTCTCCAAGAAAAAGAACGTTCTCACCTTCGCCCAGATGACTGCAAACGATTATATTGAGGAACCCGGCAGTGAGGACTGGCAGGACGTTAATGGCAGGTTCAATTATTCTTCAAGCTTCGGTTGGGGCAACGACGGCCTTAGGGGCCATATCTATGCGGATGAGTCAAACGGCACTATTGTCATCTCCTTGAAAGGGACATCGCCAGCTCTCTTTGATGGCGCAGGCACGACCACGAATGACAAAGTAAACGACAATCTGTTCTTCAGTTGCTGTTGCGGACAGGGTGGATCGTACCTGTGGCGTCAAGTCTGTGACTGCCAGAAGTCTGCATTTACGGCCAACTTGACCTGCATCGTTGAAGCTATGCATGACGAAAATCGCTACTACCGCGCTGCGCTGGACCTGTACGCCAACGTTACCGAGCTCTATCCTGAGGCCAAAGTTTGGCTCACTGGTCACTCGCTGGGCGGTGCGATGACCAGTCTTCTCGGACTGACATACGGATTACCTGTTGTCACTTTTGAAGCCGTCCCCGAAGCCCTACCGGCAGCTCGTCTGGGTCTTCCAAGCCCTCCGGGCCATGATCCGCGACTCCCTCAATCGCGGCGGTTTACCGGAGCCTATCATTTTGGACATACCGCAGACCCAATATACATGGGAACGTGCAATGGAGTGAGCTCCGTCTGTACGTGGGGCGGCTACGCTATGGAGTCCGCGTGCCACACGGGCCAGATGTGCGTCTACGATACCGTAGGAGACAAAGGCTGGCGCGTTGGACTCGGAACGCATCGGATTAAAGCTGTCATCTCCGATGTCATCAAAGTGTATGATGACGCTCCTCCCTGCGCGGCGGAGGAAGAGTGCTACGATTGCGAGCTGTGGAAATACTTTCGTAGTAACGGCTCCGAGACGACGACGAGTTCAACGACCTCCGCGACGAGCACTTCAACCACTTCGAGCACCTCGACGTGCAAAACTCCTGGATGGTGGGGCTGCCTGGACGAAAGTACTACTACGACAGCGCCGAGCACCACCACGACCACTAGCTCGACGTCCACATCAACCTGTAAGACTCCTGGTTGGTTTGGATGCAAGGACAAGACTAGCGCCACCGATGGTACTTCATCTACTATCACTACCACCGAAGCATCGGCGTCAACATCGACATCGACGTGCAAAACCCCCGGGTGGCTCGGTTGCAAGGATCAAGAAAGCACTACAGCTGCTGCACCTGCTCCTTCACTCACATCTACCATGCCAACTAAGACCCCGTCTAGTGAATGCCATACCCCGGGATGGTTCGGCTGCCGGGATGCCACCAGCTCGACGACGGCTCTTCAGACATCTCCCCCTCGTCTCACGTCCACATGCGAAACCCCGGGACTCTTCTGGGGCTGCTGGGACACATCAGCTATCAGTGCTCATCCTATCACAACGCCTCCGTGATCTATAGACAGCACACCCAGACGTCTGCATCTGGCAACCCAACACCTAAAGTTGGAATCTCGCCCTCTCAAACCGAGGACCCAAGACCAAAAGATCATCACCCCGCGTCCGGCAAGAGGTCCACCTTCCCAGCTACACAGTCATATAACACCGCCATGTGTTGCTGTTTTTGTATTAGAATCGACATGACCGTCTACGAACCATCATCAACCTTCCCTCATCTCATTGCATTGTTCCAAGCTTAAGCGGGCGTGACTCTGACATTCTTTTTTTATTTTGTACTCTCCTCCTTTTCGGGCGTTTGGTTATATTTAGGGAATTCATTTTGGAAAGCTTCTTTGGCTACATTCTCTTGTCCTCTGCCTAGAGCGGTATCATTACAACTATCAACATTACTACTGATTTCACTGATCATGATTCAATCCATCGATTGAATTGATCTACGTCTTGAGACTTTTGGAATTGTGGACTCTGTCAGCCCATTAGATAGCCATGCTTTGGTGAATGAATGTAAGGTATCATTTTGAGATTCATTATGTCGTACTAGAATATACATCCCATGATTGGGCTACTTTACTTGTTTTTTCCAGAGTTTCTTGAGAGTTCGACTGACAGAGCAGGAGATTACAACCGAGCCGACTTGGCATCGGTAGCCAGAGCCTCAGTGGCTTTCTCGAGCCGCGCCCCCAAGCAAGGATTCACCCGCCGGAACATCTCGTAGGTGGCCTTGCGGACTCGCTCGTGGGCACCGCACAGATGGCCGGAGACGTTGTGCAGGAAAGCCTCCTGCTGACCGGGCTGACGGCCCAGGACCTGCCAGAGACCGTTGGCCTGGACGTAGTCGTCGGCGGTGACGGGGAACTGCTCAGCGACGACGCTGCCGGTCCAGCGCTCGTGCTCCTGGCTGGCCTTGACGGGCTCGTAGCGCAGCGGGCGGAAGGTGGACGGGTAGTTGGGGTTGGCGCCGTAGTTGCCGTGAACGTTCATGGCGCCGTCGCGGTGCCAGGGGCTGAAAGCGCGCATGGGGCAGTTGACGGGGATCTGCTCGTAATTGCCGCCCAGGCGGTGGCGGTGGGTGTCCGGGTAGGAGAAGAGGCGGGACTGCAGGACGGGGTCGGCGGAGGCTTCGACGCCGGGGACCATGTGCGAGGGGGAGAAGGCGGCCTGCTCGACCTCGGCGAAGTAGTTCTCCGGGTTGCGGTTGAGAGTGAAGCGGCCGAAGCGGCGCAGGGGCACCTCGCTCTGGGGCCAGACCTTGGTCAGGTCGAAGACGCTCCAGCGGAACTTCTCGGCCTGCTCGGGGCTCAGGACCTGCACGTAGCAGGTCCACGAGGGGTTCTCGCCGCGCTGGATGGCGGCGAACAGGTCCTGGGTGTGCCAGTCTGGGTTATCGGCGGCCAGGCGGCCGGCCTCCTCGTTATTGAAGGTCTTGTTGCCCTGGTCGGTCTTGCAGTGGATCTGCACGTAGTTGAAGGTGCCGTCGGGCTTGACCCACTTGTAGGTGTGGCCGGAGTAGCCGTTCATGTGGCGGTAGGAGTACGGGGTGCCGCGGTCGCTGAAGAGATGCATGAGCTGGTGGACGGACTCGTGGTGGGTGGACAGGTAGTCCCAGAACATGGTGGCGTCCTTCAGGTTGGTCTGGGGGTTGCGCTTCTGGGTGTGGATGAAGATGGGGAACTTGGCGGGGTCTCGGAGGAAGAAGACGGGGGTGTTGTTGAAGACCCAGTCCCAGTTCCCTTGCTCGGTGTAGAACTTGATGGCGAATCCACGGGGATCGCGTGCACTGTCCGGAGAGCCCTTCTCGCCGCCCACGGTGGAGAAGCGGGTGAAGAGCTTGGTCTTCTTGCCGACGCCCTTGAGCATGTCGACGACGGTGAGGTCGCTGATGTCGTCGGTGACCTCGAACTCGCCGTAGGCGCCAGCGCCCTTGGCGTGGACCACTCGCTCGGGGATTCTCTCGCGGTCAAAGTGAGCCAGCAGGTCAATTAGGTGGAAGTCTTGCAGTAAGAGAGGACCGTTAGGGCCGACGCGTTGGGCAGCCTGGGGGTCCATCACGGGACAGCCATTGGATGCGGTGTAGACCGGAGTCTCATTGTACCGGTAAGTCTCTGCCAAACGGTTGATATATATTAGCATCTGGACACCAATTGGAAGGGAGAAGACCTACTCGGCTCGTCGTCTTGACCCATGATGACGTGTGGAGATGGGTGAGTGGTTTGGGGAAGAGGATAAGAGAGATGAAGGAATCTACTCCGGTCTGTGAGAAGAAGGAGAGAGAGTGCGGGGAGTTATATAGACTTATAGAAGCCCGGGGAGTGGGGTGGGAAGGATTGAATTTTGAAAAAGAATGGATACACAACCGGAGTACGGAGTAGTGGTGTTTAATGTTGATTAACAACGACAGAAAAAAATGCAGCAAATTCACGAAAGTAGAAAAGTCCCAAGCCATAATTCCTGGCAGCTTCTCGCAGCTTTGGCCAATAACAGCCGGGACATTAGGCGATGACGTCGGCAGGCATCCAGGCACTAAGGCAGAATCAGGCAGGTCACCGCGCGGAATAACCTGCCTCCGCTGAGGTAAGCCATTCAGGCAGCATCATTGGTCTGTCTAGGACCACCGAGTGGATCGGCACCCCGCATTTTATGCTGCCTCAGGCCAATTATCAACCGTGCATTGTCAGGACTCAGGCACCAAACCTAGAATCTCGAGGGAATTCAGTACGGAGTAGTTCTCTTGTACAATTCCATTGTGAATCTATGTAGAATGCGTGAGACCATCCTGGTTTTCCATTGACAATAGAGACTTTGTCCGATTTCTATCAACCTGTCCCAACCAACCATCGCAAGAAATCACGCACCATCTGATTCAGATTTCCGTCGGCTGCGCTGCCGGTGGAGAGTGGAGACCAACCAGTGCAGGAACTAATTAATGTTAGTTAAACGGTGTACAGTCTCTTAGTCAATAGACTCGGCCAGCCATCCGGTCTATCAGCAATCATAACATGCTTATTCAATCCCTCCTGTCTAGACCGTTGGAACAGGTTGATCAATCCTCCCCAGACTTGTCTGTGCAACTCAATATGGCAGCAATTATGAGAGAATCAATCTCTGGTTATACGATAATTAGGGTCAATTATAGGTAATCCCCTTGTCTTGTTTGGTTTTTCTGGACATCTCCTAGGGTCCCCCAGCCTCTTGCACTGATGTGTACGGAATACTCATTAGGTCATGATTCAAGGATCCTGAGTCCAGTCTGACAACAGATACAGGGTCTAGGAGCATTCCTCCCATTGCTTGCCATTTATGGTAACTACAGAATACAGATCGACTAATCCCGTGCCGGTAGCCGGCGTCAGTCACCAGGCGGATGCAAGATTTGATCCCCAGAAAGTCTCCAATCTGGACTCCCAACTCTGAAATTTGAATCCACGCTACTAAATCCCCGGTTTGCCAGTCAATCAGGAACATGATATGATGGATCCGTCGACGGGAACCTCCACATTCCGAAGCGGAAGGCTTTCCCGCCTCCGCCCTGACAGAGCGGCTCTGGTCATCCTTCGTCTACCGGCAGGCATGAAACGAATAGGCAAGAGAATGAATTACAATTGCTTGAATACCAGAACAGAGTCATTTCAAATTACCATCCAACACATCGCACAAAGAGAATCAATATAGACATCATGAAAACAGAAAGCACATCATCATATAGTACAGCGCCACCTTCATCCCGACAAGCCCTTACTTCTGGTTGTTATCGCTCTTGAAGGTGTTTCCGGCCGATTGGCCCACGTTCTTGGTCGTGCCCTCGAGGCTTTCGCCGGCTCCGCTGACCGTCCGTCCGAGGCCTTCGGTGACTCCGCCGACAGTTCTTCCTAGGCCGCCGACAGCGCTGCCCAGGGTGCCGGTCACGCCGCCAATGGTCTTGCCGAGGCCGTTTCCAAGGCCGCCGAGGAGGCCAGCTATGTGAAGTATCCGTTAGCGTTGGACGATTCAAACATGAGGTAATGGAGGGAAGTATGATGTGTAATGAGCTGTCTGGACTCACAGTTGTTGTTCTTGTTATCCGACATTGTGGTGGTTGGAAGGGGTCTTTTGAGAAAAATTTGCTTGATCTTGATGGAGGATTGGGTGTGATATTCGGAGATAGATGTAAGTTGAAGAAACGATCCACGGTCGACCTGCCTCACCCTGAAATATACGGCTGTTGGTCGGGACGGCGTCCGACGAGCTACGTCATCGCTGACTAACAGCTGTCCTGCATCGGCCATGGGATGTTACCACGTGGAGTAAATCGACGCATGCGCAAGATCCAGGAAAATGACGCCGTGGCGACGTCGGAGAGTATTCCATTGCAGACATGCATCCAATTACCCGAAAACGTCGCTGATCGCTTGAGCCACATACTCAACGATGTCTCCATTCAGCCCGCAGAGGCGGATCCTGAACCGTGGCAATCCCAATCAACAAGAAAATAATCTCATATATGGATGAATACGAACTACTGAGCTAGGAGCAGATTCTAGTCGAGAAGACTGAGCAAATTCCTGCTCTTAACCTCCGATAGGGAATAATGCCTGATAGTTGAGCAGTTTCTAGCAACAGGCATATTGTGAACCAACAAAAGAAATATATACATCAAAGCATGAGCTCGTCAACGAGCCATCCCATCTAGCGGAGCTGCGCAATAGCCTTCAGTAGATCCCCGGTCACTCCCATCGCCGTAACATCTCCCCCAGCTCCGGCACCCCGAATGGTTAGCGGCAAGGCCCCGTACCGCTTCGTATAGAAGCTAATGATATTATCGCTCCCCTTGAGCGTCGCCATGGGATGCATCGTGTCAAATGATTCGAGACCAACTTTCAGCGTCTGACTCTCCACATCAATACTGCCCACGAAGCGCACCACCTTGCCTTCCTTCTCGGCGGCAACTTTGTGGCTCTTCATCTGATCGTCGAACTGATCGAGCTGCTGAAGGAATGTCTGGCCGTCCGCCGTCCCCTCGAGCTCCTTGGGAATCAAGCTCTGGACAGGGAACGCAGCAGGCGACTCCACAGGCAGACCGGCCAGTCGGCCCAGAATGGTCAGTTTGCGCGCAACGTCCAGACCGTTGAGATCGTCGCGGGGATCCGGCTCCGTATACCCGAGTTCCTTAGCCTTTTTGACAATCGACGACCATGACTCGCCACTCGCGCCGGAGCCCAGTGCCGGCGCAAACGTATTGAACAGGTACGACATGGTGCCGCTGAAGATGCCCTCAATGCGGGTGATCTGGTCTCCCGTGGCGACGAGCTCTTTGGCCGTCGAGATGATGGGCATGCCTGCTCCGACGGACGACTCGTGGAAGACCACGGCGTTTCCGGCGTGGGCCGAGCTGAAGATATCCTCCCAGAGCTGGTAGCTTCCAGAGAAGGCTTTCTTGTTGGGCGTGATGATGCTGATTCCGCGTCTGAGGAAGGCCGGGTAGGCTTCGGCGAGGCTCGTGGCGCTGGTGTTGTCGACGAGAATTACGCGGTGCGGAGCGTTGGCGAGATACTCAACGATCTCGGGGATGGAAGGGGGTGCGGTGCCCTTGGTCTCGAGGGTTGTGACCGCAGTGTCGATGTCAATGACCGAGTGATCCGGGTGATAGAGGGCCTTGTCGATCATCGCGATGTAACAGAGGCTCAGTTTGGTTGTGGTTAAAGCCTTCGCGAGCCATGCTAGTTGGGAAACGAAGACTGAGCCCACACCACCGGTGCCTGCATGTGTGGATGAGTATATGTTAGTTCGCTGAATAGGAAGAGGGAATGGTCTCGTAGTAAGGAAGACTGACCGATCACGGCAATGTTGACATTTTGAAGAGGAGGCATTGTAAACCGATGTTGGAAGTCGAGGATGGGGATTTTGGGGGGCTACACAAGGGAATTATATTCTACAAGACCAAATGTAGAGATTTATAGCCACATTCTATTGCATCTATTCAATCCCACTCGTTGTAAGCACTGACTCGGATGACTTCCGAAAAGTAATCGGTCGCTTACGGGGATGGCAAGTCAAGTCAGGGCCAACTCCACGTTCTCTGCAAACGTGGCCCACCAAATGTAATTGTTCGATGACTTGAATTAAATAGAAAAGACAATGCCGACGTAATCAGCTGATATAGTGTGATTTGCCATGTTGGACCTTCGCACGAGGGTTACAAGAGTGGGATATATAAACTGTCGGGTCGGGCGACTGCCTCGATTATTTCAAACACAAATTGTCTGACAAACACTATGAAGACGAGCCTTTTGAAGGTAAAAGACTACTGACGCACACTAGATTGTCTCGCGGAAGGCTAATATAATCTAGCTGAATGATCCATCACTCCTCCACGAAGCCTCGTTGCTTCATGGACAATGGGTACAAGCTGGATCTGGCAAAACGTTCGATGTCGAAGGTACCAATCCTCATATCCTGTTCCCCTCCAGAGATGGCCTTTACTAAAGACAAACCTAACAGATCCCGGCTCCAACCGCATCTTTGCGTCCTGCCCGAACAACGAAGTCACCGACGTCGACCAATACGTCGAGTCCTCCCAGAAGGCGTTTGAGGACTATCGCCACGTGAACCCGCGTGTCCGAGCTAAGATCCTGCTCAAATGGCACGAGCTGATCACCAACGCTCGTGAAGATATCGCACAAATCATGGTTTACGAGACTGGCAAGCCGATGACCGAAGCATTGGGGGAGGTCGACTACGCCCTGGGCTTCGCCTGGTGGTTTGCCGGCGAGGCCGAGCGGATTCGAGGCTCGGTGGCCCAGCCCTCTATTTCGGAGCGTCGCACATTCGTGATCAAGCAGCCGATCGGCGTGAGCGTCGCCCTGGTGCCCTGGAACTTCCCGGTGGCCATGATCATTCGAAAGGTCGCTGCTGCGCTGGCGGCCGGATGCTCGATGATCGTTAAACCGTCACCAGAGACCCCTCTGAGCGTTAACGCATTGGCTGATTTGACCATCCGTGCTGGCTTGCCAGCGGGTGTTCTGAATGTCATCTCGACGGATAACGAAAACACGCCTGTCGTGAGCGAGCGACTCTGCAAGCACCCTCTGGTCCGCAAGGTCACCTTCACCGGCAGCACTCGGGTGGGCAGTATCGTTGCTAGACACTGCAGCGAAGGCCTGAAGAAGGTGACTATGGAGCTGGGAGGGAACTGTCCGTTTATCGTCTTCGATGACGGTAACCTCGAGCAGGCTGTTGCGGCATTGATGATCCTGAAGTGGCGTACGGCCGGCCAGGCTTGTACGCATGCCAACCGGGTCTACGTGCAGAGCGGCGTCTACGACCAGTTCGCCCGCATGATTGTGGAAGCAACCTCGAAGATCCGCGTGGGCCACGGCGCGGAGGCTTCAACCACAATGGGACCGCTCACAACCAGCCGGGGCATCGAAAAGCTCGAAAGACACGTTGAGGACGCAGTCAAGCGCGGAGGAAAGGTTCTGTGCGGTGGCAAGAGGCCCGCGAATCTAGGCGGCTACTTCTTTGAGCCTACAATTATCTCGGACATGACCCCCGAGATGATAACGACACGGGAGGAGATCTTTGGCCCTCTTCTGGGTTTATATAAGTTCGAGACCGAGCAGGAGGTGGTGAAGTTGGCTAACGATACCTCTATGGGTCTGGCCTCCTACTTCTTCACCCGGGATGTCAACCGCACCTGGCGCATGCTCGAGAACCTTGAGGCTGGTATGGTTGGCATGAATACCGGTAGGTCAATTCTATCCCTGCAAAATAAATTCAAATACTGATCATTCATATCAGGTAACTCGTCCTGCGCCGAGTCACCGTTTGGCGGTCTCAAGCAGTCGGGCTACGGCAAGGAGGCCGGCAAGGACGTCGCCATTGAGGAATATTTGGTCTCCAAGACCGGAACACTGACTGTCGATACTGCATGAGGGTGGGAAAATGGAAATAAAATGGATTTAATTGGTGGCGATATTATCATGAGGCCAACGTTCTAATGAAAGGAGTGTATTGTTCCGAACCATCTGCACACGCATTGTAGTAATGTCACTGGACGATGATCCGGCGTAGACTTTCTTAGGTTAAGATAAGGAGAGACTAGAAGTTCTAGTCTAGAACGAATTAGTTAGTTGGTAAGAGATATCTAGTTACCTACTTCTTTATGGTTAAGTAACTAAAACCTAATTGAGTCATTTATTCCCGTTTATTTCCGTCCCAATACCGACATTCCCGAGATATCGGATCTGCCAGTTGAGAATTCTGGAGTTCGGATGTCTTCTTCAATCCTCAAGAGAACAACAATCCACTTGCCGTACCTCTATGACCCGTTCTGATGAAAGGCCTTGTTCTTGTTATTAAGAAACAAAGGGCCCCTTCTCCACAGGGGTATGATATCATCCACTAGACACTTCAGAGGATAACAACAGTTCAAAACATGCAACCAACCACCGCATCAAACAAGGGAAAAGGTGAAGATGCTGATAAGAAGTACGTGGTTAGCTCAAGTGTACACTTTCTTGTATCTGACTCCAGCCTAGGAGACTTCGCAATCGCCTGGCGCAACGAGCATTTCGTCGGCGACAGGCAGATCACTTGAGAGCAAAGCAATCTCACGTCAATTCGAAAGACCAGCCTCAAGATGTAACAATTCGAAAACTGCAAGCGGAGAACAGCGCCCTGCGCAGAAGCCTCATCGAAGTGGAAGCAAAACTCGCGCGGTTTACGGCCAATATACAGTCTTTGTCTGCAACGGTGTCGGACGCTCTTGCTGATCCTTCTTCAGAGAAGCCTTTAGAGGAATCGACACCTTCTCGCCATGATCTCTCGGACGATCGGACTAGCCTCAAGGAACCTGTGTCCAGCGAAAGTCCAGACTTGTCATCTGGTTTCGATTCAGCACCGGATCATTGTATAATAGACCTAGATCTCACTGCTTTGCCGGGGACAGATCTTGCTCGGAAACCATCTTTTCAACCAATGGACGATTGCAACCCCGACCTCAATCTTGTTGAAACTTTCGACGATCTGGCGCAACAAATCCCGAGTCTCTGGTCTTTTGAGTACCAAATGGGTCCCGAGTCATATGTCAACGCGTTGACGAGAAGTCAAGACTCAAGTGTTGTCCTTGGTCGAGGATGGACAGATTCCAACTCCCCTTTCTCAGATCACATTCAGGTTCTCCAACATCTTATGAACCAGAAAATGAGTTATATGATGCCGCCCTCCGGGCTAAAACTAAACCTGTAAGTTCTCCGATTCACATACCAGCCGAGGGAACCGCTCACGAAAGTATATAGCTTTTATCAAGAAGTGTTGATGATCCTCGCCCTGTTCAACAGTATGACCCGTCCAGACGTCATGCGATGGTATGCTAAGACGCGGTTCTACCACATTGTCAACTTGACGGCCTGGCAGGTCTACCCATGCCCTCAAACATTCGATTCAATCCACCCCCAGTACAAACCCACAGAGCTCCAACTACAGCGTCACTATCCCACCGTGATCGACTGGATCCCGTTTCCATCTATTCGCAATCGTCTGATCCGACTCCACGCCGCCAACCCCAAAATCGATCAAATATTCTGTGACGTTGTGAGCAGCTATGTCGTGGAAACGTCGATGTCCGAGTTGATCGCCGGGGGACCGACAGTAAAAGCCTACATTCGAGTGACCGATCTCGCCGCGAAGATTGACGTCTCGGCATCGTCATCCCACACCGACTGCGACGCAGCAGTCAGCGCCAGCCTCCCAGCCCCTGATCTGGCTACTTTGTTCGCGTCCCCGGAATACTGCCAGGTGGCGTTCAACTATCTCAATATGAACCGGGGGATCTCGCATTACAAAATCGACCCCGCGTTATTCGCAACGTATCCGGAGCTTTACGACCCCGATGCAGATGTCTCTGCGGAAGGCATTCCACTCCGCCCGGAGGTGCAGGCGTCGCTTACGTACCCAATTCCTCTCGATGGCCAAACCTTTCAGACATATCGGAATTTCATTGATTATTCCCACGATTGGTCGTTTGTCATCTCGGGGGATCTGGGCTGAATCTGCAGAAGGTGTTCTCGCTGGACTCATAGTGCTGGCTCGCATGTTGTATTGTGGGAGATTGTGAATGATGTGTAATTATGTCGGAATGATAGCTTGCTGCTTTGCATTTTCAGAATCTAGTTTCTGTATTTTTCTCGTCTATAAATGGGAAAAAGACTTGATGGACTATGGACAATCACTCAGGCTCTATATTAGTATTTACAGGAGGTCTTAACCAAAGGCACAAGGGGAAAGGATCTATAGACAGTTCAAGTAGAAAAAATAGAGAAAGAAAAGTGTTTAAATAACATCAAGTCATCAGGGTATAGAAAACCAGCGCTTTTGGCCTTGTATGCAAGGGGGTAGGTAAGGTAATTATGCATCGAGATTAGGGAAAGCTTGAAACCACCCCTCCTAACATATCTCCTGTCAATTATCACCTGTAATAGCGGCAGTCGAGGCACCCGAGTGTTCCGAAGGCGTAAGAGACACAATAATAGGCTCAAAATAGCGGACATGCTGGGGCGGGAAGTCGATAGAATTTAAAGGATATTCATCTTTCATATTTTCTAGGGCGAGACTGACAGTCACCCCGGTGTGCTCTGTCGCGGAGTATGGTGAGCATATTTGAAGCGGGAGTCTTAGCGAAGTAGATTCGCTCAACAGATGCGTATTCGGGGCATGGTAGGAGAGCTTCAGGTCGAGCGAGTAGACGCGCGAGATCAGGCAGGAATGGAATGTCGGGACGTAAGTCTTGTGCCTGGGTAGGATTATGGGCGCTGTGATTGACGCGGTATAATAGGTTTTCGCGGTAGCGGCCGTTGATTCTGTCGATGTTCTTGAGTCTCGACAGGACATTTTCTCGTCAGGTACTGGGGTCCATTGCACGGATGAGACGGAACTGGATAGGACGGGTACGGTTTTGGTATAAACGGCTTCGTCACTCGGGGGAAGGACCAACCCGTGAGGATTTGTCGGGGTGTTGGACCAGTAATTCGCAGCAAAGAACGTACACGCTTTGAGTTTGATGGAGAGATTCTCGAGCTGAGGTGGCTTTTCATCCCCCTCTGGAGTGAACCGAAGAGCCATCGTTGTCTTTGTACTGATTTCGGCGTCATCAGAGGAGGACCCTGGCCTCGGTAGCTTAAGGGCAATGGGTTGAGATGCAGTCACTTCCAGACGGCCAACTTTTTCTCTCAATAGGCCCCTTTTTACATAGGAGACTGTGTGGAAGCGATAGTATTCGTCGTCTTCGGCAATGTTCAGGGGAGGCTGCTCGTCAAAGGCCGGCAGGATGCGTAGTTTCTTCCCGACCAGGGCTAACGTTTTGGGCGAATCGGTTGGTATGTCACTGCTGTCGGTGATGGAGACTTGAATGAGATATACGATCTGGCATGCGTCGGGACACATATCATCCGGCAAGTTTCGACCTTCACTGGTGACCATTGCATCTCCCAAGGTGGGCGGGAGCAACAGGTGAGATCTTTGCACGAGGGGGCTGGCCGTGGGATGAAAGCATGATTGAGGAACGAGGGATCCCGGGATAGAAAAAGTAAACGGAAACACATATAAACAACCAGCTTGGAAGATTCGGGGAGAAAGTAAGTTGGCGTTGTGAATAGGTTGATCAAGTTGGAGGAAGTTATGACGGGCGCGTTTTACGCCTCGTATGGATGATACTCGTTCCATAGCCGTCTTGGAAGAGCCTGGCAATATTGACATGTGTTATTCTCACATACGCAGTGCAATGTGTCTTTCTGAGGGGACCTACCACGCAAGGAGATGCTGATATCTTCGAACGGGATATCATGGTCTGCCGTGATGGTGACCGTTCCCTGAATCCGATCGCCAGTCGTATATGTACCGACACATCCTGGGGTCTCATTCGACAGGTGGATTTCCACCCTTAGACGATTGGATCTTGGTAGCAAAGGCATGGTAGGTAGAGAAGTAGATGTCAGCAGAGAAGGGTCAGAAGAAGCGGCTTCTACGGAGTGCCTTATGTGGGCATGTCTTCACCATGAGTGGTGGCGCTTAGAAACGGATCAAAGATCAGGCTCAGTACTTCGATCAACATACTGAATACCGCCTTGTGTATATAATAGAGTCATAGTACTCCGATCAAGCCCCGTCGGGGACACCTTCTTGCCGCCCCACTCCCATCAACTTCCCAAAACGGCCGAGCTCTAACTTGCGGTTCCTGCGTGCTTCTCCGTCATTCCCGATCGGGGTCGTAGATAGGCTTTGCGCTTGAATCTTTCTTTTCCCATTCCCGATCAGTTCTTTCGACCGTGATTCAGCACTATCTGCAACCCAGTGGTGGCGTTGATGATTCCCAAGATCTGATAGGAATCGGGATGTCGATTGAAGATGAAATGGCAGCAGAGGGATCAGCCACTATACCAAAGAAGCGCACAGATCCCCACTGCTCCAGTACAGATTCTCACCACAACTCACTGGTGGGCGCTCTGTCGGATGATGGGACTAGCAGTCGAACAGGACAGCATTCGAGCCCATGCCGACTCCCAAGGGGGACTTGTTGAGTGGTGATAGCATGTGCTCAAGTCAAAGCCGAAGATGATAATAACGGTCAATTAACATCCCAGCATCCCATCCATCGACGAGATTCAGAACCAGGGGGAGTGAGTTGAATCATTCCCAGAAAAATAATCAACCGCAACCATCTGATTGCCAGATGGGGAGATTGCGAAAGCACCAGCTCATGAGAGAATCGCTGTAGATATACATAGCTGAGCAGACGCCCTACCGTTGCGTGACCAGCATGATCGGAGTTAGTGAGTGTACTTCCAGCCCATGCTAAAAATTAGTTACTCGCTTTTTTTGCTCAGGAGAGAAGGTTGCTTTAACTCCGGCACTATGTTAGAGATCGCTTGACGGTGTTTTCTGTCTAGTCCCGGCTCTCGAATCCTTCTCCTATTTCCGTTTTCGTCGGCGCTTCCCGATAGCTTAAGTCCGTCTCGGCCTGACCGAACTATATGACTTTCATCAAAGTATAAAAAGATGGCCAAGACCCGTCTCTAGTCAGGGAATACAACTGAAGTGAGTTCAACTAAATCGCTGACATCTCATCTCTTACGATATTCCTCCCACCATGGCCAAGCAAAGAATTTTCATGACCGGCGCCAGCGGCTACATTGGCTCCGTGGTCGCCCAGCTGGCCCTCGCCCGGGGCTACGAAGTACACGGCATCTCGCGTACCGAAGCTACCGACGCCAAATTGACCGGGCTGGGCGTAGTACCCGTCCGCGGGGACCTCGCATCGCTAGACGTTCTGCGCGAACAGAGTGCAAGAGCCGACATCGTCCTGCACCTGGCAGATGCCTTCGCCGAACTACAAACCGACTACGACGAGGTTTTGCGCATTGACGCCGGTGCCATCGGCGCCTTCGAATCCGGGATGAAAGGCAGCAACAAGCCGCTCGTCACGACGTCCGGCACGCTAGTGGTGGAGGCCACGGGGGCCGAGACGACCGAGGAGTCGCCGCTGTGTGAGAAGCCACTGAATGACCGTATCAAGTCGGAACAGAATGCTCTGAGGCTACGCGAGAAGGGAATCAAGGTCTCTGCGATTCGACTGGCGCCGTTCGTCTACGGCCGAGGCGGCAGCGGCGTGCGATTGTTTCTGCAGATGTTTGCAGGTGCAGGAGAGGCCGTGTATGTTGGAGATGGCGCGGTCGTGACATCGGCGGTGCATGTGGACGAGGCTGCCGAGATGTATCTTCTTGCAGCGGAGAAGGCACAGGCCGGGGAGGTCTTCAATGCCGTGTCGAACACCGTGACGTTCCGCCAACTGACCGAGGCGATTGGAGAGACCGCCGGCCTACCTGTCCGTTCGGCACCTGCAGACGAGGTGGTTGGTAAATGGGGCGAGTTTGTGGTGAAGTTCCTGTCGACAGAGAATCAGGCATCGGCGGCCAAGGCGAAGAGGGTTCTGGGTTGGGAACCGAAGGCTGTGGGGATTGTGGACGATGTGAAGCATGGATCGTATGCCCGTTTGTAACACAGATAGAGATCGAGATCAAAATAGAGTGAATCTTGGCCTGAGGCCCTGTCTGGCATCATGTGATGGCGGGATCCCTAAACGTGCTTCCCCAGACAGACTCAAGCCGTGACAACTTTCCAATTGTCAACCTTCTTCCTTCCCCGCGGCCTCGGTCTCACCTCTCGCACAAGGCCACTCCTGCCAGCCAGTCAACATTCAATCTGCTAGCGGAAATTAGACGGCTTGGCCGATCTGCTTCTCGGTGCGTCCACTCGTCTGTCCAGAATCCTCCGTTTCCCCGCAATGCAACCCGCAGGTCTCGTGGCGATTCTCTCTAGGCCGTCCGTCTGACTTTTTTTGTCGTCTTTTTAACCCTTTCTTCGTTAGTATCGCAATCCTTTCACGGTCCGGACCATTTGGGCCATGTTCCTGACCTCCCGAGCAGGGGAACCGGTATTGTGGGGGGCCTGTTAAAAAGACCTCCGGCGGCCCCGCTACGGCCATAAATTTCTATCGCCCTCCGTCCCACTTCCTACCAATCGCCGGGTGCGGAAACGTCGTGAGTTGTGACAACTCTCTTGCTTCCCCTCTTGTTTTTAATCTTCTCGTCGCTTTCGTTTCTACTTGGAGGGGGTTTCTATCTTTTTCCTTTTTATTTTTTTTTATTTTTCAACCTTCCCTTCGGGGCCTGCAATTGCCTTCAGCATGGCTGCCTCCAAGGCTCAGGATGCCATTGCCCCCGTGGATCGCTCGTCAGACGATCACCGGGACTCGTCGTCTGTGGCCAAGATTGTGGAAAATGCGAAGGCAGCCACCGATAAGGAACAGAACATGACCTTGCTGCAGGGTATCAAGCTCTATCCTAAGGCCGTGGCTTGGAGTGTTCTCATCTCCACGTGCATTGTCATGGAAGGCTACGATATCAGTCTGATCAACAACTTCTATGCGTTCCCGCAATTCAGCCAAAAGTACGGCGAGCAGCTGGCCAATGGAGACTACGAGGTTCCTGCAAGGGTATTTATCATCTTTTCTTTCTTACTTCCTTCCCATTTGGTGGCAATGCCTCCCTGACGTGAGTGCAATGGTAGCTAACAGACTTTTAACAGTGGCAAGCAGGTTTAAGCAACGGTGCTTATGTCGGTGAAATTATCGGTCTTTTCATAAACGGCTGGGCTTCGGAACGCTTCGGATATCGTTATACCATCATCGCCTGTCTCATCTTGATCACTGCGTGGACCGCCATCTTCTTTACGGCCCCGAACGTCCAGGCTTTGCTCGCCGCCGAAATCCTCGCCGGTATCCCCTGGGGCGTGTTTCAAACTTTGACCGTCACTTATGCCTCCGAAGTTTGCCCCGTTGCGCTGCGAGGATACCTTACGACCTATGTCAACTTCTGCTGGGGCCTGGGTCAGCTGATTGGCGTCGGTGTGATTTCGGCCATGATCAACCGGGACGACGAATGGTCATATCGGATTCCTTACGGTCTCCAATGGATGTGGCCGCTTCCCTTGCTCATCGGTATCTTCCTCGCCCCGGAGTCGCCATGGTGGCTTGTCCGCAACGGCAAGACGCAGGAAGCAAAAAAATCCCTACAACGATTAACAACTGTGCGGGAAGACAACGACTTCGACGCGGACGAAACCGTCGCCATGATGGTCCACACTACGGCACTGGAAGCGAATATCACGAAGGGTGCCAGCTACTTGGACTGCTTCAGGGGTACCGATTTGCGGCGAACGGAAATCGTGTGCATGGTCTGGGCCATTCAGAATCTAAGCGGAAACTCTTTCTCCAACTACTCCACCTATTTCCTCAAACAGGCCGGATTGGACACGTCAAAAGCCTATGCCTTTGCCATGGGCCAATACGGTATCAACATGGCTGGCGTGTTCGGCGCATGGTTTCTCATGACACTGGGAATCGGCCGTCGGTCCCTCTACTTATACGGTTTATGCGGCCTCTGCGTCATGTTGATTGTCATGGGATTTCTCGGGTTGGTCCCCGATGAGCACCGAACGCAAGCATCGCTTGCCACCGGGTCCATGATGGTCATCTGGGCCTTGTTCTACCAACTCACCGTCGGTACGGTGGCCTATTCCCTCGTGGCCGAGTTGTCCACCCGACGCCTTCAGATCAAGACAGTGGTCCTCGGCCGCAACCTGTACAACATTGTCGCCATAGTCTGCGGCGTGTTGACGCCGTACATGCTGAACCCCGGGGCATGGGACTGGGGCAATTACGCTGGTTTCTTCTGGGGAGGCCTCTGCTTCCTCTGCATCATTTATACTTATTTTCGTGTTCCCGAGCCGAGAGGTCGCTCTTTCGCCGAGCTGGACGTTCTCTTCGAGCGGGGAATCAGTGCCCGCAAATTCGCCAGCACTCGAGTCGACGTCTTCGACGAAACCATTTCGGGTCGCGTGGTCGACGATTACCGGACCCAGAAGACGGTTCAGACCGACGCCGCCGGGTTGGAGAAGCAAGCTTGACTTCGGCGGGACATTTGATCACCTTATATCTTTGTAATATTGACATGTATACTTACACATACCTAATACTGTACATACTTTAATAATGAATACGATGGCCGCTTACGATGACAATTTGGATGACCTGCTCCTTGGCTGTATGGAGTGTTTTGCACTCACGAATTCAATTGCTGATTGGCATTCGCTAACGGATTCAATTATTTTCCTGGAACATGTAAACAGCAAGCCATCTACTCATTCGACCACTCCGGCTTTTTCTTCTCGGCAAACGCCGTCATTCCTGTCCACCAGTCAGCAACAGATTCCCCGCTTTGATACACCAGAAAGGGAAAACAAGAAACTCACCAATCTTCTGATCCTTGCTCCCAAAGAGCCCATGGAAGAGTCTCCTCTCATACTCCACCCCCTCCTTCAACGACAGCTCCTGGCTCTTATTCACGACCTCCTTGCCAGCCAGCACGGCAACCCGACTATACCCAGCGATCGTCTCAGCGGTCTTGATAGCCTCCGCCAGTAATTCGTCCTTGCCACCGTCCACCACCTTCGCGGCAACCCCCCACTCACCGGCCTCCTTGCCGCTGAAGTTCTTGCCGGTAAGGATCAGCTCCATCGCCTTGCTCTTGCCCACGGCGCGCGTTAGACGTTGCGATCCGCCGGCGCCGGGGATCACGCCGAGCTTGATCTCGGGCTGGCCGAAGGTGGCGCCGCTGGTGCAGTAGATGATGTCGCACATGAGGGCCAGCTCGCAGCCGCCGCCCAGCGCGTAGCCCGAGACGGCGGCGATGACGGGCTTGCGGATGGCGTTGGCGAGGTGCGACCAGGGAGCGATGAAGTTGTTGGTATAGGCGGAGGCGAAGGTCAGGGGGGCCATTTCTTTGATGTCGGCGCCGGCTGCAGGTAAAGAAGGGTGTTGGTTAGCATTGTTGATCTTGATCTTGTGAATGGAACCCAGAAAGGATAGAGAGACGAGGTGCTTCAATGGGGAATGTACCGGCGAAGGCCTTCTCGCTGCCCGTGATGACGATGGCGCCGATGTCCTTGTCCTCATCGTATTTGGTTAGGGCGTCGTTGATCTCTTTGAAGAGAGGGCTGGATAGCGCATTGAGGGCCTTGGGTCGGTTTAATGTGACTGGTCAAAAATGCCATGGTTAGTATGAATTGACCCTTGTCACTGCACCGAATTGCCTTGTCTGATGCCACTCACTCAATCCAACACCCGCCTTGGGGCTCGATGTGAGGATGTGCTCGTAGGCCGGGGCCGCGGAGGAGTAGGGTCTCGCGCGGGCCAGATAGGACGTCAAGGGAACGGCGGTTCGAGAAGAGACGAGACGAGAGCACTGTCGAGCGAACATGGTGAGAGAGGGGGGATATGAGGTATTAAAATATTACAGCAATGAAGAATGCGTGAGGGAGAAGGGGATGAAAGTCCGGGGAAGGGAGAGGTATAGCAAGCCAAGCGGATGATGACATGATCCCCGCAAAATGCCGAAGCGAGCCGTTCCCCCGAGGCAAGGCGCGCACGTGAACGGATGCGGGCTGATGGCTTAGTCAGGCCTCCAGGAACGGGTTAGCGCAGACGCATCAGCCTCCTCTGTGGCTGAGCACCGAACACGGACTAGCGCCAGCAGTGGACACTTTTCCAGCGGATGTTGTCGTCCGCCCAACGCCCTCTTCTCTCTCGTCCTGTGCTCTCTCTTATCAACGAGTGATTGTGCGCTGCAGAGTGTGAGAACGACCTCGACGAGTTTCCTTTCTCTCCTTCCTTTTCTCTTCTTATTTTTCCCGTTCCATCCCGTCGTGCTCTTTCTCCCAACGCCATGGACGTTCCTGAGCCCGAGCAGTCTCCGTTTACGGCCGTCACGGCGCAGACTTCGAAACTTGCCAGAGTGAGTCAATCGCGGGTCTAGAAGGGCCCAGACATGGCATCGGCCTCTCTGGGGTCTTTGCAAAGGTGGTTGTCGATGCTAATAGCTTCTAGCAATACCAAACCTACCTTGATGCCTCGACGCCTTTCACGGTCTATCGCTGGGTCGGCACGGCGCTCCTGCTCGTCATTTTCTTTCTGAGAATTGTCCTGGCTCAGGGCTGGTATATCGGTATGCAACTAAACTGAATAAATCCCACGATTGCATTAGAAACCCTCCGCCGGGGAATTTGAGGGGTCCGGGGGAGACATCACCGCGCAGCCAGCTAACACGTACTTCCTCGCCACAGTCGCATACACTCTAGGCATCTACCTGCTCAACCTCTTCCTGCTCTTCTTACAACCGAAATTCGACCCGTCGCTCACGCAAGACGAAGGCCTGGAAGACGGTGACGCCGCCGCCAGCCTGCCCACTAAGCAAGACGATGAGTTCCGGCCTTTCATCCGCCGCCTCCCCGAGTTCAAGTTCTGGCACTCGGCCACCCGCGCCATCACCATTGGGTTTCTGTGCTCGTGGTTCACCGTCTTTGACATCCCCGTCTTCTGGCCCGTCCTGGTGGTCTACTGGATCATCCTGTTTGTCCTGACGAGTGCGTATACTTCATCCATCCCTCCAACTATATCATGAACGGGCAGTCCAATCTGTTCCGCCGTGTATCTAACTTGCGATTAGCTTGCTGACTTGCTTGATTGGTTACAGTGCGACGCCAGATCCAGCATATGATCAAGTACCGTTACGTGCCTTTCTCCTTCGGAAAGACGCGGTACGGCCGTTCATAAATGGATCTCGATTTCCTCTTATGATGACTTTTCCTCTCTTATCCTCCTTCTCTCAGTGCCCTCTGGGTATTTTGATTCAGGTGCCCTTTTAAAAACTATGATCAATGTTTTTTTACTACCCTTTTCTTTTTTTTTTTTTTTTTGTTTTGCCTCTTTCGATCAATACGGTCTTCATTTTTGACTGGCACTCAAGCCTCTATTCTTTCATACTTGAATAACGGAAAGACTATGTTGAATCTGTCTGTCCGCCAAAAGAGAAACTGTGTAACGAGGTTGGCAAACTAAACAAAGGAAGAGTGGCATAATCTAATCTCTTTCTTTTATTTGATGACCGTTCGTGTGACCTGACTTCATGAGCTGAAATATTATTGATATACTTTGTACAGAGCCATTACTTTGAGTCTGATGACTTCTTCTCTTTCGCTCCTCATTATCTTTACTTCTTGTCTCGACTTTTTATGTGGGCGATGTCCAGCCATGTACGTGTCTCAGAGTTGTATTGGTAGTCTTTTCCTTTTCCATTACTTCGGCTTTATTACTAGCTGAAATAGACTTGCTGTTGTATGATTTTATGCATTGGTTCTTCTGCTTGTCTGGAGATGGTAGTGTAGGTTTTATTGAAAAACTGGTGCGGATGATAACCGGTGCGCTGAAATCCTTGTTCTATTGACAGTATAAACAAGTATTCTGCCTTTTGTTTGCCAGGAGGAGGCCAGTAGCCGTTTCAAGTTACGTGCTGCCGTATCCGGTCCCTTCCAACCGAAGTCGAATCCAATTGTTATAGTAGACATGATATTCGAATACCGCTACTTATACAAGACATCATCATACAAAGAACCAAAATTTCTCCAACAGTCAGTTAGTTCCTCACGAGACGAAACTCATCACTGCGCCGACTGTGATCCGCGGGATATGTGTGCATCTCAAGATTCATCTCCGGGTCACGCGAGAAGAAGCGATGCCGATGCCAATTGGACACCGGGGGGCATCTTTGCGTCCAGAAACCGCTGAGCCCGGGCTCTTGTAGCCGGATCCCACGGCTGTGCGGCGTTGACCCATGGCTAACTTCACCAGAGGTCGATAGCATGGCAAGCAGGCCGCAATCAGGTAGACGCCTGTCTCGATGATGCTCCATTGGAGATAAATCACCGACTTCCATGTCCCCTCGATGAGGGGGTCATTGGTGAAAAAGGCAACGCAGCGGACGATAGAGGTGACCATTCCACTGGGGTGATGTTAGAAGTGTATGGGATTCTCGACAGGGGAGCTAGCTGTCTTACATGCTGCCGGTGAGCAGTGTGGCAGCCAAGCCGAATTTGACCTGTTTAGGGATCTGCAGAGACCAGACGACGGGCTGTGGGAGGATCAGCATTTGCAGATCAATCAGAATATTGGGCAAGGTTCCCCAGCGGTAAAACGCCGGGATATTGATGCAGTGGCCCCCGGCGATGCTCTTGTCCCAGAGATAGGCGATGGGCCAGCACACGAACGCCCCGGCAAGTATATCGGCGACAGCATAGGTAATAATGAAGCCTATTAAGCCGTAGCAGACGAATCGATATGTTTTATTCGTGTGCACAATGCGTAGGTAGAGCGTAAGAAGGATAACGCGGGGGAAGCAGCACGCGGCTGAATAGATCAGAGGCGAGGCGTATAGACACTTGGCTCAGGGAATGAGGGTCTGAGGATCCGTAGCTTCTACAACATCCATGTGGTAGCCGACACCGCCTATCTTGATGGCGACTAGAATGGGATCATGTTATTTGGGAGCAGATCGTGCTATGTGTGGAGATGATGTTTACTGAGACTTAGGACATTTAGGCCCACACAGCACAGGTAGCCAGGAATGGTAAGAAGATCATCAATGCCAAATCTCTTCTCACTGAGTCGTAATGAGACGAATCGGAGTCTAACAGCGATTGTTTCAGCGATGATAAAAGTGATTGAAACGTCTCGGGGCCCATCGCCGGAGTATTCCCTCATGCGTTCAGGGGAGATAGGATCCTGTGCCATATCAGACATCTTGAAAAAAAAAACCCCCCCTTCAATGGATGACGGAGGGAGCAAGACTCGAGGCGCCAGGGCGTGAGCCCCATTTCCCTCTCTTATGTACGCTTGTCACCCCCTCTGCAGCATATCAAACCCGACTGTAGCACATGTGAGTAGTACAGTGCATGCCGATGGAGGTGCTGATTGGGGGTAGCCATGCAACGCTGACCTGACGAGGCCTTGATGGCGCGTATAGGACTGCCAGCAAGGTAGGCTGGTGGTAAGGCCACCATATATCTACTACACTGAATTTATTTGTAGCAAAACACATGAAATATCGAGTATATCGATAGTTGGGTAGACTGCTTCTAGCATGCCTAGGGGTCCTTTTTATCAAATAGTTCGCAGGGTTGCACAATCCAAAAGTCATCCATTATGATTGAAATGCCAGCTGCTAGTATAGCTCTCGGGCACGAAGCTCCACTACTGGGCCTTCTTTGCCGACAATGAAGTTATCCTTCATCTTGTACTCGCCCTCCCGGCCAATCCCCAGATGTTTAAACCCAGGCGCCAATCGCACATCATATAACCACAACGCCCGTGCGATGCAAAGCTCCAGCTCCACTATCGCCACCTTGCGCCCGATGCACGAACGTGGCCCGAGGCTGAATGGCACGAAAGCCTGCCGCTGGCGGGCCATGACTTCGGCTGTAACTCCTTCCCGACTTTCCAAGTCTCCCAATAGCCACCTACTGGGGTTGAACCGGAACGGCTCCTCGAAGTGTTCCGCGCTATGGTGCAGCGAATACGTCGGGACCCCAACGATGGTGCCCGTGGGGAATGTCCACTCTAGTACACAGAGTCCACCCGGAAGAACCTCACGAGGAAGGTCCATGGGCACCAGGGGGCAAAGGCGCATGCTTTCCTCGACGCACGCGCGGAGATAGGCTTCGCCGATCAGCTCCTCTTCCGAGTATCCCTGACCGGTCTCCGGGTCTCGCGCCTGTTGTAGAAAATAGATAATATCCCGTCGCTGGGTTGGATTGGCTGCCAACCGCGTCGTGAGCTGCTGTTGCGAGAGGGCAATTTGTCTCTCCCGATCCGCGGCCGTGCCTCGACGAAGGTATGTCTCAAGCCCAAGGCGTCGCAGGACGGGCATTTGGCCGCTGATGTTGGCGATCCGGACATTCAATGCCATCAACGGCAAGAAAAACGTGTTTTCGTCGCTCAGCGAGGTATTAAACGTCTTTCCAAAGCAAATCTCTCCTAGTGCGTCGAAGATGATGCATGCGCTCCAGTGCACCATATCCTTCGGTCGGGACCATCGGTCTGAATCATCAACAGAGTTGGGCGTCTGAATAGGATGACAGTCGCCCAGCGCGAGACACCAATCTCGGACGCAGGTGAGAATATGTGGTTCCATTGCCCGTACCGCTTGATCAGAGAAGGCGTGCGATATGACCCGACGCCTACGAGCATGGTCGCTGCGGTCGATGGTGTTGAAGATGGACAAACCATAGAAACCGCTGTACCATTGAGACTTTTGGACATTACCCTGGTGCCCGTAGATCGGCCGAAGTGCTCCTGCATCCAGGATCGTGACACGGTTGGGTCCGATGCGCACGATGCGGCCGTATCGCTCGTGAAGTCGGTAAGTGTCTTCGTGACGATCCCCGCGAACAGCGTGGGACACAGAGTACAGATCGGTTAGTTTGGCAATGAAGGGACCGGGATAGATAGCCAAAGGATGAAGCCAAACTTGGTAGACGACATAGCTTATGCTCTAAGACTGAGAGGTCAGTTCGTCATACCACCACAGCACTTGAGAGCTTAATATCCACGCACGACAGCAATAAGGGTGGAAACAAGAATGCCTCCGAGGGTTGCAGCGTCTAGTAGAGACTACGTGATGTTTTCAAGCATCTTGAGAGAAAATTCGATGATGGAATGGGCAGTAAAAGAGAAATCAAGGGGAGGCAGCAGCGGCGGTGGTATACTGTCTTTGTTATGGAGAGGTAGGCAGTACCAACACTCCCACTTTGCTGTCCATGAAATGCCTGGCCTGCTCTGGCTGTCCACCTATCACAAACAGTAAAGCCATGCGCCAGTAGCCGGGTATCTAGTGCCTTTACTATAGTGAAACTGACACGAAACGTATTCCGGGGTAGAAAGGCTGGTTTTGTGGAACGGAACAGGCTCTAGAGCATGATCGTAAGCAGGCTTACTCCGAAATTATGATAAGTGGTGTCCATTCTATGATCGTTGGTCGATTGATCAATTGTTGCATTCTGTAGTACGTTCCAGTGCTTGGTGAGTTCTTTCTTTACGGGACAACAACACTTGTTATCTAGCTCATTCCCATCTCTGACCTCAATTTAGTTCTTTTGAATGGTCTGGCTCTGGATATTTTTGTCAAGGGCAAACCTGGACAATGTCCTTGACAAAATTGGCAAACCGAGAGTTCGGCCGAACTTGTATGACCATCAGCCAGGTAAGCTCCCTGCACGTTACCATCTCGAGCAGCAAAATCATGTACAAGATCGAGGAAGATAGAATGATTCTTATCTCATTCTCTACTACAATCATTGGCCAAGACTTAACGCGGAGACTCAGCAAACAAGTCCTCAATGTGTCTCGAGTTGAGTCAGGTTACACAGAGATGGTTTCTTCATCTCCTGCCAACTTGACTTCACTACGCAACCTTTGCCATGACTCTCACCCCCTTCGACCCCATTTTCGGCATGGCCACTTGGTAGTCGTGCAAGAATGCCACATCGTTCGTATCCGTCTCAAACAAAGTCATATCAAAGCCGCGAACCAAGGCTGCAATCACAAGATACAGCTCTGCCCGTGCGAGTTCGATACCGAGACATTTCCGCCCCCCTTTGCCAAACGCCATCTGGAACTTCCGTCGCTCCTTTCCGGCATTGCCGAGCCAACGTTCGGGATCAAAAAGATAGGGGTTGGGAAAGACACTCTCGGCAGTGTGTGCGGCGAGAGTCGTGATGCTTACCGGCGTGCCGGGGGGAATCGTGTAGGACTTGGTCTTCGTGCTTGGAGGGCAAGTTGATGGGACGTGGGAAGAAGGAGTATATGTAAGCGGTTCATCAGCGATACGGGCAGTCCTAGCTGTCACCCCGAAGGAAAGTCGGTTGCCTTCCTCGATGACGGCGGATAGATATGGCAGCTGCTCGAGCTGACTCCATGGGGCGGATATAGGGACACCACTTAGCTCATCGCGAAGCTTCTGTAAGAGTGTTGGGTTGGCGAGAAGATGATAGAAGGTGATGTTAAGGGTTTGAGCTGGCGATTCGGTCCCGGCTAGGGCTAATAAAGCCCCCTCCTGCTCAAGCCGTAGGAGAGTCTTCTCCGACGCTGGCAGATTCGGGTTGTCCAGTACTGAATCGTAAACCGACTCTTTGCCGGTTGGCCCAACAGGCTTATCAGCAGCGAGCCCTGACTCTTTGGTGCACGTGATTGCAACAAGCTCATTACGAACCCTCTGTTTCTGTTAGATTTATTCAAGGAAAAGGAGAAATAGACGCACGTCAAAAAGCGAAAGCATATCAATGAGACCGGGAGGCATCATTGGACCACTTATGGATACCGGAAGCGCCTCTAGAAAGTCGGGAATCTGTGGGAAGTGCTTGTTGAAATTAATCCCCATCATAAGCTCCTTGCTATTATGGCGTAAGGTGGCAGCTTTGGTCTCGTCCGAAAGTATGTCTGTCTGGTGCGCAAAGAGGAAGTTGGTGACAACACTAGAACATTAGCTGCCTGTCAACTGGCTGATGGACCAACTCACTCGTTCGAGAAGGCGAAAAATACGTCGGAGAGGTTAACCGGCGTCTTTTGGGCTGCATGGGTCGCGATCAATTCCTTCAATTGGGTAACCTTGTCGGTGATCAGCCCTTCCAAGTAGAGGATATTCTTCTTCCTGAAGAAAGGCGTAAGAGCTTCCCGTCGAATTTTATGCAGGTTGTAGTCTGCGGTCGTGCCCACTCCACCCGGAACTCGAAGGCTCCTGAGCTGATAGGCGTACTTGCATCTTCTCATCATTGACGGTGCATAGACGGTGTCCAAAAAGCCGACATCGCTGATGTGAATCTCGTCCGGAGTAACACGGATGATCGGACCTGAAGATGTTGGTCCGTGGTTTGTTCAGGGATGGGAGTTGACGTACCATATTGTCTATGAAGCTCCTGGATCTTAAATACATAGTGACCGGGCTGAATGGCGTCATAGTAGAATTCGTACCACCACGTTAAAGCTGCAAGGCGGGGCCCTGGAATGGGGGCCAGAGGATGAAAGTAAAGGCGTCGGATAGCTTCACCTACTGTCCAGACTGCGAACGCAACAGCTGTGGTTTGGAGAATCCATAGGAAAGCCATAATTGATGATACATGTGAGAAATCTAATGAAGAAGAGTGAGGTCGAGGAAGGTTGCAAAGGCAACGTGATTAATGGAGGTACCTTATAGTTACATACTGTTGGGTCACTTGGGCACAGGCAAAGAAGGAGGTGAAATCCTTCTGACTCTGAAACCAACCAGAACTCCCTGATATCAGACCAAAGATCTGCGAGGATGCAGTCAGCACGCCCTCGGTCGCAGCCAGCTGGACGATCACAGGGTATAATCCGGTCACTCACACAGCCTGCGATCATGGGGTAGTACAAACATGATAGGAATCACTTCTCCATTTTTCTCCCTTGGGCTATCTTGCCCTTAGCCCGCACGTCATCTCTAATGGCTCTTCGCATTTCTTCTGCTGAGAATTTTCGAATGAGATGAACCCGTTATGCCACGGACATACGCAACTTCTGCGGCGATCATTGCCATCTGCATTCTCTTCCCAGTGCTGGGAAATCTGACGGTGCTCGGAACTCTGACGGTGCTCCTCCGCTTCTATGCAAGAAGGAGATCAAGGGTAGTGCTATGGGTTGACGACTGGTTGACGCTGCCCGCGCCGGTGAACAATTCATACTAACATCGACCCACAAAGCCCTGACTCTGAGTGACTAGCTCATGGAATATATCCTGGCGGCGCTGTTGATCTGGGGAGCGACAACGGGGCCTTTGGGAGGTCTCCTCCCTCGTCCGACTGTCCCAGGTCCAGACGGCTATCTATATTCTACCTCAGACCAACAGATCAGACTGCAGCAGATCCAGTACTTTGCCGACATAGCGGCCATTTTAGCATTCCGCTTCACCAAGCTCACCATTCTATACTTCTACCGCAGTATACTCTGTAGCAGACGGACCACAAAGACGCTATTCCACACTGTTACGATGTTTATGATAGCGCTTGTCATTTTCTGGACTCTCGCATTTGGATTTGGCGCACTTTTCCTCTGCGGCGCCCACTCTGAGAACGCGTGGGCGCCCGTAGCGGTTGTCGCAGAAAAGTGCAGTGCACAGCTTCCGCTTCTCGAGGGATACGCCATCTCTGATTTCATTGTGGACGTTTTCATATGGCTGCTACCACTACCACGGGTACGTTTCAATGGTAAATACACGGTGGAAACTAATCGGTTGCAGATATGGGCCTTGCAGATGTCAGTCCGCCAGAAACTAGTGCTGGTTTTGATCTTCCTTGTTGATTTCTTGTACGCGCACTCCACAGCTTCACTTATTACGACTGACAATACACAGGGCAATCGGTGCTTCTGCTGCCCGAATGACCATCTATATCATGAAAATCGTGAACGCGTTCGCCCAGTCAGACGGAGAAAGTATGAAAGCCCTGGGGCGACAGATTTGCGTGACGGATGAGGTGGAGTTACACTACCTAAGCAGGACTTGGCTGCGGATCACACTCAGCTGGCTGCTGTTGACGCGTGGTCTGATTAAGGCGATATGATCTCCGCGCTCTCCGCGCTCTCATCAAACTACATTGGTCATCATCTGTTGAGCCTTATACCACCTCAGCGTCCATTGCATGCAGAATTCGACCGTAAGGAATCAGCTTATGTGGAGGTTCGGCAGTCCGGGTTGCACAGGCACGTCCAGGCTGGCAGCTCGCGGTCAGCCACTGAAAGTCTGAGACGGTTAATCGGCTTCAATGTGGTGGTGCAAGGCTGTCCTGACTTCTCTGAGGGCGAGGGCAGAGTACAATCCAACACCAGCGTCTACATAGCTAGAAGATACCACGTCTACCTCGCTTGAAACACATTGGATTTCATAACGACGATCGCACTGTAAATCATGCAACCATGTTTCTAAATTTCCGATCGGCAGATGCGAGATACACCTCGCTCGATCAACCGAACTCTTCGCCGCTATCCGAGCGACTTCGCAGGTATGGCACAGCCCTTGGCGAAGTCTGGCGAGAAGCAGTAATCATCTGCCTCAGGCTTTGAGGTATCATCTTGGTGTGTTGCTCTCCTCCCTCAGTTTTCTTAGAATCCTTCGGACGAAGAGAAAAGAAAGTTGAGAGCTGACAAGATCTTTTTTTTCACGCAGATCACTGCATCGATATGCTTCGTCAGAAATTTCGTTCCCTGCCGGTCCATTTTGCTTTCGTCTACTTTCATATCCGGGCTAACACAAGGTTATATCATATTAGCTCATGTGCGACGCCGATGTAGGAATGATAACCTATGTATGGGCCAAGGGATGGAAACAGGCGTTTCCGGATTTCAGCACGTATGCTTCATCCGTTTGTGTACAGACCTTCCAGACGACTTACATCGCTTAGTATCCATAAATGTCGCCCCTACTCAAGGGTCCTGGACTGAGCTCGAGAGAATTACGTTCATGGGAGTAGAAATATTGCGGATATTGGACGTGCTCCAGGGGCTAAAGAGAGAAACAAGACCCTGATGGTTAACTTATGGTTGATCTATGCTTCCTGAATTGGGTGATGAGTATTAGTAGACTTTGGCAGGCCAGTGAGCTGTGAGGCTCAAAAGGTTGAACGTACGCATGGATGAATCCGTGAATTTAGTAATTTACTCCAAACACTCAGAGTGTGCTTAGGTCCGGGATGAGCACTAAAACGGAAAAGAGCAAGTAGGTATTGGGGCTGTATATAAAATCCAGTGCGTATATACTGTTCAACGGGACAAAGCAAGAAAAGAACAATCATAAAGAAAGATGGAAAGCAAAATCTATTTTAAATTATATCGTCTCGTCTCGTCTCGTCTCATATCTCCAGATGTTCCACGCTATTCGACCGCTTCCCAGTACTACCGCCCAGCGATAGCACGGACATCGATCGATCCGGTAGAGATGGCTGTTCCAATTCCTTCGTTTTGGTACAAATCCAAGTAGAAGCATACATGTTGACTCTGTTTTCCCAGTCCCGTTAGCGTTATTGTGCGCAGGCACTGGAGCAGGGGAGATAGGCGGAGCATAAACTTACCGGTCAATACATGTTCCTGGGAATCGAGCACCGACTCGCCGGGCCGTGAAGCCATTCTCTTCGAAGTTCCGGATATACCAGGGTTCGATGCTCGCAGACCGGAGAAGAATGCGGCCGTTGGGTTTCAAGGCGTGGTTGAGTTTCTGGGCTTGAATGGAAGCGTCGTTACCGGAGGGGTCGAACCAGTCCATTGAGTCCATGACCTGTGGAGGTAGGAAATTAGGAAAGAGTTTCTATATATTGGGAAGTGGGGGCTAGGATAAGCGGGATAACTCACAACAGCAATAGTGAGGCTTCGCGGGGTGATACGTTTGATCACTTCATTGATCTCGTCGGTGTGGATACGGAGTCCGTCAAATGCCCCTGGGGAGGATAATCTCACATGTGCTTTGGGTGACAGATAGGCAGGGTGGCATCTTCATAGCTGTCAGACATATGATGCGATGGGTCGGTTAGTGATTGGGGGCTCTCACCTTCGAGAGAATTGGCCTTGTAGACACAAGTAATAAAAGTAATTGTCAGAGCCAATCAGAGTGTCATTGACCACTGGATCGAGCGTGTCGACGACATATTCCCAGATCGACTGGCCACTGATGTCCTTGGCTTGCTTCATATCCGCAGTCAAGCCGTTACGCTTGAAGAAGTCATCGATGATCATATTACGCTGGTTGCGAGGCACGCCCGCGGCCTTCCATGCAAACCACTCCGTTCCGACTACTGCCCAGTGAAGAGGCTTGCTCATCAGAACCGAACGGATCCGAGGCCAGATCTGGCGCTGCTCGGCAAGGGTTTGAGCCTCGCACAACTTCCGCACCTGACTCTCGAGGCCGAATACCTTGAACAGATAACGGACCATCTTGATTGCATGCCGGGATCCACCAGTCTCATAAAGACCCTTTCCAGATGTCGATGTAAAGACGTGACTGTGCTCCAACCAATACTGGAACGCCTGACTGGACAGGTGAGGGCTTAGACGAGAAATGAGCAGTTGACGGAACTCAGGGTGCTTTCCTTCTCCAAAAATCTTCCAAACATCGCGATGGCCGAGGGCAGTGAAACTGGCCACTTTGAGTTCGAGGAGATGGTTTTGGTTGGGGTTCAGGTCCACTGCATGTACTCGTCGTGGGCTCTTCTGCAGGTAATCCAGAATGTTGTCACCAGCGCTGGTAATGGCCAAGACCACATCGTCGCGTTGAATATCCAGAAGGCGGTGGTCAACCCGAGGATCTTCCCAGTTGAAGGCGTAGATATATTCGTTCTGGAACTGGGTGTGTTTCGGAAGCAGGTCATTGTAAAAGATGCGGTAATGGTGGTTTTGATAGAAAGATGAAGGCAGCGGCAGGTTCGAGCCAAGATTGACTACTGCTGACTCGTATGCTTTGGACCGAACCTCTTGTGCGCTGGCTTCCGCAGCCTTCTCCATCTCCTTCTGGTGGTTGGCAGGAGACAAGTAGGGCGACTCGGTGAACGAGGCATCGAGCTTCTCGATCGTATCTTTGCCTGTCTGGCTGGACGTAATGTCCTTTTGACGCCCAAGGAATATGTAGTAGGGGATACCTCCGAGAAGGTAGTTTCTCTCGCTAGCAGAAACGACAGTCCCAAATCGATATTCCAAGTAGTCCCGACGAGCGGCCTCGAGACTCACCCGGTCTGCATCAAACCAGGCACGCCAGAAGACGCGACCAAGCCAATTGACATGGCGATTGAAAGCGCCACCGATATAGTTACGAGACGAGACATCGACGATACTCTGAACTATACAGATAGTCAGTTGTCAATCATGTCCTCACGCCCTCGATGGGTACTACCTACCATAGAAATCGCAAACACCGAGCAAGCCGGATGGTTTCAGCAAATCCGTCATGGAATCTACCACACTGTAGTAATCTACATTGGGTTAACATATCGTCCTCAGAAAAAGTTGAGGAGAGAGGAACCGCTAACCTGGGATCATGGACAGACTGTAACTCATGGTAATCGCGTCCGCACCCGTGTTAGCAGTAGTAGACTTCGCCCGGGGATGGACATGCTCCGCGTCTGGCAAGCGAAATGACCGTGCATCCTGGCAGACCACGCTGACATTCTTCCATCCTAATCGCCGGAACCGTTCCCGGGCAACTTCGCAGAGAGAAGGGGAGAGATCTACTAGATAAACATGGGAGAAGAAAGTATGAACTGGCAGAAACGCGGACATGGCCTCGATGTTATATCTGCATGTAAAGTTAGAGGAATTAGGTCAATGGACGTTTTATTCGGTCAATGCTTACCCAGTTCCTCCACCAATCTAAAAAATCAGCAAGAGCTTTCTAGATAATGGTATAGAACATAACTCAGACACTCACATCAACCCAGATGGCTTTTCCGTTCTTCAGCTGCTTATTGTCCACTTTGAATCTTAGCTGCGCCGCCACAAGGCCCAGCATGTCTTCTCGGCCGCGCAGAAGGCGTTTTCGAGTGGCGTCGTATACTCCAGCCTAGAGTTTGTGAGCTCCCACTCGACAGATACTCTCTACCTAGAGTCTCGTACCTGGGTCTTGTAGAAGCTCTCCAAGGCATCTTGCTGACCCTCTCCGCTCTTCTGATGAGGTTTGAGGAAGTTCGCGTAGACGAATTTCAGGTAGGGGAAGATACCGCTGTTGTAGTTGATCTTACCCCGGTAGGAGGAAAGGAAGAGTACGACGGCGACGAGCGCGGCGACCAGGATGGCCGTGCCTGCGATGTACACATGCTGCCATCCCATGCGATTCACCAGCTCGGCCACCGGACGGCTACTCCCGAGGGCGTCCATAGCAAAAGAAAAAGGATTACAAAAGGCCGTAGCTGCAGTGATGCAATCGAAAGTTGAGAAGAACTTGACGGACAAGAGTCCGAGTCGCGAGAGGAAACGGTCTCTTCTTGACTGTAAAGCCTGTCCCCCCACCACCCCCCAGAATTCAAGCACTAGCATGAATATCTTCACTCGTCCCCACCACAGGCCCCTCTACAGAGGGTCCAGAGGCGATAAGCTCAAACATGAGGTCGCATGCTGCCTAGTCAATGGGCAGAAGAGGTTAGCGAAGAACCTTGGGACGATGCCTCCATCGCGAGGAACCGTAGCTGATATCCTATCAGCGAGACACATGTCCCGAAGGTGGCAGAGGAGCGGAGGGAAGGCGAGAGAAAGGAAGGACGAGGGACGGAGGTGGACAAGACGGACAAGTGAGAGCGCCGCCTGCCCACATGTGACCGCCTTCTATACTTCCGCCCGCCCACCAATCAGCGGCCTGGCATTCGGCACACCCCCGGAAGATCTTTGGGATCGCAGAGAGGATCAACGAGCGTTCCATTATATGGAGTATGGATAAATGAACATCTACCTTGCCGGACGGATCCCTTTCCCCGAAACGGCATCGACCTGCATGTGCCATCCTTCGTTTGCTGCGTGATCCCGAGACTTTTACATCCTGGGTCCTAGTAGATACTCTCTAGGGGATCTTCACCACCGCTCGGCCCTCAATCTCCGAACGTCCCAGCCGCTGCAATACCTCGTCGATTTTGTCGAATTCGAAACATTCAATATACGCGGTCACGTCCCCGGCTACTGCCATTGCCATCAACTCGTCCATTTCTTTCGCCGTACCCGCAGAGTTTCCAATGATCGTCAAGCCTGTCGTGAAAACTATTAGTGATTTCCCAATTGACAGATCTATACCACAATGGACCTACCTTTAACAATCATATCAAATGGTGTTGCGGGCAGTCGGAACGACACGCTCGGTATACCGACGCAGACGAGAACCCCCAGACGGCGAAGCAGTCGCATACTCTGGGCATAGGCCGGTTCGCTGTTTGCGGTACAAATGACAGCATGGGCGCCCAAGCCCGAGGTAAGCTTCTGCACTTCCGCCTCGATATCGTCCACCTTGTAGTCCAGAAAGCTCGCTGCCCCTAACGAAAGACAGAGTTGCTTCTTTTTCTCTCCGCTACAGACCAAAGTCAGCATTTGATGAGCCATCGCTTGTGCTGACCGTACCTGTCCACTGCAATCACTTTGAGCCCTTTCTTGGAGGCAATCTGGACTCCCCTGCAGACCCTTAGCTTGTGTCCAACTTTGTCAGCGAGTCAACGCTTACATGTGCCCTAGGCCTCCTCCAGCTCCGGGAAGAACAAGCCAGTCACCCGGGCGAGTTTTGGTCTTCATGATTGATGAGTACATGGCAATACCCGCTATATTTCAAAATATCAACGAGTCAAAACGGTTCCCATAAAGGCAAAGCGGACCTCCTACCACATAGAAGCGGAGCAGCCACATCTGGTTCCAGCTGCGAGGGAATCTTTGTTACATGAACTGCCGGACTAACGAGGTACTCTGTATGTGGTTGATGAGTATGTTTGAACACTCAAGGGATCGAGAGGGTCTATACGCTGAAAAGTGCCGGGCACGTTCTATGGCTTGTTAGCACGGCTATCGGACTACGCGTAGGTAGTATGATGAGCACGACTGGAATAGAACATACAGCCCCGGCATTCTTTTGATACGGACAGGCCGTATTGTTGATGGCGCAAATCTCGCAATTCAAACAGGAGCTGTAAAGCCATCTGATACCTATCCATCAATCTACTGGGCCAATTCAAAGATACAGCAGGACCGAGTGTGAGACCGACCTGATGCCAACCCTCTTCCCAAGCCAGTCCTGCTCATTGACACCGGATCCAACTGCAATGATTTCAATGCATCAGATGGAATCGCCATCGAGTAGGAAAGATGAAGGTCTCACCTTGGACTACTTTCCCCACCCCCTCATGCCCCGCCACGTCGGTCAACATCGGCGTTTCCCCGCGGACGCTGTGCACATCCGAGTGGCACAATCCTGAGTATTCCAACTTGACAAGAAGTTCTCCTTCTGCGGGCAAAGGAACGGGGTGGTCATGTCTGATTTGCAGGCTTGCATTTGCCGTCGCACCGGCCGGAGGAAGCACCGCGGCGATCTGGGTGGATGGAATGGCCATAGTGGAAAATGGGATATGCGGGGATAGGACAAGGGAAAAATCCAAATTAAGGGTTGAATTGAGGGGGAGGTTTTATAGTCCAGTAGATGTGGGGGGTGAGAGTAGCGCCTTTACCCCGTCTGTCCCTCGTGAATCAGACCAATCGATAAGGCAGACGATGATAACAGCGCAGGGCGCCGATTTCCGTGACGCAATCAATCGCTGCTATCGGCGATGGTTTATCCTTTATCAGAAGGCGAATACAGTATCTAGTGCGATCAGGACAGGCCTCGAAAAGATCACATCAATCAATCAATTAGGATATTATGCTAAAGTCTTCAAAACTTCCCGTCAAAAAGAGGTATACAATATAAACGACATGAAACCCTGTCTTCCAAAACAGAGCCAGGAAAAAAAGAAAATAAATAAATAATAGAGATATGATGAAAGCAGGGCCTCCCCAAACGGGGAGACCCCAAACATGTCCGAGTCCGTCATAACAGAGGTGAAGAATATGTCGAGTAAAATCTATCGCACCACACAACGACGCCAGCGCTTATGCGTTTTCCGATTGAAGAGTTTGCTGCGGTAAAATCAAGGTCAGTGGCTGGATGACCCAAGCGAGACTCACAAAGTACTTACCACCAACCAGTCCATTCCCTCGTTCAGGCCTTTTCCGTCGATGGCAGAGCAAGCCACGATACTCCAGTTCCTGTCGCGCAGTTCTCCCAGCTTCAACGCCTCCGAGATTTCGCCCGCACCCTTGGCACCCGGCTGGTCTTGCTTGTTGGCAAATACCAACAGGGCCGCGTCGCGAAGCTCCTCTTCGTTCAACATAGCTGCGAGTTCGTCGGCCGCCGTGCCCAGTCGTTCAATATCGGTGGAGTCGATCACGAAAACGACGGCGGCGGTGTTGGCATAGTAGCATCGCCAGTAGGGACGGATGGACGTTTGGCCTCCGAGATCCTAAAATAGAAGCAGTGATCAGCAACGAGTCTTTTCTCCCTTCCACACCGAATCAATGGGTCACACGGATTTGTCCATACCCAAACATTGAAATTCAGATTTCTATACGTCACCGACTCGACGTTAAAACCAATCGTGGGTATCGTAGTGACGACTTCGCCGATCTAGCAAACAGAAAAGGTCCTTGATTAGTATACTGTTGCAATCATACAGCAATGAAACAAGGGAAGAGGGAGTCCCGTGGTTACCTTCAGTCGGTAGAGAAGCGTCGTCTTTCCGGCGTTATCCTATACAAGGCAGTTGAATTAGTCCCGAATTCCGCAACCAGGCAACACTTCGTGGAAGATCTTCGAAGACGAACCAGACCAAGAATCAGAATACGGATTTCCTTTTTGGACCAGAAGAAGGACCAGAGACGCGATAAGGAGCCACCCATGGTTGTGTTTGAAACAAAGAAAGGGAAACAGGAGGGGAGAAGGTCAGTAGTGGGCGACGGAAGGAGACGATGACGATGGCGGAGGTGCGATCTCAGGCAAACAGAGAGCGGTGAAGGGCCGTTTGGCAGCGGAGGAGCAGGAACAGTGATAGAGGTGCCCGGGAGAAACCAGGGCGAACAACTTGGACTTGGAGGGTTCCTGAATGGAGAATCATCCATCACTCGACACGACACGAGAGAAAGCAGAGCAGAGCAAGAGCTGACTAAATCCCCTGGTGGCAACCATTGGCCCGCAGTGCCGATCAGTCTGGCCCAAGCTTGACCGTCCGAATTGACGGGGAATCGATTGATCACTTGTCAAGTCGCTGGTTGATGTTGATGAGGCTTTTCGCTTTGCGACTTCGTCCTTCCCTGTGCCTCTTTCCTTGCGGCCCTTCTGCCCTTCCACTCCTTCCACTGGAGGGTCCTCGTCCTCTCGCACTTCCCGTTCCCGTTCTACCTTGAAGTCGTGCCGCTCCGCTCCTTGCGACTCTCTTCCTTCTTCCTCCATTGGCCGCTACGGAGCGTCCGAATAATTTGATTCCTGGCTATCGCTGCCTATCATGGTGGGCAAAAAATCCGGAAAGGCTCTCCTTCGGGATGAAGGTAAGTCTGTCGTCTATTCCGGTGTCTGCGACCGTTGTGTTGTCAAAGTCCTAACCCCCGGTTACATGTAGGCCTTGAAAGGACGGATAACAACATGGAATTGTCGAACTGGCCTCAGGTTCCCCCGATCAACCAGAAGAACTATTATACGTATGTGACAGGACTAGTTATCATCTTCTGTTGGTCATCGTACATGGTTGTCAACACTCCGCAAACACCGTCCGGCTAACACAATTATTTCCCCTGCCTACAGAGACTACCTCAAGCGCGATGATCAATATCTGGCTTTCAGACTCCAAAATGAAGAGAATCGGAATCGAATGGCCAAAAACGCCAAAGATCGGGACCGTGCCCTTGCCATGGCAAAAGCGAACGACCTAGGTCTGCCCGAAGCGGAAGCGGATGTGGATGGCGACGCGAACATGGAAGACTCAGAGGAGTCTAGCTCCGAAACGATTGGTTCGAAAGTGATTGTGATACATGTCGGCAGTCAGAACTTGCGAATTGGCCTCTCCAGCGACGCTTTGCCGAAGACGGTCCCTATGGTGATTGCGCGAAAAGCCGCAACGAGTGAATCGGAAGATCGGGATGAGCCTTATCCCAAAAGGCTGAAGCTTGATGACGGCTCCGAAATGGAGCCAGAGAAAATGTTTGGTCCGGAGGTTCGTCACCCAGCACTGACAGTACTCCGTGCTTCATATTGAAGATCTAATCGCTGACTTGGTTCTTGAATACAGTTTGCTTCGCAGTACACGGCAATGTCCGCAGAACTCAAGGCGCACATGCGCCAGAACAAGCGCCGAACTCTCCCGAACTCAAAAGAAATGGTGATCAATTACAATCGAAGAACGGTCCCGGAGACCATCTCGGAACACAACGATCCCTCGCGTATTGAGTGGACGGAGATCCCCGATCCGGCGCCGGAATACATTGCGGGCCAAGACGCCTTGAGGATCCCGGATGCCTCTAAGCCTCGCTACAAGCTGTGCTGGCCGATGAGATACGGGTGGTGCAACGAGAGAGACTACGAAAGCAAACGACTCATGTTCTTAGACATTTCGTTGATTCTGGAGGAGGCCATCAAAACCCAACTCGGCCTCACGAGTAAGAAGGAGTGGCCTCAGTACTCGTGTGTATTCGTCATTCCAGACCTTTATGAGAAGTCGTATGTGTCTCAGGCGCTGGAGATGCTTATGAGGGAGTTCGCGTTTGCGCGCACATGCTTTATCCAAGAGAGTCTGGCGGCTGCCTTCGGGGGCGGGTTCACGTCTGCCTGCGTGGTCGACATCGGTGCTCAGAAGACCTCGATCTGCTGCGTGGAGGAAGGCATGTGCATTGAAAACTCCCGGGTGAATTTGAAATATGGCGGATCCGACGTCACCGAGACGTTCGTCAAGATGATGCTCTACGACCATTTCCCTTACGCCGAAATCAATCTATGGCGCCGGTATGATTTCTTGCTAGCGGAGGAGTTGAAAAAGAATATCTGTACCATGAACGAGGCCAGTGTCTCCGTGCAGGTCTATGATTTCCACCTCCGCGTATCCGGTCAAGACACCAGCAAATACACGTTCAAGGCATACGATGAGGTGCATCTGGCCCCGATGGGCTTCTTCCAACCGACTATCTTCGATAATACTCTAAAACTCAAAGGACGAAGAAACTTGATTTCCCGCTCGGTAGACATCTACGACGGGCAACCGAACGATCCGACATCTGCAGCTCAGTCCGAAATCCTGACCGCCCTTGCTCCTCCATCCCCGAGCCAGGTCAACGGCGAGAGTCAGCCGAACTCTCTGGATGTGCAATCAACGCCAAGCCGCTCGCAACAAGTTAATGCCCTCAGCCGTGTGCAGGAACTAGACGCTACCCCTCGATCCTCCGTGGCCGGCTCCCCCGTCCCTGAGGCTGTCGGCACGCCCCAAGCTGGAGGCACTAGCACCCCTATTGCCGGCGGACAAACTCAGAACGTGTCGCAACCGCGGGCACCGGCAGTCGAAGAACGCGACGACATTCTCCCGGTTTATCCGCTTGATAATGCGATTCTCACTTCCATCGCCCATGCGACTCGATCAGATGAACGTAAAATGCGCGACTTCCTCGGTGGTATCATGGTTGTGGGAGGAGGCAGCCAAATCAACGGCTTTCATTCATTCCTGGAGGAGCGGCTTCAGGCTCTTCGGCCAGGGTTTGCCAAAGAGATCATGATCGGCTCTCCGCCACGAGACCTCGACCCGCAAGTAGTTGTTTGGAAAGGTGCCAGCATCTTTGGCAAACTGAGCGGCACGAATGACAGCTGGATCGGGCAGCTGGAGTATGATCGGTTGGGCCATAGGCTGATGGCCTATAAATGCATGTGGGCCTACTGAAACAAGGCACAGGGCACCTTCCGCTGGTTTGTATGCACTTTTCTGTCTCTCTGTTCTTTATATGATAATACTTGACGTTATGAGATCCCTTATTGAAACGCAACTGTACTCCTAGATGAATAATTGGCCTATTTGGAACTGATGAAACGCATTAGCCACCTCCATCTTAATTACTAGTAAGATTCCAGTAAAATTGTTGGCATAGGCAGTAATACCCTCTGGGGTGAATGCCTATTCTATATAACCCAAGGGCAATTTCCAGCTCTCCTTCACTGTGCCGTGCAAGTATAAACCGGACGGAACCACCCAGATCACGTTCTTTGTGGGTCATCACCTGACTGCGCTACGCTCTAAGACTCAGGCGGTGAGGCTGTGCAGAATGAGCCCGCAAACCCCAAGTTTGTCTTCCAATTGTTTCCCGGGAGCTGCTCTCCAACATCTTTCTAACTTTCTTTCTTGAAACTCTTTAAGGACTCGCGCCGGTCGTTTCCATATTCGCGGACTCGACCGGGTCTCTTATACCCGAATTTCAAATACATCCCCTGCTCCTTACCATTTCATGTAAGTCCTACGACAAATCGTCGCAACGCGATTTCAAGAGCTATCGCTAACATTGGTCTGCCTTGTTAATAGTGTACACTCCGCCGGCGACTGATCCCCCTCAGTTCGATCTTTTCGGAACCCTTGCGACCAAAATGTCGAAATCTAAGGATGGTGGCTCCTCCGGGGGCTTTCACCAGGAGTACATCGCCTCAACGCGCTACCGCAATGATCTACCTCCTCCGGACATGCCCCCCAAATTTCTGGATATTCCGCACGAGGGCTTAGGCCGATTCCTCACTCCGGGATTTGCTTCCAGTCTTGCGAGACGTGAAGAGCCAAACATTGATGTGGACGCGGAGGGTGGTATGCCGATTGATCTCGTCGGTATCCCGGGGCTTCATCTGGGCGATGAAAGTGGTACGTAGCTTCACGTTGACAGGAATTCCGTGAGGAGATTGTGCTAATACAGATCCACTTCAACAGCTATCATGGCTCCGGAAAACCCCGACCCAATTGATCCCGCCGACCTCCCTCTTCTGATGACCCTAGACCAACTGAGAAACCCGGCGCCCAAGAACACAAATGTCAGCTTTCTTCGTCGCACGCAATACATCTCCGCGGGAGTTCGCGCCCCTGAGGGCCCCAAGGTCACGCCCATCAGATCGAAGTCTCGTCAAGACGAGAAGACGAAAATGTCCCAGGATGATCCCATTTACATCAAGAAGTACATCCAGAAGGGATTCGACATTGCATACCCGGAGAGTAAGCATTCTGGGGAAGATACGCCAAGCAGAGTCAAGGGTCACAACCCGACGAAACTTGAACACGATGCATGGGCTCATCCTGTACACCCCGATAACCCCAAGCTGAAGCCTGTTGGGTTCTTCCCGTTGCTTCCCGACCTAGCAGGGTTCCCCGATCCTGGAGGCTTCGTTCAGTTCAAATTTGACAAGGCGCCCGTCCAAGACATTTCTGGCAAGCGAGATAAGCGAATGGATGCTGCTGTTTTGCTGCCATCTGCGCCCGAGGAGCGTGTTTGCCAGGAACATACAACAAAAGCAACTCTGCACAAGACGAACCCCAGTCTATACCCCGATCCCGGCCCTGTTCCTTGGGATTACGACCTTTTCCTTCCCGGGAAGGAGAACTCCAAGAACGTCCTTGCAAGCTTGCGCATGACCAACCCTGAGCGTGACAACGAAGGTCTTTACGCTCACGAGGGCGCCGACAACACCAGATTCCACCGATTTGATCGCGTGCGCACCTACGCTACGAGCGCCCAGACCCTTGGCAATGACTCAAAGCAAAGAGATGTCGCATTGACTATTTTCGACCCGTCGAATTCCAACGAAGAACACGAGGGCAAGCAGAAGGCGGCCTATTATTACCCCATCCTCGGAAAGACACGTCTCAAGCCGGAGCGAGCCCGTACTATTGCGCAGGCCGGTCTGGCCCCTACGCGCCCGAAGACCAAAGAGGACCAGGTTGATCAAATTCAAGTGGTCGTTCGCGATCCAGATGAGGCGGAGGTGTACAAACGAGGATTGCACAGGGCAGCCATTGATCCTAAGTTCGCGAAAACCATGCCGCCGGCACCCGAGGGCGCAGCCGATGAACCAGAGTCGCCCCATGAGTATGCCGAGGCAGACGACCGCGAGCCCAGTGTTGACCGACAATCAATAGATCAGGATGCACCCGGTGAGGCAGATAGGATGAGTGGCGACGAGTGAATGCATTGGCCCCTGGATATTAGCTCTCTTCCGTGACAATGATTCTGGATTCTTACGATCATCAACTTGTATACTTCTGACCTTATAATTATCATAATCTGCACAACCTCATACCCTCTCTTGCGACACTGCTGCGAGATACGGGAATCAGATTCCTCTCTCTCTCACCTATCTTTCTTTGCCCCGGTGCAGTTTCCCGGGCCTATGCTGTATGCAGTTGGGATCGGTCAAGACTGCTAGCAACACAGCAGGCGTTGAGTGGCATGAATAAAAATGGAGTTTCATTTAGCGAGATATTCTGATTATGCTCTTTTACTCTTGTCTTTTCTTTTTGTTCTTCTCTTTTTTTTCCTCCTCAATCTTCTTGTATGCAATATAGGCAATTGGCAATGTTGGCGGTAGTCTAGGAGAATAGACCAGCCTTTGAATTTACGACACATGGACAATGCAAACTTGCAGCCAGAAGAACAGTGGATCATAGAGCAATGAGCATGATCTGTCAACAGTAGCAATGCTCTTATATTCCTCGAGGGTCATGGAGATGCCCTAACACACCGCCTAGAATACCCAACTCCATTCTGCCGAGGGAATTGCCGACCGCCCGCCGCATGCGTTGACGCAAGAAACAAACCGGCGGACGGTCTTCGTCGACTCGGATTCAACCTGAAGCGGCATCCCTGTGAGGATTGACTAGTCGATTTACTTGGGGATGCTTGTGGCGCAAATACCAATTGCTCGGAAGAAATTGACTCTCTAATCCTCGTGGGTAAGTCGCGCCTGTGTTCACTTTGTCTTGCTTCTTCGCGACGTCGTCATCGGACAGCAGTTTCCCTGCTTTACCGAGAGCAGCCGATTCATAGCCGCCATCGAGGGTCAATGGACTGTCTACTCAGCAATTGATGGGGCCACAACTCATTGTTGTGGCATCTTCTCAGCCTCCATCATGACATATCCATAAATTGAAGCTCAACGCAGGCACAATTGCACCAAACCGCTAACGACCATCCTTAGGGCCAATTGCGGAAAGACTCGCCTTATGTTCTATTGATTAACATCCGTTTAAAAACGAACCCACCCACACCAATCAACATGGTCGCAAACTCGGTCGCACTGGCCTGGAGGGCTGCAGGTCCCCGAGCTCGCGCATTGCCATCCTTCCGCTGCGCGCAGCGTCCGTCGATCATCCGCAACCACGCCGTTGTTCCTCGGCACGGAGCCGTTCGACATGCCTCTGATACGCCAACCACCAAGGCCGCCGATGCTGCCTCCGCCACTACCGAGGCTGCCGCCGAAACGGTGAAGGAGGCGCCCAAGAAAGCCGGCCGTGGATCCCGAAGAATCGTGCTCGGCACGTCTTTGGCTCTGACGCTTCTGGTCGGCTATGTGTATGGCACAGATACGAGAGCCAGCGTGCACCGGTACGGCGTGGTTCCGTTGATCAGACTCCTATATCCTGATGCGGAGGATGCGCACCATCTCGGGGTGGATACCCTGAAGACTCTGTACCAATATGGACTGCACCCTCGGGAGCGTGGGAACCCGGATGGAGACGGTGCTTTAACGACTGAGGTTGGTTCTCTCTCTACTATTCAGACTTTTATTTTGGATAAGCAGGAGCCCGGCTAATTCTGGTTCAGGTCTTCGGATACACCCTCGCCAACCCCATCGGTATCTCCGGCGGTCTGGACAAACACGCCGAAGTCCCCGATCCGCTGTTCGAGATCGGACCTGCCATCGTTGAAGTCGGTGGTACCACGCCGCTGCCGCAAGATGGCAACCCCCGCCCTCGCGTGTTCCGTCTGCCATCGCAGAAAGCCATGATCAACCGGTACGGCCTCAACTCCAAGGGAGCCGACCACATGGCCGCCATCCTGGAGCAGCGGGTGCGTGACTTCGCCTACGCCCAGGGCTTCGGACTCCATGAACAGGCCGTGGAGCGGGTCCTGAACGGCGATGCCAGCGTTCCCCCCGGTAGTCTTGTCCCCGGCAAGCTGCTGGCCGTGCAAGTGGCCAAAAACAAGGCCACGCCGGACTCGGACATCGAAGCCGTCAAGCGCGACTACGTTTACTGCGTCGACCGTCTGGCCAAGTACGCCGATATCCTGGTGGTAAACGTATCCAGCCCCAACACTCCCGGTCTACGTGACCTCCAAGCCACCGCGCCTCTCACGGCCATCCTGAAGGCCGTCGTGGGCGCCGCCAAGGGCGTCGACCGCGCAACCAAGCCCTTCGTCATGGTTAAGGTCAGCCCCGACGAGGACGCCGACGAGCAAGTCTCGGGCATCTGCGAGGCCGTCTGGGGCTCCGGCGTCGACGGCGTCATCGTGGGTAACACGACGAACCGTCGTCCGGAGCCCTTGCCTCAGGGCTACACGCTGCCCGCTAAGGAGCAGAACACGCTCCAGGAGACGGGCGGATACTCGGGCCCGCAGCTCTTCGACCGCACGGTGGCCCTGGTCGCGCGGTACCGGGCCCTGCTGGACGAGACGCCCGTGACGCCGGAATTGGCCGGAGAAGCGCAGGCCGAGACCGCGCGGGTGGTCCACGCCGAGCCCGACGCCGAGAACGTGCCCTCCGTCGACCCGCCCAGCGTGGTGGCGCAGTTCCCCCGTAAGGTCCTCTTCGCGTCTGGCGGCATCACGACCGGCGCCCAGGCCCAAGCGGCTCTGAACGCGGGCGCCTCGGTGGCCATGATGTATACCGGCGTGGTGTACGGCGGTGTAGGCACCGTGACTCGCGTCAAGCAGGAGCTGCGCGAGGAGAGACAGCTAAAGAAGGATTAAACAGCTGTCTGTATCTATCACCGGACCAGTATCAAACAAAAGCAAAGATAAACGGTTATCTGTAAATAACGTTTCCAATGATATTTTATCACACCTAGTCACTGCCTACACCTACAGAAGTATATTAGATGCATGTCAGTTCTACAGTTATTTCTACCGAGGTTAGCCATGCCATGACTGGTCAGCTCAATGCCAATTCTTACTAGTTCTTCCAAAGTAAGGAAACGTCATCGGCATGAGAAGAAGATGAGAAAAAGCCATCTGTGTAGGTGGCGTTGACTAGCCCGCAGGGCTTGCAGATTCGAATCTAGCTAAATGCTAAATGAAGCCTCGAAACGCCTCATGAAATCATCATGCATAGTCGTCGGTGATAGTTTGATGCAATATAAACCAAAGATCCCGAAATTAGTTATAGATAGAAGCCCGTGCCCGCGACAGGGTCTAGGGGTTCGTATCCCTTGCGTGCTGCCATTCGCTCCTTATACGTTGCTTGACAGGTCTGCATACATGTCATTCCTGCAGGACAGGTATGCATTGGCATTGGCATTGGCACGACAGGACGGACACGAACACTACAGGGAGGGCTCAGAGAGTCTCTTCGACCTCTCGCACCACCTTCCGCACACCCTCGACCTCGTGCGCGAACCGACCCAAGAACATACCGTCGACGGCCTTCCCCAGACCCCCGGGCCCCCACAGACCTGGCCCCGCACTGCCGCCGTACAGAATACGCACGTCACCCTTGCGGCTGCCGATGACCGTCTTGATGCCCTGCACCACGGCGGCGATGTGGTCGACGCCAGCGGGGACAGGCTTCCCAATGGCCCAGACGGGCTCGTAGGCGAAGATGACGGGGGCGTCGGGCGGGATGGCGGCCAGGACGGCGCGCACCTGGACCTCACACTCCCGCACGGCCAGACCAACCGCCTCCGATGCCACGGCGCCCGGGGCCGTGATCTCGCCAATGCAGACGAGGGGCACCATGGCGTGCGCACAGGCCGCGGCGGCCTTGCGAGCAGTCTGCTCGTCCGTCTCGCCGAAGATGGAGCGCCGTTCGGCGTGGCCCAGCTCCACGATGGAGACGCCCATGCTGTTCAGCGCTTGCGGGGACACCTCGCCCGTGTAGGCGCCCAGAGGCTCCCAGAAGCAGTCTTGGGCGCCGAGCAAGAAAGGCGGTGGCAGCGAGGCGGAGGATGCGGGGGTGGTCGCCGAGGATTCGTAGTCCATGATGATTTCATTGCAGGGGTAGATGGTCAGGAAGTCGGGGATTAGGGCGAGGAGCAGCTTGGATCGGTTCTGGGGTCGGACGATATCGTTCTCGGGGGCCAGCAGGGCGCGGAGATACTCGACGGTGCGGGACGGGGTGAAGTACATCTTCAGCGAGATGATGAGTAAGTTCTTGGGTAGAACGGGGTAGGATTGCTGGGACGCCATGATTGTCGATTTGATTGGACCAGGCCAACTGCGCGTTCTTCTTTTCTCACGGTGTATGTTTCTGAATTGGTTTGGGTATGGGGGAGAGTGAGACGATAGAAATTGCAACCTCGGGACAGGAACCAGTGTACGCAGTTAGGCAGTTATGGCGGGGGAGGCAGCCCAGTCCACAAACCACTAGACCGACTCGGACGAGATGATTAGATGGTGTAACTGACAGCTAAGAGCTGACGGACTGGTTGCAGCGCTAGTACTGCGACCCTCCACTTTCAGACGACGGACACGAGGAAAGACTCGGTCGAGATTTTGGACGGGGAAGGTGGAGAGAAGGAAAAGACCAGAAGGTAGATCGGCCCACGCGAAATGCATCCCCAGAGCATGATGTTAGTGATTGGATTAAAATAAGTGGAGCGGCGGTCAGAAAACCTGGAGAAAACTAGTGGACGGACTCCAGGCCATGCGATTGACGGAGGCCAAGCAAGACAGAGAGGGGTTCCTCGAGGTGACATGAACGGTTGAAGCGGAAGAACGAGGAGGACGAGGCAGAGAGAAGGATAAGAAAGAACACCGTCAAATTGAGCAACTCAAGCGAGGGGACTCGAATGCCTGAGAAACAAGTCACCCCTCCGGACTTGTCACCTGCCGGCGGATCCCTCCTTCCCGCCAATCATACCCAGGCTCGGTAGGTGGGTCTGTCCCGAACCGGGTTAGCGCAGGTCGTCAGGAGTATAGCATCGGAAGGCCCAATCGGGACATTCCAGGCTGCCGGGTTTTTGAGGGGGTTTCTGTCTTTCCTGTTTTTGCCTTTTTGTGACGAACAAACAGAGGGGGAGATGTTGGAAGGGAATTCAGCCAGAACAGGTTCTGGTGTCAAGGATGTTGGAAAGAATGTCGTCAATTTGGGTTTACGGAAAACCTGGCAAATCACCTGATCCCGTCCTGCGTCTTTTCTCTCTGCGTCTCTTCAACCCTCCGTCCCTTCTCCATCGGATAGGACAAGGAAAAGCCTCATGCAGAACACGTACCTCCCGCCCTCCCGCTATCTGTTACCATATTCCACGCCATGAATGTGAAAGGGATCGGCATCCACTTTATCCAGTCAATCAGACACAGCTCCAAACCTGTTTGATACCAGTCAGCCAGAGACACAGTTCTCCGACGCTAGACGCTCTCCAAGCCCGTCCCCCATTGGCCCCTCACAAACAAGCTCCACTTCCAGAAATCAGATTCCTTGACCACATCTTCGTTATCGCCAGGAGAATCAGATGGAACGAGGCTATACGGAATTGATTTCAGCCAGTGGCGTCATTCGCCCGCCGCGCCATGGACGGTAGCCTCCTAAATGATCCGACTCATGCAGAACCGTCAAGCCATAGTCGGTTCCCTTGTTTCCGTCCCTCCTCGACAAGGGGCGTTGACACTAGTTTCTCTACCTAGAATTGTAAGCCACTATGCAGTATGCCAGAGGACAGAGCCAGGCATTCCAATCGACTATGACGCCATGCGTGGGGTAGTCGCAACCAGGTCTCGGTTTGCTCGGACGTTTGGGACTCCTGCCTCCAGACCGTGTTGCTCTTGGAGGTTGAGAGTTGAAAGTTGGGACAATCGTCGGTGGAGCCCGTCGCATTGAGATGTTGTGCATGAATTAGTGGATTGCGACAATGCAACTCGCTGTCTAGCGGTCTCCATCCGCTGAACCTTGGGGCGCAGGAGGCACGGCTCGGTCTCCGCAAATACGACGGAGGGGAAGGGAAAATCTTCGGAGAAGGGAAGCCCTGAATGGGTGGAATATAAAAGGATACTGGATTCCTCTTCCACTGATAGATTTCCTTCTACAGCTCTCAACCATCCTCTCACCTCTACTACACTTCATTCCCTTCCCACCGCTACAAGTCTTCTGACTTAAACAGATCACCAACACTTCACAATGTCTGACGCTAAGCCCCTCCGTATCGTCTTCGCCTGTGACGAGGCTGGTCAACCGTACAAGGAGACCCTCAAGGCCACGCTAGAGAAGCACCCTCTCGTCGAGTCCATCCAGGACGTCGGTGTCAACTCCACCTCTGACAAGACGGCCTACCCTCACCCCGCCGTGGCGGGTGCGAAACTAATCAAGGAGGGCAAGGCGGACCGTGGTCTCTTCATCTGTGGCACCGGTCTGGGCGTTGCCATCTCCGCCAACAAAGTCCCCGGTATTCGGGCCGTAACTGCGCACGATTCCTTCTCTGTCGAGCGCTCCATCCTCAGCAACGACGCTCAGGTGCTCTGCTTCGGTCAGCGCGTCATCGGCATTGAGCTAGCGAAGAAGCTGGCCAATGAGTGGGTGACCTACCGCTTCGACCCCAAGAGCGCCTCGGCCGCCAAGGTCCAGGCCATCTCGGACTACGAGACCCAGCTTGCTGCCGCTCAGTAAATCTGCTAGTAACAAGTGATCTCCTGTCTCTTCAGACGCATCTCTGATACCAATACCTGTCTGTCGGGACTACATTCGCCTGTTCCCAACTGCAGGCACCTCTGACCGCGACCATCCATCTGTGAGCATCTGGCGGAGGGGATTGTATACTACAGCCCTCCACACCCGCCGTGTTTTTATACGATAAGCCTAAGCGCCCGATCCGAATTGACGATCGTCTCGACGCGACTGTATTCTCCTTGAACGTATCAAACGCAACCCATCCCATCCCAAACGACTCGATGACATTACGAAGTGAACGGCATGAAATCTGGCGGGCCAATTGATTGTTCTTCAGTTCTACTTCTTAGGATTAGGAAATTATATTGAATGGAGCTTTTGCCTGGACCTTTTTCTTTGGAATCTTCAACTTGTCAAACGTAGTTCTCCGGTAAGTCGAGAGTAAATGTGACCATCCAGGGCCGGTGATGGCTTAGTCATCTGGGGATTCTGCGGGCATCGACGGCCTTCGATTCCCTTTCATCCTCCTTTATCAATCATCCAACTCTCGGCTCTGGACACAACATGACTCTCATCTCCCTTCAATCGGGCAGGTCCCTTCGTGCTCCATCGTTGCGTGTCCCTACAGAGTCCAATCGAAGCCGGCCGCATCTCCGTCGGCACGCTCCTGCCAAACGCCGAGTCGGTGGCCGTTTGTCAATCTGACAGTCGACGGTTCATCCAGCACTTTGGCCTCAAACTGCTGCCTTCCTCATCTCCTCCTCTTTTTCAACTCCGCCTCTTCCACCTTCTTCCGTCGTTTTCTGGTCATAGTTCTAGTCCCCAGGAACACAGTCGATTGCTCCGCAATCCGGTGGATCAAACGTACTTCCGGCCCCACCATCGACCGAACCCTCCGTCAAGTTACCCTCGGAGATCCAGAAAAAAAGAAAGTGACAAAAGAAATAGGGGGCATCCGAAAAAACAAGGTCGAGTTAATAATAATTAATACTACCGTGCCAACAGCGACAACGCACAGACCGCCATGTCCTTCGAATTGAAAGAAAAAGGTAATCTGCTCTTCAAAGAGGGCGATTACAGCGGAGCCGAGGATCTGTATTCTCAAGCGTAAGTGGCTTGAAACTCTGTTGCGTGAGATGCATCGCTAGGGGAAGTCCAGGCCCTTGTCCAGCCCGGCCGCACTCTCTTCCATCCCTCCTCGATTGCTTCAATTCCAAGGAAAACCTGGTTTTTGGGTATTGACCATGCCTCTGATTTCCCTGATCTTATAGTATTCTAAAGAATCCCCGCGAACCTACCTTTTTCACGAACCGCGCCCTCACGCGCATCCGACTCGAAAAATGGGCCGGAGTGGAACACGATGCGCGCGCCGCGGTCGAACTCTACGGTGTGAAGAATCCCACTAGCCTGAAGAGCTGTTGGTACCTGGCGCAGGCGCTGCTGGGTTTGCAGCGGCCACAGGAGGCCTACGAGGTGGCGATCGATGCCTACCGGGCCAGTCTCGCGGTCAAGAGCGTGCAGACGGAGAACCTGTCCAAGACGGTGCTGCGCGCCAAGCAGCAGATCTGGGCGGCGAAGGAGACGGGTCGATTGCGCGAGATGGACGAAACCTTGGGCCATGTGGAACAGCTGATGGAGACGGAGCTGAACCGGGCATTGGAGGAGTTGCAGGGCAAATTGGACCGCGAGGAGATCGGACACATCGGCTTCGTGGAGGATCAGAAAGCGCTTCGCGAGGATATGGAGAAGAAGATCACTACGTTGCGGGAAACGTTCCAGATCGCGTCCAAGGGCGAGGTTAAGGAGAGGGTGAGTCTCCAGGCGGTTACATCACACATGCGAAATGGACTGATTGCTAATGGGTGTCATCGCGGTGTTTTAGGTCGTACCCGATCATCTAGTAGACGGTATCACATTCGAGATCATGCACGACCCGGTCATCACGCCGTCGGGCACCAGTTTCGATCGGATTGGCATCGTTAAGTATGTCGAGCAGTCCGGAGTCGATCCCATCACGCGCGTGGCCATGACGACCAACGACCTGCGACCGAACTATGCGCTGAAGGCGGCCTGCGAGGAGTTCTTGACTCATAATGGATGGGCGGTGGATTGGTGATCTGATTTGATTCCAGACTACGAGTATCGTTCAAGCAATATCCCTGGTATGATGAATATGCATTGGAGGCGTTGGAATAGACACGACTTAACTGGACTGGACTGGACTGGACTGGACTGGATGTTTGATCCAAGAAAGAAGTGTACATACATTAGTCGAGGAACATTTTCTCTCTCAGCACATGTATTCTCTGTTTACAGAACCCATAAGATAAGCTATGAGACATAAGATAGACCTGAAGGACCGAGCCATCCCAACCGCCGAGCACCAACAAAACCCCACCATCAACAACGCGCAACCCCACTTTCCTTCTTTCCCACCAACTTCAACTTCCCCTCCTCCTCATCTTCTCTCTTTTCTATCTACCCATCTCCAAATTAACTACATACCCCAACTTTCAACAAATTAAATCAGCAACCATGTCTCTCGATAGCTACTTCACCGCCCTCTCCTCCGCGCAGTCCGGCGCCCAGTTCACCCCCGAGGTGCAGTCCGCCGCCGCCGGCATCAACGCCGACCTGCTCAAGGTCGCCGTCGAGATCGTGCTGGCCGGTGACGACTCCGCCTCGGTCGAGGGCGAGCAGGCCACGGCCCTGAAGGCCGGATTCGAGTTCGCCACCAAGGTCGTCAAGATGTTGGAGAAGGAGCCCGGTCAGCAGGAGATGTTGACGGTTTGTTCTCCCACCTCCCTCCCCCAGCTCTTTTAAGGTCTTTTCGACTAGTACAGATGTGATGGTTAAATGAATGAATGATTGCTAATACCTGGGATGATGCAATATAGCTCTACAAGTACTTCAAGCAGGCTCGTGGCGAGAAGCCCGCTGAGCCCTCGTTTTACCAGATCGAGGTGAGCCTCCCTCTCTCTCTCTCTTCTTCTCCCTACAATAAGACCAGACCGGATCAACGGAGGCTAATACGATTATGTGATACCCAAAAGTCCAAGTACAAGTACAACGCCTGGAAGGAAATCAGCCACATCTCTGCTGCCAAGGCCCAGGCCTCGTACATCAAGGAGGTTGCGGCCCTGATCGAGCAGATCGGCACCCGCTCTGCTTAGAGGATATGCTTTTGACATATTTTTGCATGTTAGGTGGTTGGAAGAAGGCAAGGTTGGGGGGAATAACACATCCTATATCATAGCATTTATCTATTTCGATGAGTTACGAATGCTGAGATGACTCTATTATCTCTATATTTATTGTTATGATTTTTGTGGTTTGCTTTGGGTTATACTATAGTGAGGGGTTTTATACTGTTTTTGCGATGGGGTCAATGAAAGTTGGGAGTCCTAGCTACTGAGGATCTTCCATCCACGTCTGGCCCATCCAGTCCGGCTCACTGTGACTGGCCGTCGCGCACCAGGGTTTCTCGTCGACTGCGTAATCGACCAGGGGCAGCCCGTAGGGCATCCGGAGTCCTACTCTGACGGACTCCTCCCCTCTGCCTTCAGGGACGTCTGTCTTGAAGCATGGTATCATCACCGATCCGTTTGCTCGGTCTGCATCGTCGGCAAACAAGTCTGGCCAGACAACAACCCCAATCTCCCAGCTACATATGCGTACCTCATCGTTGGCATTGACACCGGCGCCCCATGCCTGCGTCGAGAGATTTGCCGAGGTCAGCATCGCCCAATCAATCGAGTTCATCTCTTCTGTACACGAGAACCGAATGTAAGTCTTAATATGTGGCGCTGCGCGCCGACGGCCTGCATCTCGTTCTCGTTCTCGTGCGGCAGTCGAGTAGACTGGGGCAGCATCTCCGGCCCAATGTCGCAGGTACGGCTGCATGTACTGCAGCTGCTTCTGCTGCGCGGCACTCTGAATTTTCATGTGGATGGAGCCGCCGGATCCGTATCCGTTCAGAGAGCGACGGATCTCGTCGGCAGTGGGGAAGATGATGGAGTATTTGGGCTTTCTGCTCTTGTCTCCTGTTCCGTTGTAATCTGTTGGGGATAGGGATCGGAAGAAAACATCTTTTAACCATTTGTCTGTTTGTCCGAGGGAGGCGACAGAAGACATCTAGGGTTTTCTTGTTAGTCAAGAGGGTGCATATCGAGAGACAGGCTAGATATGTTCCAACATCAACAAGATAAACGAAATGAAATGGAATGAAAAGGAAGAAGAAGAAAAGGGAAGTTGTATGAACAAACCTGACAAACAACATGCGGCATCTTATTCGGATCCTCTTTCGTCTGAATCGGCACACTCCCCAAGACATCCTTCAACGCCGGCCATCCCCAAACCGTCTTCCTGGTAGAATTCAATCCCCCGGATTTCTGCTTCGACGGGACACTCGCCACCAACGCTGCTCGCACAGAGCCAAAGTCATATCTGCGAAGCTGGTCCACCAGACGACCTGTCTTCTTCGGCCCGTACTCACGCAGATAGGCGAGCAGGTCGCGCTTGAAGCGGGATCCGGTGCCCGGGGTCGTCGATGCCTCCTCGGCTGCGGTTTGTGTCTGCTTCCGCAGCGGAAGAAGAGGAGAGCGCCAGACGGCCTGACACATGTTCTCCCAGTCTCCGGGGATCATGTTGGCCGTGTGGATGATTACTCTGTAACAATGGGTCAGGATATCGTGCTTCTAGACTTGATCCTATGACCGCCATAGACTCGTGGTATAGATATCAATATCTATCGGGAACTAAGGAAACCATACTGAGCAAGATCATCATGTCTCAACAAGATCATCATTTTGGAATGATGCGTCCCAAACGCCTCGGGCATGTACGCCACGATAGGCTCGACATTAGGATATCGCGAGCATGCTTCCTAGCATCGTAATCAGTCAGTCAGTCAGTTGCCACTAAATCACTTCGTCGATCGAACTCCGCGCACCACCCAACCCACATCAGAAGTAAAGAAGTAAAGCAAAAAGAAAGGGAAGCAAAGGGGATTGACCGTACATCAACGCGCACTCGATTCGGCGCCTCCCTCTTCCACGAACCATGCACGACCTTCACATCGACAAGGGCTCTCACATCCTCATCAAATTGGCGCATCAGGAAATCGACATCGAACAGGTAATTGAACTGCCAGCATTCGCGGATCATAGGATCCCCGAGGAGATCGTGCAACCGGACAGTGTCGACATTGTTAGCGGAAGACGACCCCAGGTCGTGGATATGGGTGAGCTGGAATGGCGATGATACTATCTTTGGTTTAGATGCGGTTGGATTTGACTTGGGCGGCTGGTTGGGGTATGGCGTTTGAGATGACGATGACGATGATGACGGCAAGGGCGGGCTGATGGGTCGGTGGAGAGATGCCAAGCGCGATACTGAAGGGGCGGCTGGTGTATTGCCCGCCTGGTCTATGTCCGATTTCGAGGACGATAGTTTTATTTTTTTGGCGGGCTGGTTGGCGTCTTCATGCGCCATGGCTGGATAGTTGAACGGGGGGGAAGAAGAGAAAGGAAGACGGGATGCGAAACCACGCGAAGAGAACTTGCCCGAGAAAGGAACCCGTGCCGGCCTCATAGATAGGTTTGGTTCATACTTTATCAGGTACAATGTTGAATTTACGTTTGGCGATGCTCTCCAAATGGAAGAACGAAGGGATGAGAACGGGAAAATCAAAGTTTAGACAGGCAATGTTGGTCTTACTAACAACTACAGGGCGATATTATCATACAACCACCTGCCAGGTCCCCGACAGCCTCGCTCTATATACATACATGAGCCCCTTCCTCCCACTTTTATAATACTAACACACAGCAAGAAAGGTAATGATTAAAAATGATTACCACATAAACCGTTGGATATTGCCAGGTTCCTGGGGCCATTCGAACCCTTTGTACAGGAACACATACCCTGTCACCGCATTGACGACCAGGAACCACAGCGTCTCCAAGAAGAGAGGGAAATTAGTTGCGATCTCTTTGTGAAGCGCCTCCTTCTCATTCTGAGGGCGCTGCTGCCGGTACACTTGCGGCGTAGGCAGCGGCGGCAGATGTAGCCTCCACATAACCCATGGAATGATCGCGTACCGAGGCTCAACGAGAGGAGCCACAATCAGAGAAACAGTAGTCGCGGCAAGCCAGACGAGTACAAAGCTCACTCGCGGCCCCTGGTTTTCCTGTCTTTGACGCTGGATGATATGTTGTTGCAGCTGAGCGTAGGCCTCGGGACTGATGGGCGGTGCCCGAGGGGGTGCAGGCGCAGCGGGCTTTTTAGAAGGCTTCTGTTTGCGCTCCGCTCTCGGCTTCGGGCCGGTTTCCTTAGTCCCCTGCTTCTTCGACAACTGCGGAGATGCTGACGTGGGCACTCGAATGAACTGGGGAGGTGCTGGGTATATCACGAACCCAAACGCAGAAATGACGGCCCAACCACAAAGGAAGTAGGCGACGGTGGCAGCATATCTGGCGGCAGGATGGCTTCCGAGGAGCACGCGAAAGACATAGAACATATAATGGCGATTGTCGGCAAGGGTAAACGGATGAACGATGGTGTTGAAGTGCACAACGGCAAGCATGGCCGGGACAATTACCAGAGCTGTCCAGAATCGGGGCAGCTTCCTCTGTTTCTCTGGGAATCCATAATTCAAGACCTTAGGCAACCGCGACTGCGGCAGCAACAAGTTGAGAATTGGCGTAACAAGAATTGGCCACGAGAAGAACGCAATATAAGGCCAAATGTAGAGCATCTGCGCCAAGTGTATCCCTACAGAGTGGAATTCTTTATGACCTGGACTGTTGTTAGCTCTCGGTTTCTCTAACCAATCCGTCTCGTCTAGACTTACCCAAAGCAACGCCATCATTCCACACGACGAAACCACCAAATGCAGCGAGCACTATAACATAGGGAATGGCAGCCACGATAATGCGACCTAGATTGCGTAGAACGGCAAAGCTCAGGGAAAAGGCCGTTTGGAAATAGTCTTGGCCCAGTTGTTAGCAGTGTTGTTCTATTTCGCACTTGTACAAATAGCTCACCTCCAATTGCAGCCTCCGACACCAAAGGATCATGTAAAGCGTTTTTCGACTCTGGACCGGTATTGCTGGAGTATTTCTTCACTGTTCGCACCGCCTGCAGCCCGCCCATGAAAAGTGCGACCCAGAAGATGTTGGTCTGTCTGAATGCCAACGCCAGCAGCGCGAACACGATGAACACGAGATGTCGATAAGGAACAGTCGTGGTCGTCGACGTCCGCTTCAGGTCCCAATTGTAGGCTTCGATCACCACCAGCAGCGAGAGGATATCGGTGTAGTAGAGGCCGGAGAAAAAGAAGATCGGCGGGAAGAGACATATGTTCAAGACGGTATGGCTCAGCCAGGCCCCCGCGGGACGAGTGTTACGCTGCTTGCGCAAAGTATCCAGCAATATCTGCAGTCTCAAGGGCAAGAACACAGTCCCAGCCGCCATGTTGGTTGCGCGCAGAGCTTCGGGGTCGAGTTCCGTCGGAGTACCGCGGAGGGCCAGAATACCGGCACAGATGACATAGGACCACAGATACAGGCCCGGAGGCGTCGTGATCTTGGGATCCCAATGCGTCCACTTATGATGCCAATATGCCTGAGCCTGCGGGACATGGAACACTTCATCCAAGTAGGGTTCTGGAATGACGGTGTTGACTTTGGTCATCCAAATGGGGATCAGCAGCAGCACGAAGGGAACAGCGTAGCGGGCGGCGCGAGCCAGGCCTGAGTCGGGTTTGAGAGAATTCATGGTATAGACAAGGGGTCCATTGACCAAGAGAGTCGGTAGGAACCAAGCGAATCCGAGAGAAATGGGAGCAGAGAAGCAGAAGAAGTAGGAGAAGAAAAAAAGAGCAAGAAAGACCGAGGGGGAAAGAGAGTCGATGCACGCCTGCCCGAAGCGGCAGGTCTGCAAACAGGCCAAACAAGGCCGGTGGGATGCCTTCGCGATCCGGCATTCTTTCGCCTGCCTCTGCACCTTCGTCTCCCTCTGTCGGTCCTCCATTGCTGTTCTCCGCGATTTCCAGGCCCACGGCGAACATTCCTGACCCTCGATCCCGCTCACATTGACGGTCAATGGCCTTCCCCCTCCCGCGGGGCATCACGCCCCCGGAGATCTCCTTCCTGGCCGAGATGGAGATGGTCACGATCCTTCCGCGTCAACGTTTAGAAGGCCTGGAGCTGCTCGGCGTAAGTGCTGCAGAATTACCTTGCCCCCGCCCGTATCCCTCTTCATCACTGACCGCGTCTTAACTCTTTCTCCCAGGGCCCCGTCGAACCACTCCTCCCGCCCCGCCGAGCCACCCTCCCTCTTTGGCTCGCGCTGCTCCTCAAACGCCAACGGCGCGCAAACATTCTCCCTCCGCCCTGGCTTCATCCCGAGTCTCTCTCACTCATTCTGGACATCGAAACGCAACACCAGGACTATCAGAACGCGTTCTCCCCTCCGCCTCCTCTCCCCGGACAGCCGAGTCTCAGCGAGCGCGGGCACCAAAGACCCGTAGCTACCCCTCGATATACTCCCGACGGCCAACGATACTACCCATCCTCGCCGTTTCTACCCCAAAATGTCGCGCAAGATCATGTCCCGGCTGGGGAGCCACCCGCGCTGCCGTTCCACTGGTTGGAGATGGGCATGATGCTACTGGACGCCGCGAGCGATGATCTGGTGGAGCCGAATACGGTGCGGCGGCTGCTGAAGGAACTGCGTGAAGTGCGGACGGCGAAGATTCGATCTGGCACCGACGTGCTGGATGCGGCTGCAACGGGCGGAGGTGGTGTGGCCCTGACGGGTGTCGGGGCAATGGAGATCACCGAGGGGAGAGGATTCATTGCGGGTGTTGTAGATGGACTAAGGTATGTTGCGTCATTCTGGACATCTGGACATATGGAATGGAAGAGAATCTCACCTTCTAAACAGGCGTATTGGCGCGTCTAAGGAACAAGCCCGAAGAGAACAGATGGCGGAGGACATGGCCAACGGTGCATATGACGCGACGCAAGACGACGAGGATGACATGGAATTTTAAAGCATATCGTCTATTTTCCCCTCACGAGCTGGAGTTTATTGGTGTACAAAGAAACAGTCTCATTTTTGGATTTGTTTTATATGTATATATATACCCATCATTCCCTATAATCGCAGGTACCCTGATTTCAACCCTACAACACCATAAACATGCGACGCTGTGGCAACCAAAACTCCGGTAAATGTCAAATGAGAGGAGAAGAGAAAGAAGAAAGAGGACAGACTGGTCCGGAAAAAGGCAACTGCGTATCAACTTGAGGGCAAAGTAACGAGCCTTCCTAGAAGATGTGAATCCCTGTATTTAATCTTACAGCGCCGGCCCAACCGACAGGGCACCATTCTCGTAGGAAACAAAACAAGGATATGCCCTGGATGATTAGAAAGGGCAAAGAAATGAGAAGAACGGAGTAGGGGAGGCGGTTGCGTTCATTCTGTCGAGATCGAAAGCGAAAGCGAAATCAAAAGTCCCATCCTTAAACAATCCGCATCGAAGAATTTCCTGGTCTCACTGAGCCGTGCCTTGCTGCTTCTGCATCATCTTCTTCCGCGCGGCGAGGATCATGTCATCCCTTCGTTTCTGTAATAGACGCTGTCGCTCTTCCTTGTTTTGCGACCATCCGCTAGGTCCTGTTTGCGCGCTCGCTGTATCCTCGCTGCTGGCCTTCTCCTGAAGGTTGTATCGCGATATCAAATCCTGGCCTTCGGCCTTCGCAGTCGCTGTCGAAGCCGCGGTCGGTTGCGCAGTCGGTCTTGGAATGGCGACTTGGGGCTGGAATGAGGGCGGTGGCTAAATAATATCGATATCAGTAAACGATTACACACGACCGATCCCAGAGTCCGGCAGTCCGGCGCAAAGGCCACAGCCCAAATGTGCAAGAGAAAAAAGGAACGTACCGTTTCCAACCCCCGTCCAGTCAAGATTCTCTCCGTTGTCGCTGCAACGTTGCCTCCATTGCGTTGCAAATCCCACATGATATCTCGCGTGCTCAACTGAGGGAACATCTGCGATATTTGTTCGACTTGGGCTGGATCAACGACGCCACGGCCACGACTTCGGCTACCACCTGTACCAGCGGACCCATCCCGATTAAGAAACCAGCGGATGACAAAGTAAGACACGACCGCGAGGGTGAGGAGCGAGGGGATGTTCAGGGACGGTTCCTCATCCATTGTGTCGGGTGTGGAGTGGAGAGAAAGTGAGGTACGGGGTAAGGACACGGGGATGTGGACGATCGGTCGTAATCAGTCCAGCGGAGGTGTCGGAACGATTGACAGGTGATATGAAGGAGTCGGAATACTGCACTCTTCTGTCTAGAGGCTATTTTCCGGTAAACCGTCGAAGAAATCGTCCGGACGCTTGGTAGTAAGTGGATCGGCGCAGTTTGAGATGCCGCGGCGAATGGACAATGTGGCGGTGAATTCGGGAACGCCAATGTCTCGCACTAACCGGCGAAGTGGGAATTGTATGTACAGATGCGCAATACGTCACAGGGGGAGGGGGGTGAATAATAAACAACAATAATTTCCCAGGGGTCGATACCCGATAGCGACAAAAGATGTGGGGGATGACGAGAGGAAGACGGAGGGCAGGGAGATGAAAGGAGAGGAAGAGGAATGGCGACGATTGATTACTCGACGGGGGCTCGGCTGCTTGCCTACTTTGCCGGTGCCTCAGGTTCTCGGGTTCTCTGGCTCTCTGGTTCCATAGCATGGATTCATTATCAGACGTGTATCATCACGAGTAAAAAATAGCCAAAATCACACAGAATATTCTCCATATACACGATCCGAGAAACACCTTCATAAAAAAAGTCCATCATGACCTGTCCCGCAATGCCAACCCAGAAATGACAAAACTGTCGGAGAAATCAATCACCAAAGACCAACAACGTAAGAATATGGACAGCAAGAAAAGAAAGAAGCAGATACTATAATTAGGCAAGAAAGGAACTCTCCACTTCAGCGCAGTTACTTCATGTCCGCAGGAGTGAGAGCCTGGACAATACTGGTTCCCTCGCTGAACCTCGTTCGGAAGATCCGATTGGCATTCTGGAACATGCCATCCTTCAAGGAAACGATGATGAACTGAGAGCCCTTGAACCGGGTCTTGATCAGACGTCCGATGTTCTGCGTGTGCGACAAATCCAGCGCCGCATCAACCTCGTCCAGAATATACATCGGTGCGGGCTTGAATTGCAGGAGAGCCATGATGAGCGAAAGAGCGATGAGAGATCTATACAAACGTCAGTCTGCGAGGATTTCGACAGGGTTCAAAACATATTCACGTACCGTTGTCCACCACTCAGTTCCGTCAGACTCTGTTTCCAAACCTTACCCAGAGACACCTTGACTTCCAGACCGTCGGTGATATCCTTGCCTTCGGGGGGGTCCAGCTTCGCAAAACTACCGGGGAGAAGTTCGGAGAAGATCTGTCCAAAATCGGCGTTGACCTTAGTCCATGTCTTGTGGAGAGCCTCCTTCTTGTACTCGTTGAGATTGATGATGGTCTCCTCGATCTTGCGCTTATCTCGAATGACCGTCTTCATCATGTTCTTCAACGCAGCCTCCTTCTTCTCCACGCTATCGATCATGTTCATCACCTTAGGGTTGATCTTCTTCTTCATGCCTTGGAATCGTTCCGTCAAGTTGCGTAACGTCGATTTGCACTCGGCGATGTTCTGGTTCCTGAAGTCGTACGCAGTGTTGGGCCTTCCGAAGTTGTCCTTTTCATCCGCGATCCACTCATGCTCTTCTTCCATATGAGCGACGGCCTGGGCTGCAGCTTGCTGGTCCTTCTGCAGTTTCTCCAGTTGATGACCAAGTTTCTGCATCTCGAGACTCTCTTCGGTAATCTGGGAGTTTTTCACCTTCATAGTCGCGTCCAAGTCTCGCAGCTCGTCGTCAAAACCGGTCAGCTTGGCCCGTTCATCGTCAAGCTGTGCTTGAGCCATATCATGGGCATCCTGTTGACGATAAGTCAGCGTCTTCGCTAGTATTTACAGACCGGGGCTGCTCTTTACCTTGATACGAGCCTGGTCCCTCTTCATCGACTCGATCTCTTCCATTTGTGATTGGAGAGTATTCTCGGCCTCGGCACTTTGCTCCTCGGCCGCTGAAAGATCTCCACCAACTTGTTCCGATTCCAATCGTGAATCTTGAAGCTCCTTCTGCAGTGTCTTGACGGAGTTCGAGTTCTTCGCGAGACTCTTCTTAAGGGAGTTCAGCGACTCTTGCAGCTCTGCGAGCTTGCTATCTTTGTTGTTGTTGAATTCACTCATATCCTTCTCAATTCGCTTAATATCCTTGGATGCCTCACTCTGACGAGTCTTCGCGTCGGCAATGTCGTTCTTCAACTGCTGAATGTTCGCCTTCATCTCCTCGACCGCTTGGATAATCTAAAACTTGTTAGCTTTGATACTACAGCAAGCAGTTTCCAATCGAAATCACTTACCGATGAGGAAGAGTTGTTGCTGATCTGCTCCTCCGTGAGCGTAATCTCGTGGTTCTTCAGGTCCAATTCCTGCTTGATCGAGCGAGCAGCATCGAGCTTCTTCTTCTCTTTTCTCATGGTATCTTCCAATGTAGCCAACAGACGCTCTTTGCTCCTGATCTCTCTCGTGATCTCATTCAATTTTCCCAGGGTAATAAGCACCCCGCTTGAGTTTGGAGAGCTACCACCAGAGAGAGTACCAGAAGGGTCGTAGACATCGCCGTCGAATGTAACGCTTTTCACTCGCACGGCCGGATCAAAAGTGACCCTCTTGGCCGTATCGGCATCATTGCAAATCAGAGTATTGCCAAAAACATAGTTCATGGCCGACGTGACTTCCTCGTCATATCCAATGAGGGATAGGGCAATGTCCACCTTTCCAGGGGCAATGTTCTGGGCAGCGCCGATCTTCTCAACAGATGCCCTGAATGATGAGATTTTGTTCAGCGGGATGATTGTCACTCGCTTGCGAAGTCTTCCCTTCTGGAGCAGTTGGGTACCTGTCTCTGCGGAGTCAACAACCACGTTGTACAGACGACCTCCAGCACAAATCTCCAGCGCAGTAGCAGCCTGGAGCTTCTCCTTGTTCAGTGTGAACAGCTGAGCCACTAATCCTTTGACTTTGGACCGATCGAAGTTGGGGTGAGGATCAGCATATTGAAAGTCGATGTTCGCGACCTTGCGTTGGAGGCCGTCTGCGCTTTGACGCAACTCGCGGATCTCTCTCTGTAGAGTGGTTTGCTCCTGGTAGAGTTGCTCCTCTCTGCCCGGTTCAAAACCAAGTTTGGCCAGCTCCGCATCGAGCTTCTTAGCCTGCGATTTGAGACCCTCGAGGTCCTTCAATAGGCCTGAGTTTTGCTCCTTTGCCTTCTTCGCTCTCGGTTCCTCTTCCTTGATTCGTTTTTCCAAGTTTGCAATTTTCAGCTTGGCTTGTTCTTGCTCCGTGGCAGCGGTACTGGCACGGTTACGCGCATCTTGTAGTTGACCTTGGTATCCACTTTCCTGGCCCTCTTTCGATGCCACACCCGTCTGCAATGTCTGGAGCAATTCCTCCTTTTGTTCCACCTCGGCGGTTTGGGCGTCCAGTTCGGCTTTGGCGGAGTCGTAATGGGCTTGCAGTTTGTCGTAGATCTTCTTCTTCTCCTTCAGAAGTTTCTCCAGGTCTTTGACGGTTTTATGAACCTCCTTTTGCTTCTCCTTCTCTTCGGAAATACTGGCATTCTTTAAGTCGAACACCGTGGTCAGCCGAACGAGTTCATGCGAATGTGATTTGACTTCATCCTCAAGGGCCTGAAACTTGCCCCCCTTTCGTAATTCCTTGTCGCGAGCGGTTCGCACTCGCTTCACATCTTCTTCAAGATGGGTTATCTCGCTCTTAAGCCTTGTCGCATTATCTTCGAGAGTTTGAACCTTGCGTCTTTTGGCTTCGCACTCCTCGCCGGTGACCCGCAATCGTTCACCTCCACGAAGGTAGTCATGAGCCACAACCAAGCGAGTCAACCGCTCGAGATCGTTTTGGGTCTGTTGGAAATCCAGGAAAGCTCGCTTCTCAGATCTCAATTTTTCCAGCTTGGGCTCGATCTCTTCTTTCAGCAGACCCTCGATTTCGCGCAACTTCAATTCCTTCTTGCTCATTGTCTTCGCGGCCTTCTCTCGCCTGTCCTCGAACATCCGCGTTCCAGCTGCTTCCTCGATCATCGACAGAATCTCAACGGCCTTCATATTCAGAACCTTCGTAATCCGACCCTGCATAATCAGGAAATTGGGGTTGTTGATGTTGAGTTGCACGCTCTGGAACAGATTCTGCACCGTCTGCTGCTGCGCACGATGGCCGTTGATCAAGTATTTGCTCGTGCCGCCGAGAACGATCTGTCTGGTCACGGAGATGTTCGCATATTCCTCGAAACCGATGGGCGATTTGGCGGTGTCGCGGTTATCAAAGACGATTGTCACACTGGCTTTGGTCACACCAGCTTGACCACGCTTGTAAATAAGATCTTGCAGGTTCTGCGCGCGAACGGTGGTCATATTCGTAATACCGAGGACGAAACAGATGGCATCCAGAATGTTGGATTTACCACTGCCGTTAAGGCCCGTGATCGAGTTGAATGATTCATCCCTATAGGAGACACGAAGTCGTTAGCAACACCGTTTGCGACCGAAGAAAGCCGCGGACCTCAAAGAAAGGCCATCGGTCTTCCTTCTCCGGTCGTGGCGACATAGCCCCAGAGTAGGGATCTAGCGCAGCGCATACCATCCTGAAACCACTGTACGCACGGCGTACGATTTAAAACCCTATTGCCTCGATCGATCATTAGCAATCACCGCTCTTTCTATCCGCCCCTCTCTCTTGACTGCGCAAGAAGTAGCACAAAGAAAAACTCACGTCAATAACGATCTCCGTAATCCTCATGGTTGCAACTCCAAGCAGGCCCCATCAACTAGAAATTCAAGCGCATGGGAGGGCGTTTGGGAATCAATGGGGGGGGAGGTTGCAGAGGGACTGGGCGGACTTGAATGGACTTGAGAGGATTATTGTTTTGGCGGGCGCCGCTTCAAGAATCATCGGGTGTTTATGCTTTGCTGCTTTGGGTTTGGCGCCGGTGGGCATGAGGTAAGCGTGAGGGGCAGGCACGTGACGGGCCTGGACAAGAAATCCCATGGGACTCCGGCGACTTTTCCTTGTCTCACTGTGTCTACTGTACCTCCGGAGTACCTCGTACGAGGACCTGCGTCGAGGCTCGTTCTCTAAGCTCTGTCTGAACTTTCAACTCGACCTCTATTCCTTTAGAAATCGTTCAGAGTATGCCCAGAGTCGCTTACATATATGTACAGTACTAGACATGAAGACTGCTGCCACGGCATTATAAACAACAACAAACTATTGCCCAATGCTTTGGTCGACTCCTTCAATTTGCTATTCAGACTGAAGCCAAGTACACAATGTTCATAATAAAAAACAAATTCTCATTGTGGAAACCTTGAAATCACTAATTGACTTAGCAACAACATGAAATACACGCCAATCTCAAAAAACTAGCCAATGCTGGTAAGGATGACCACCCCAGAATCACAAAGGCTTACGACCCGTCGCAAGAACTGCCATAGGCTCCAAAGGAATTAGTCCGTCTGCGCCATACTTCTCCTCTAGATACCTCCTAATCGCCGGAAAGACATCCTTCTCATGCTCCTCCCGCTGTGCCTGGGTCCAGAGTTTACCAATCCCCGCGCCAACTATGGGGTCAACAAGCTGCATAAACTCCGGCACAGTGATTGACATGTGCTTGGTGACAGTGGTGGTGGTGACATCCTCGAATCCTTCTTGCTCGAACTGGGATCGTACATAAAACTCGGAGTCCCAGCCTTCATTGAAGATGGCGAGGAATTCTTTCGGCGATGGGAAGGTGAGAGATCCGGGTGGCATTTTTTCGATAGCAGTCTTCGTTATTTCGATCCAGTTTGCTGGTTCGTGAGTTAGTCAAATCCATTTGCGTTGATGTTAATGGTATTGGCCAACGGCTTACTTGAATTCCAGGTCGAGCTGCCGACAATACCACCCGGCTGAAGGACTCGGAAACATTCTTTTTTCTTCATCAGCTCATCACTCTATCATCTGCGTCACTTGACAGCGGGAAAACTTACCCTTCACAGCAGCTTTAGGATTGGGAAACGTCGTAAACGCTAAAGACAACCCCTCATTAGACCTTCATGCACATCCAACAATGGGATTCAATCGACCACCTACCAAAGCCCGCAAAGACGTGGGTAAACTCTCCAGTGGGAAGTCCAGTGTCCTGGGCATTCACCAATTTAGCCTCAGCATTCGCCCAGCCCTCGGTCTCGATCGTGTTCTTCGTGAATTCGATCATCGCCTCGCTCAAATCGCCACAGGTGAGCCTCCAGCTCTTCTGAGCCTCGGCATCCACCTTCTGGCGGAGGACTCTCGAAATGATGCCCGTGCCGCAGGCATTGTCGAGGATATCCAGTGGTCCCTTGGTTGACTCAGTCACGCCAGACATGTCAACCAGCGCCTCCGCGAAGGGGCCAGTGACTTGTTCGGCGATCTTGTACCGAACGGCGAAGTCTTGCTGCTTGTACATCGCCACAATCTCAGGTTTCATGGCCATGATGAAGGATGGGAGTAGAACTGAAGGGGATGTATGACGTAGTTATATGGGTATAGATCGGTATGACTTGACTAGTACCTCGAAGCTAGGTGAACAGAGAAAAACAAAGTCCAGAAACGATGATTGATAAGTAGAAAAAGAACTTGAGTTGACAAGGTCCATTCTTCAACAAAGAAGGGGGTATTTATACCTTTGCGTGTTGTATATGTACCTCAATTAAGGTGGCCCTTAGTTACGTACGAGAAAGTGTCCGAGAATCTCTCCGGGGCACCTTTGGGACGGGCCCGACTGCCATTGGGCGGAAAGTGACCACCAACTGACAGGGGAAGAATTCCTACGGGCTACGGAGGTAGCCTCACTCAATTAGGGGCCTTATTGTTTAGTAGTGCTACGTCCTGGTTATTGGTTGGAAACTTTGCTGGTTGGTGACCGCGGCCGAAGTTAGCTATTGGCTCACTATGATGCCCGGTAGATTTCAGTGCATTTGATTAGCACTTGGTAGTGACGAAGTGGCTGTTGCAGAGAGGGTCTACTGGCATGGAAAATACTGGTAAGATCATACAAGTCATCTGATTTCAAATAGTATCCTACGTTCCCATAGCGACCCCCTAAAGTTGAGAAACACCTTGGTGCGCGGCCACACCTGAAAACCCATAGGAAACTGGCAGAGAACCCAACGCCGGTGCTGATCCCATCATTTGTGCTCCCCTCTCAGATAATTCATGACCCCGGAGGCGGAACTCCCATACGCGCCAGATTACGCTGCGGATCCATCCGGTTGTCCAGGTCTTCGTATCGGAGGATGAACTCGCGCTGAGACAAGATCGTTAGCAATGAGCGACCGCCGTCATCACAATATGTTTTACATACCCTGATCTTTTTCCAGCTGGCAGGATCCCAGAGGAGGTAGACACCCCGTTCGCTGACACCTCTGTCGACATCAACAGGCCCAGGATATGTTTCATCCCGAGTGAGCCAGCATCTCTCGATCTTGTGATATCTCCACTTGCGACCCATCAACTCTTCCGCAACTAGCTCCTGCATGATATCGCGGGGCATGCTGTAGAAGATGAAGAATAACGTCTCGTCGCTGAAACTAGGAATGCGCGACTGAAGGGGCTGGATGTTGGCAACGTTGTAGCACGAAGGCAGGGCGAAATCTTGTTCCAGGGGGACGCCTGTCATAGAAGCAACGAACGGTGAAGCGAACGATGTATGCAACGGCCTAGTATGATCCACGTTAGCAAAGCCGAAAGACACTGCTGCCAATACAGGCAGTAAAACCTACTCCGGCTGATTCAGGTCGAGACCCAATGTCATCAGATCTTGACCAACTGCAAGACTAGCTACATCGGGGCTATCGCTGTGGATCATGCGAAGAAGACCTGCAAGTCCGAATTTGTCTAGTTCACTCATCTCAGCGAGCGGTGGTTGTTCGGCACTTTGCGCAGCTTCGGATTGCTCCGGCCCTTGAGTCGAGAGCTGTAATGATTGCTGTTCTGCAAAAGCGCGTTGGTTTGCCATGATGGCGTTGGTAGATTCCTGTAACCGAACTCTTAGAAGGTGGCTTAGGAAAGCTTTGAGTGGGGTAAGAAACAAACCTCCTTTTCCTGTCCTGGGACCCCATTCGCTGCCTGGTTAACCGGTGATCGAGAGGTTCCGATACCTGAACAAATGGTCAGTGAATGTTTTGGTAACCTGAGACTTGGATAATAATTACCTGCTGCACCTGGCGTGGCTGGCGACATCATGCGTTCTGGCCCGTTTACTGATGAGATCATACTGCGATTCTGTGCCGATTGGGCTTGATTTGCGCCAGCAAAGGGCAAGCCCGAACCGTAATTGCCAAATCCTGCACTTTGCATCAAGGAGCCCCGGCGATCTTGGCCCAGCTCGGCAGGCACATTCCGCCCAAGCGGTGGGAACTCCTCGATGTTGCCTGTTTGTGGCTGAGTGCCGGCTCCTAGCTGACCGCTGATGCCTTGTCCGCCATTTCGAAAATCATCTAACCGATTCGCAAACTGAGCCCCGGAGGGAAATACATCGTCGTGGGAGGGTTGTGATTGCGGTTGAGGGAGATGGGTTTGCGTTTGAGGTGCTCGTGACGGTGCTTGGGACGTGGGGTGCTGCTGCCTCTGGACGGGCGTCTGTTGCATAGCTCGTTGACTGGCATTCGCCCATACCAAGTGCCCTGGATTTTGAGCTTGAGATTGCGGAGGCGCGCCGGATAGCGAAGGGAAGTCACTATTCATAAGACTAACTGTTAGTGCTATTTGCGCATCCAGATCACATGAGTCTCAAATAGACTTATGAGCGGTCTGGAGGCGAGTAACCAGGGCCGACGGCACACTCACGAAAGATCAAGAGGAGTAGCAGGCTGGGATCCGCTCAGACTTTGGGCAAAAGTTCCCATGTTTGCCATGGTGCGCTGCTGGTTGCTTTGGATTCCCGGCGTTCCGCTCACGGGCAAGTTGAAGTTCCAATTCGCCCCAGTTCCTACACCATGCGTCCCCCATTAGTTTCCCACACCCTTGGTCAACACAAATATTTATATCGGGACAATCGCACCAAGTTTTCCATTTGGCAAACGTGCAGATGCCAATGTCGCATTTCGAGCTTGTACTTGTTGCTGTGCGGGGAATCCGGACATACCCCGGAGAGGTTGTGGGCCCGGTCCTAATGTATCAAAACACACATTAACATCGTTTAACATCTCAGGCGATTGTATAAAAACACTCGGGGGTCCCTTGATCAAGGTATGAAGGGTTTCTTGGCATGGTGTTGCGAGGCATCCCGGTCGCAGAGACAAGGGTCACCGATAGGTTTGCAATTTGAGCCTGGAAGAAAGATGCAGAAACAAAAGCTTCCGTATAGCCCAAAATCAAGCAGAAAATCCGGTCTATAGCCAAGAGCCACACATGCCACGAGAACACCAACCAGAAGGGCCATCGGGTTATAGCAATCCCGAGCCACGGGCAGCACAAAAGCAGGAGGATAACGCACCTGGCCTATTCATAATGGAAAGCTAGTCTCCAGAAGCTCTGTTGATCGAGTAAAGGTTCAATGATTGAAAGGACAAAGATTCCAGCACACAGGAGCAGAGGAGGTCGAGAACGAGGACTGGTACTTCAAGGAACTGTGCCCACATTCATGCGACGGATACTGGAGGTGGAGTGGCTGCAAACGCGCGCTTCTCTGGTGTGCACGGGCCATGATAGCCGCCCGCGATTAACCTGCAGCTTCAGCGTAACCCCGATCATGGCAATGGGAATACAGGCTGTGAAGTATACTTACGCTGGTCTAATCGAGCGAGTTCCTGTGAACCAGGGCTTTGGTCTCTCAGGTATCATCTGGCTGTTCAAGCACGATGAACAAAGCTGCTATAGATAGATATCTACCTTCTACATCCTCCTTTCTTACTGTGTAAGCATCACATTTCTAGATTAGATTTATGAAGTCTGCACATGGATAAAAAACCAAGCCAACCATCATAAGATCCGCTGTCCTCATGTTTGATTCAAGGATGTCTTGCTACATTGCAGCGGCTGAATGCTTGCCGACTTGGGGTGACACAGGCGCCGCGGTGCACGTGACTTAGGCGCCGAAAAGTCCACTCCGCCAGCTTTTGCTCCGGCGCCCGCAGGACGGACCTCTCGCGAGTCTCTCAGTTGTTCGAGGGCACCCTACCCAATCCGTTCGCAATGCATCGTCAATCTATTGCGCGGCTCGCCCGCCAATGCAACGGTCTTCCGCTGGCTGATTTGCCACCCGCATACCTGGCGCCATCTCTCCATTTCTCCCTGACCCGGTCCGCCGTTCAGTCCTCGAACTTTTCGACCACCCCCGTCGCCGCCGGCCGCGATCTCAGCAAATCTCGCGGCGTGTCTGCAATCCACCGCAGCGGCCCCAGATTCAAATTGGGCGTGTCGAAGTACCCATTGCCTAAGCCCGTCTCGCCGGAGACCCTTGACAAGCGTCACCCGACCCCGGACCATGGGCTTTGGGGTTTCTTCCCCAAGGACCGTCTACCTTTGAGTACCCCGGAATACGACAACGCGCATGGTTAGTCCGCCTACATACATTGGATTGGAGGGTGTTGTTAGCGGTCGCAACGGTGCTAATCATACGTTGTACAGGCCGTTCGTGGTCCATCCAGGAACTCCGCGAGAAGTCTTGGGATGACTTGCACGCCCTCTGGTGGGTGTGTGCCAAGGAACGCAATCGTATAGCCACTTCGAACTTGGAACGAGAGCGATTGAAGGCGGGATACGGCGAATATGAAGCCAATGACCGGGACCGGGTGGTGAGTATTCTCTATCCTCTTAACCCCTCGAAAAATGCCCGACCTGCTTTTCGACAATCATCCAATACCGCGGCGCACGGATACCTTTGTTCATATCGGATGTATCTTGTGGTTCTGCTTTTGCAGTCGATTCGTATCCAGGGGTGGGAGTAGGGATTTCACCAAGAAATGTTTACTAACTTCTATGCTCTGGACAGATCCGTGTCACACAGAAGAGCATCAAGCACGTCCTTCGGGAGCGGTGGTATGCCTGGGAAGAGGCCCAGCGACTGTATAAAGAGGGATACCGACCTCAGGAGGACGAGTAAATGGGAAGTGGAGAGCCCACCGTATGACCGGTCTTTTCCAATAGTCGAGGACTATTGGCACTGTATGTAGGATTATTATTTATTATCTGTATTAGTTCCAAATTCATCGAGGGTGTTTTATTGACATTTGACGGACTCGTGGAGACTCGAGGACTAATAATCTAATATAATAGAATTATGGAATCGTCTACGGGCCCAATGGGGAGACCGGTAAAATTAGACCGAGTCAATAGTGTCCGTCGTGACGTGACCGGAGGGGATGGAAAGGGGATGGCAAGGAAATATGGAGCAGGTGTACTCCGTTAAATAAATTAGACAGATATTGATCCAGACCGTGAGAAGAAAAAGGGGGCAGAAAAAGGAGAGCCGTACGGAGTACTTACAGAGTACTAGGAGGAAAGAAGCTCCTGGTTTCAAGGTTATTTGAGGCGGTGGACCACCCCGTTGATGCCTGAGCCAAACAATCCCGTCGAAGATCCGCGGGGGTCCCAGTCTTCCAGAGCAGCGACAGCTACGGACTAGTCTCCCTCTCCCTCTCCCTCGCCCTCCAACTCACCGCACCTCTCCCGTCTCCGCATCTTCCCACTTCCCACCTCTCTCCTGCATTTTCTGCATCTCCTCTGACTGTCGTTGCTTTTCTGTCTGACTTACTTCTCAACTCTGCTCCCTTACTTTCTCACTGCCCGCCATGGAAGATATTGCCCCCGAATACGATGTTGTCGTGCTCGGCACTGGTATGACCCTGTTACTCTACCCCGCCGCTCGATTCCCGCCCTGCTAACAATTTTCCCCCTCCCTTCCTTGCAGGCTTGACGGAGTGTGTGCTTTCTGGGTATGAATGCTCTTGCTTCTCTATCTATAATCCAGCGACTGACTATTTGCATATAGTGTCCTCAGTGTTAAGGGAAACAAGGTCCTCCACATCGACCGTAATGATCACTACGGAGGGTGAGTTGGCAGTCTTGACCCCCCTCCTGCTCATCTCGCCAGACCCCCTCACTGACAAAGAAATTCATCTAAATAGCGAGGCTGCTTCGGTGAACATTGAGACTGTAAGTCAAATTAGTCTACCGCTATCTGGCATATGACGGCGTCTTTCGTTCATGACTGACTCGATCGTCCTCGAATAGTTGTTCAAGAAGTACGGCAATGTCCGCCCCGGTGAAGAGCCCTGGAAGAAGTATGGACGGGTCAACGACTGGAACATTGACCTGGTCCCTAAGCTGCTGATGGCGAACGGCGAGTTGACCAATATTCTGGTCTCCACCGATGTGACGAGGTACTTGGAATTCAAGCAGGTTGCTGGCAGCTACGTCCAGCAAGGAAAGGGCCCTAAGGCTACCGTGGCCAAGGTGCCTTCGGACTCTGCCGAAGCTCTGCGCTCGTCTCTTATGGGCATGTTCGAGAAGCGGAGGGCTAAGAAGTTCTTGGAGTGGGTTGGTGATTTCAAGGAGGATGACCCCGCTTCTCACCAAGGTTCGTCGGCCCTAACCTCCCCCCCCCCCCTTCATGTGCTGGCAATGCTCTTGGCTGCTAACACCATCGTCCAGGCCTGGACATCCACCAGTGCACCATGAAGGATGTCTACGACAAGTTCAGTCTGGAAGATAACACCCGTGACTTCGTCGGACACTCCATGGCCCTGTACCAGTCCGATGAGTACATCAACAAGTCGGGAATGGCCCCCGAAACCATCAACCGCATCCGCTTGTACGTCAACTCCATGGCCCGGTACGGCAAGTCGCCCTACATCTACCCTCTCTACGGCCTGGGTGAGCTTCCTCAGGGCTTCGCCCGTCTCTCCGCCATCTACGGAGGTACCTACATGCTCAACACCAACATCGACGAGGTGCTCTACGACGAGAGCGGCAAGGTTTCGGGCATCAAGGCCACGATGAAGGACCGGGAGGACAGCAACGCGACCATGAATTTCACCACCAAGACCAAGAAGATCCTGGCCGATCCCTCCTACTTCCCTAGCAAGGCCAAGGTTACCGGTTACCTGCTGAAGGCTATCTGCATTCTGAAGCACCCCATCGACAAGACCGACGGCAGCGACTCTCTGCAGCTGATCATTCCTCAGTCCCAGGTTGGCCGCAAGCACGGTAAGCTTTCGAAACTCATCTGAAGGGTGACAGGCGACATCGTTTTTACTAAGATCGTTTAGATATCTACATTGCCATGGTCTCGTCCGCCCACAACGTTTGCCCCAAGGGCTACTACATCGCCATCGTCTCGACCATTGCCGAGAGCGAGGCTAACAACCACATCGAGCTTGAGCCTGGTTTCGAGCGTCTGGGTGAGATCGAGGAGAAGTTCTTCGGACCCCCCATTCCCCTCTACGAGCCCCTGGAGAGCGGCGAGAAGGAGAACATCTTCCTCTCCAAGAGCTACGATGCCACGTCTCACTTCGAGACTACGACCGGTATGCTTCCCTCTAGAGGTTATTATCCAAGACTCGACAAGGTGATACTAACTTTTGGTTAGATGATGTGCGGGACATCTACCGCCGGGCAACGGGTGAAGAGCTGGTCGTCGAGGGCCTTCGGGAAGACCAGCGACTTGCGCAAGAATAGATGTGTTTCCCCGATGCCTTTGAAGACTGAATAATAATATATCATTGCTTTGGATGCTTTGAGTTGAGCCATAAATATTGAAAGTTGTTCTTTTCTGTTTGCTTATTGCTTTTTTTTGTTCCTCTCTCTATATCCATTCCTCATCAATCATACAACAAACCCGAACAAGTCTTGGAATCAGCGTGTTTGCTTTCCCGATCTTTCAATCAGTCGAGTAGAAGTAACTGGATATCAGGACAAGAACCATCTTAGTACAGCCTAGTGCTTCTCATGTCAATACTTTCATAATCAATAGGATTCGAGTTCGTCATCTAGTCCGAGCATTAAACCATCGTACACTATGTACAGAATCTCGACTAGATCTTGCCCCCAGCCTCAGGATCCGTATTCGCCTTCTCATGCTCCCCAACAATACACAGTGCCCCCGTATCAGCCCTCGAGATCTCCGCCTTCATGAACGCCAACCTCCTACCCACATGCACGATCTCGCAGACCAGCCGCGCATCCGTCCCCTGCGGCACCGGCCGCAGATACGTAACCTTCAGATGCCGACTCACGCCGCCCAGCCCGAAATGGCCGGGACTCGACACTCCCAGCAGGATGCAGGTCGAGAGGACGTCGATCAGGGTGGCCGCGCACCCACCGTGCAGGTTGCCTATCAGATTGCAGAGTTTGGGCGACACGGTGAACAGGAATGACACGCGCGCTGGGGGCCCGCGGGTTGCAGACTCGAACCGGATGTTGCTGGAGGGGTCGAGGTCCCAATGCTAGATTTTGTTTTGTGGGTGTTTAGTAGGAGGATTCTGTGAGGATGGGAGAGGAGAGGGGTGGCGGACTTCTTGGTCGTCGTCCCAGCTTATGCGGTTGGAGTACTCGTATACTGACTGCTCGAAGTCATCTAGTTCTCTAGCGGGGGCACGGGTCCGCGGGGAAGACATTGTGGGGTGAGATGGGCTGGATGGAGGGGGGAATGGAAAATGTTGAATAGAGGGGTTGCAGGTGAGATATAAGATACAAAAGAGAATAGAAAATACGATTAAGGCAGAGAGGAGTGAAAATAGGAGAAGGAAATGATGAGTTGCGCTACTTGCCTGTTCTGGGAATTAGCCGAGGTTGATGGATAATCGACCCTCAACCACAATAGTTACGTTACTACTAGTCAGTGTAGATTTTCATAGTTTACATGATTTGATTTGATTCCTTGGGCTCTCTTGCTTGAGTAAATGACAAATTCCATGAGTAAGATATAGCTGTTCAGGTTGACGTGGAATTCCAGTAATCAACACGTAAGTAACCACCGCCACCTGATTCAAATTGCATGTATTTTATCTAAGCCTGATCCATATCCATGGATTCCTCTCCCTCGCCTCGTATGGAATCACATCGTTAAACCGGCCACCTGGATCAGCAATTTTTATGTCGCAACTCCACAGTCGATCTGCCTGAATCAAAATCTTAACGGTACATCAAGTGAATTCGGCAATCACTAACAACCTCCACTTTTGTCCATAAGTCATAATTTACCTTCGTTCGTCTCTTTGTTCTCATCGCCTTGATAAACGAGTTGGCGATATACCTATTCTCCACACATGCGCTATAATATGACCCCACCAGTTAATGGGAGTGTCGAACTAATCCGCCCAGATTCTCTTACATCCTGCCGGGCCTCAGCTTATTCACGCGCTTCATGGCATGCGCTACGTGCATCAGGCCAACGTGCAAGCAAAATTCCTTTTTCGTGCAGTGACATCAGAGCCCTACTTAACAAGAACCCGTCAATTCCGCGTGCTACAGAGGCCACCGATATTGCAGAGAGAGGTGAACTTATTCTGGAAGGCTATTCTCAGTGGTCGATTGCCCCGTATAGATCGGCAGATCGCAAATGCGATCTGAATGCCACGAAAGAGTTCTTTCCTCTACCAGTGTATATCGGGGTGTCCCACCCAGGCACGTGCGAATTATCAAATGAGTACGTTCCTAACTGGCCTGGGTCCCAGTCCTTACCACGCTCTTCAGGAAATTATTTGTGCGTATGCGTCCTCGGCTGGTCATATATCTTCTCTGCGCGATTAGTAGAGCTACGGGGAATGACGTCAAATAACAACTAACAACATGGCGACATGGGGCACATCCGATCAATCGACTAATGACTTTAACTTGGAAGTTGAAGATATCGAATCAAGTGAGGCAACTGGAGGTGGCTGGCATGCAAGTTCAATTCGCAATAAAGAGGTATACTATTCTCCATGGGAATTCCATCTTGCTCAGAGTTCATTCAGATAGTGTACTGGCGCAGGAATGCCGCTTTTGTCACTCCAAAACTCTAAGCCACCATCCTCAGCGGAAGCGCAGACATATCTTTTGAAATTGCCTGTTCGCGCAATTGTTTCGATTAATTAATCGCTGCTTCTGTTGCAACACTTACTATACCTTCACACTCTCGATTTGGTGCACCTGTTATATTGCCTAAGCCCGTCCAAGGCACCGTCATATCTCCAGATCAAAGTGTTGAAAGAGTATTTACCAATAAACTACCTACAACAGAAGAAATCCCCCACTTCATGGCTCTATCATGCATATCGAATGCTTTCTTTTCGTCATTATCCGGATATTTTTTTGAACAAGGTATTCCTTGCAATCTAGCGAGCGAATGGCTTAATCCACCACTTAAGGATATCTTACCATCTCTTCTTAAGCAGATGAGATATCATGATATAATATGTACTATATCCTATCGCAGGCCGATAATAGCGCCACTCTGGCTAGAAGCTGTTATATCAGGCCTCGTGCCTCGAATACTCCAAGTATATCGGTCTTACTTACCCCCGATCTCTTTGGAAGCCGCTGTGTGGACAAAGTCCCCACAATCATTTATGGACTCTGAATATCACTGCCGGGCAAAAGTATTGAGTGGTATGATTTCTAGAGAAGATGAATATCGTCTCCTGTATCTCACAGATATCCAATCAGAGACTTACGGGTCTCCACCTCTCAGCCCATATCCTCCATTCGGGGTTGTCAATCTCGAGCAAACATCCATTGAAGTTAGGTTACATGTTCAATGTGACCACCAGCTGCGTTATGTTTCATGGATATGGAAAAGAAAGTCTGGGAAAGTCTTTCGTGATTATGGCCTATCCAGTCGCCTTAAGAGAAAGCCCTCGTGGAAAAACCTCGCTTTAAGATTAAGGCTGGCAGCTTTTATCCTTACCACCCTCGCTGTTTTCTTGAGGTCCACAAGGAACCACATACATATTCCAAGAGTAAGTCGCTATGACATGCATCCGTTTTTTCTGTTCCCTTCTAGTTAAATGAGTGATTGACAATGAAATAGATGCTAGAAAGATCGAGTGGGGCTCTTCTATCCAGCACATGGGCCTTTTGTCTTTACCGTGCCTTATTCACAAAATCCTTCTCCCGCCGAGTGGTTGGTTCATTCAGGCTCTCAAATAGACTACTTTGCATTTATGCTGCTGTATTCTGCTTGAATCAGTGGCCCAGAAAGGAAGCACCTCTTGACGATAACCTTTCCGTATCGGCTACGCGAAATGTGTTCAGCTAGATGCTATTCTCGGATGGTTAAATTTTCTCCTGAACAGAAGAGATAGCCAGAAAGCACTTTCATCTGGTCCCTCGTCACCTGCAGGCTGTGGCCATGTACAGGAGTGGCTGCAAGGTATTCAAAAGCTATCTGTATAGATCTCACGTGGGGCCCTCATAAAAGCGGCGGCGCCCGAATCGGGCAACCGGGCTTGAAAAACAGTTCATTAATCTAGATGTCGTCATCTGCCAGTAGCCATGAGGCATTGTCTATCTGGAATGAACTCTAGGTGTCTTTATCGGTCCTTTGATCCTCTGTCCAAGTGCATTGAGATTTACTCTGTCGCATCGGTGAAAAAGACCTGCCTCCCAGGCCAGGGCGCAATCAAGAAGCGGCATAGTGACGTGCTTTTCCAGATGAACCAACGGACTACTTGGTCTGTATGAATACAGAGAAGAAATTCATTGTTCATCTGCATTTCTTTCCTATTAAATAGCATCCCTGCGGAAATCGAGTCACTTTCCCTTTCCGCTTTAGGTCCGACTTGGCGCCGCTTTTTGCTCACTCAGCGGTCCGGAGCGTGGGATGAGCACAAATGTGCGTGTCCGGAGCAATCCATGAGCGATCCCGGATCGCACCGGGAGCGATCCTTGGAAAAGCTCACCGCCAGCCTGAGCGATTCTGGGTTGGCGCATGCAGATCATGTGACCCGAATAAACTGTAAACAACTAACCGTTACTTAGCGTCGCTAATCTGTTAGATATTACCTTAGCCCTCTAAAAATATCACTCCCATATCCCTAACCCATCCTTGTAAAGCAGCCCCAAGCTAAACGAATTGTTCGTCTCAGTTACCTCGGCGACTTATTTGGCTATAGCCTAATACTATTATCATACATGGCTAAATTACATCGCAGAATAATACGCAAGCCCTACAGGCTTATGGAGGTTGGTATGTACTCTGTACGCTCTGCTAGACGTCAAGATATTTTGCTGCTCCGGAAATCGGATGCATTGAAAGTTGAGTGCAGGCAATACCTGATTTCCTGCAGTCTGTTATTATAGATATCTTACCTAGCTAGATACTTTAAACTATACAGTACAATACAAGCTATCGTCAGTTTATATAGAAACGTAAAAATCTTCCATACTGCCTACTACCTTCTAGTACTACCTTTTTGCTTTGTTCCTGTTACGGGCTGTGCCCAGATTGGGGCCAGGTATGGTATACCATGGCCTTCAGGGCAGGCAGTGATACATGGCAGAACACCCCTATAAGGAATCAAGGATCCCGCATCCCGAGATCCTGGTCCTATTTCTCAAGTTATTGTAAACCCGTTGAGGCCTAGCTACTATTGAATCAATACTGGCTTTAGCCCTTTACAGTTCCCATATATTTTTTTTCTCTCTCCTATCACGTAAGGGAACTTGGTTGAACAACCTACTGGTGCTCGTCTAAA